TCGAAATTGACAAAAAAGCACGTCACATATATGAGGCACTACTTCATGTTGCTTTTAATCGCAAACAGCTGTTTTAACGCAATCGCTTTTTGAAAAAAGATATTTATGATTAAAATTCGTATACTTATCGCCCTTTAAAATGATAAATAGCCAGTAGCTATGTCTATGATAAATTAAATTCAAAAGAAATTCCAAAAGCCCCCATTTTTTAAGCGATTAAGAGGAATATCCACTTTAGGCTTAGGTGTCCTCGTCATTGTCAAGATTTACTTAGACCTGGTAATGTTCTTTCCATTTGCCGACCAAATATTTTCCTTGCTTTTCACAAATGCTGTTACATAATTTTTGGCGGATTTTAGAAATGTCTTCTTAAATTAGTTTAGTAAAATAAAGTGATTTGGTGATTACTCGGTTAGTTTTATATACCCTCTTTAAATTGGCCTTTTCCTTTGTGTCACCAATGCATGCCTCTATGATCGGCGCCAAAGCCAAAGTGACATAACCAGCGTGTCATGCGCCACTTCAACGGCCAAACGTAGGCCAGCCTTTCAGAAACCAAGATCCTCTTTTAGATGTAACGTAGCTTTAGATACTAATTAAACTTCTTTTAGTGAACTTATTAACTAGGAAAGTTTAAAATAAAAGTTTTCTTGGATTTTACAAGACTGACTCAGTGATAATTTATTAAAAGTTTGTTGATTAATGTTTAAATGACAATTCAATTGTGGAGGGTATTCGGTCTCTGTGGTTTGCTCGTACTGATAGACACCTTCAGGGATGACTCGAAGTGCTAGATTGATTGCGCATGTAGTGGATTACCACCCATTTAAATCAAAAATCTAGTAAAGACGGCTAAATATTACATCAAAATTCAATTTTAGAAGTAAGGCTGTATCTGAAGGACTACTAAAACCACATCCACTTTTGGCAGTTGTGGTAATCTCACATTCTAGAGGAAGACATGCAACAACTGACGAGATTTTACGCTTGGACGATTAGTAAACCTTCATTATGGTGTCATATATGGTGCTTAATTGAATGCAGGGAAACTATTTAAATTAATAACGCCTTCTCTAAGTCTCTAGCAGCTCCATAAAGCCACTTTAGTTGACATCCATTAAATAATTTGCAAATTACATGCATTTGATGTAGCGCATCATCCAGTTTGGAGGATTAGTAAGCCCGCGATTCCTTCTTATCCACTACTATTCACAAAGTGGACAAAACCTCAGAGACTGCAGAAGTGATAAGAAGCCTCATTGACATTGGGATTAACTACCTTCTCTGATCTTGACTTGTGAGTGGTTTATGTAGCCACGTCTGCAATGTGTTGCTCACAGCAGACTAGTGGCCAAGGGAAGCTCTAGAGCTGACGCACAGAATTTTAAGTAGGTTACGATATCCGCCTAACTGTACGTTTGGCTCTTTATTCTCCGCCACGTCGCATCCTTGTTCGACAAAATGGGCCTCTGTTTATCTTTATAGCATTTTACGTTAATGGCATATCCTCTTCTCTCCTAGCAATAGCAGGATAGAAGGACTTGGGATATTACATTTTTACAAATTTGCACATTTTGTTGACGTATTCGACTTTACGTCCTTTTAGTCGCCATGGTTTTGGTCATCGTCTTAGCGTAACGGTGCCTCTGCTTACATCTATTGTCACCTAGTCTCTCTTTAAGCTACTAATCAACCTTTAACATCTACATCGGAGGACCACAGACTTTCGGACACATAACAACTAACCCATAACTTCAAGCAAATTCATCATCAACGCATCCACTTGTGTAATCAATGATAAATTATGCAGAGTAACATGTGTTTTTGTTTTGTTCATCAAACCGGATGACTCAGGAGGCATGAATTTTACACGAATGGACCCATCATTTTTCTGTTCACATGAAAGAAAAATAAGTATAACATGATGAATCCTGCAATAGGTGTAAAAACAAAAAGCAAATGCCAGCGGCTTATCCAATTATAATCTACTAGGACTGCAAAACGCCGATTTACAAAGTCTGGACGAAAGCACACATCTCATTAATGGTTCAAAAAGAATTCTTTATAGTTCACTCTAAACGGAATCAGGAAAGAAACTAATTATTGTATAATCAGTATCTGGTAATTATGAAATCTATTTTCATATTTTATTAGAAAAGGATGCGCCCTAAAAATGTATTAAATGCAAGTTCCGTTCAAACCAAACCGGGACTCTTTCGGTTTTAAAGCAGAAACTGGTTTTGAGGATTGAGATCTATAACTTTCATTTATTATGATCTTCTGCAACATGTATATACCAATCTCAGCACTCAAGTAATGTCTGAAAAGTAGTTTTATAATGAATAGATTTATCATCAGAGCTGAACCATCCTAGGTCATTTTGTATCGCGCTAAATTACTATAATCGCTAATCTTTCTAAAACATTGCATTGTTTTTATCGTTGTTAGGGGAAAATTAATTTCTTGCGCAAAGTCACGATTGGCACTGTGCTGGTCAGAGAGATACCTAGGATGAGACGTTTCACGCACTAAATTACTGTTCAACACAATGAGTGCTGTGGGTTATGGGGTGTGGGCTGTGAATGGCTAGAGGCATCAAGGACATCCATACATACGGTTGCCCTTGAACCGTTTCTACCATTCATAATCCTACCTTTATCCAGCATTTGACGATCCATCACGGTACTGTGACTAAGGTTCTCTGTTGATACGGGTAAATTACCATGGTTTTTTTTGGTCTTAAGCCTCCGTTGACTGAAAACGTCGCTAACCCCTGTTACTAGTCATTTCGTATTTAAGGCTATGGATTGCAGGCACTTGCTTGTTCACCATATTTTGAACAAGTTCGGGATTGATGCGGCACTTTTATATGCTTTCTACATTTTAGAGATGTCCGTTAGGCCCGGGGTTAAGGGAGAGTATTCTAAGGGTGGCCTTAAGTGTCCCCTCCTAATTGTTTTTCATCCTGCACGACTTAGCGATTGATAGCTAATAAGTTTTGGGGTCGCTTGGCTCTCTAAACAAGAATATGCACCTGCTTTCAGTGGAATATCTTAAATTACCTCTATCTCTGTCAATAAACCTATTTAGTCGAAATAAGGAGAGAACATTAAAATACCGTGAGCAAGTTCTTTAAAAACCGTATTGGGGCAGCATTTAAGACTAAAAGCGGTTACGTTTAGCAATCTCAGCCACCTATTATAACTCCTGTCTATAATAGTGATGTGCAGAGCTTTATTGAAAATAATTGTTCTTTGATCTGTGTCATATCCTACCACTGCTCCATCAGGACCGGATCCATAAAATTTACTAGCTAAGGTTCTCCAGATCCATATGTTTAGTGCGGTTACGAAGCAAGAAGCTTCCATGTGGATGTAGTAATTATCATTCCCTTCATAAGCCTAGATATGTAAGTCTTTTGTATTTTTATTTCTTCCTTGCCACCCCATACTAATTTCTAATAACAACCCATGAATTTAAAATCTTGAACAATTGGCCTTAATGCTAGCTTCTAAAGAGGTGAGTTGGAAACATTAAACTTCCGCAGAGATGTTTAAACCATTAAAGGTGATAGAGCTCTCCACTAATTCCTTTTAAAATCACCACTTTTACAGCCAAATTAGGCAAAGATGGTAAAAAGGGAAAAATTGGTTTTCTTCTCCCTCTCTTCCTCCCCGGTAAAAGTAAGTGACTCTGCTTCTCGCCTAGTCAACGTCTTACTCACGTTGCCTCGACGACCGGTGTTAGGGCTCATTTAGGCGGTTCCGCTACCACTTTACCCAGTTCTCTCCCTTGATGCCGCCTTATTAAATGGCACTCCCTTTTAATGAATGAATGTTTTTGTTAGAAGCTGACACCACTCTCAGGGTATCATCGACTACACCTCATTAATATTTCACAAGAGCACGTCTGTTAGATGCGCTTAAGAGGCGAATTTTGCTGGATGATCTATGGGTGAACAGCTTCATAGAAGTCAGCGCCTAAGAGTTTGCACTAATTTGTTTTTCGAACACGACCTGATAAAGTAGGTCAATGTTCTGGGTTCTGGGGTGGGTAGCTAAGCAAATGCTTGCACCCTCACCTCAATGGCATAAATGCATTCTGGAAGTGTTTACCTCCTGTTTGATCAAACAAAAGAACAAAGTGAAATACTTCACCTTCTGTCTTTTTGAAGAGTACTTAAAGATTCAGTTGTAAAAAGCGTGTTGAGGAAAAGATTAGTAGAATTTCCAAGAGTGATATCCAATTTAAACGTCATTTTCAACTTCTTAGAGTGCTCACTTGTCACTTGGTGACATCAAAGGGCTCTCTTAAATTGTTTCGAAAACTAAAAACTCGAAGGCATTTAAAAAACTATTAAATCATTAAGCTTAAAAATGCTTTAGGTCCAATCATATTAGGAATTAAAATATTAATCGAAAAAACAGTAAAACATATTAAATCTGGAGACATCTGTAAATTAACCTATTGTAAAATTTGACTCGAATTTGGATAAGAATTCTAATGAAGCATCAAATTCAAACATTGAAATTTCTAAAATTTTACTTTTAAAGTCTATTAGGAAATGATCTTTCTTTGATTGGCTTATTGAGCTTTCAAATACTTATACAATTCAAAATTACCTTAACTTTTAAATACCGTTCTTTTGTCAAGTACCTCATTAAATTTAACTAAAAAGGTTGATCTTTAAAAGCTAAATTATTACACCTACAAGTCTCCTTTTCATCCGCTTCTAAGTAATAAAAATAACCCTAAATTTCGTTGCATAATACTGTTTCAAGCACCGACTTTTCCTTTTGTGTTTCTCTCCCGGAAAAGGATTTGAAGTGATCCGGTGCATTGTTATTCTAAGTAGAACGACTTGGGACATCCAAAGATTATTTTCTTAACTTGAAACCCATTATTTCTCAAATTTTTCGCTAAATATTCCGCAAAAATTTTTAATGGAAGATTTTTACCCCTGTGATTGGCTGGACTTAAAAGAACGGACTTTGAAAGGCCTAAATTCTAAATATGTTAACATTTGAACTACCAAAATACAAATAAAAATAAGACAACTGAAAGCTCACTCTGGGATCATCGATTCCCGAAATGGACGCCTCTGGTCGATCCAGCACAAGAAAAGCCGCCAAGTTGGCGGTGTAGGAGGCGACGATGATCATCGCAAAGCCCGCCCACACCATGCCCAGAGCTCGCGTTGAAAAGGCCTTGGGTGTTTCATCACCAATGCCAGAATTAAGCAGAATTCCCCAAGTGAACCACAAAGAGGAGCTAAGGTTGAATTCCTCTTCTTTCTCTTCTTCCCTGTTATTACAACCGTTTTCATTGTTGACGGTGGTGTTGATATTACTTGCCTTATGACAACGGGCTCGATGGAAACGGCGGATGGCTGAGTATCGATCAAGAAGGTAGAGGAAGAAAGCCACTACGTGAACTGATACACCAACTAGGACCCAGAGAGTGCTCTCAAAGGGTTGGAGGAATGACGCTAGGTTGGATTTTGATCGCTCCTGAAATGCCAAAAATCCATCTTGCACAGTAGATCTGGGACTTTAAAGTTTGCTAAACTAAAAATGACGTTTGTAAATTCAGTTGATGATAAAACGTGGATTCATTTTTACGAGACCAGCCCTTAAAAGTTGATAGTAGCTGTTCGCAAAACCCTTTCAAAAAACTTGATATTTGTAGGATAGAGATAATTTGGGTTAAATTTAGAACTCCGCTCTATCTTATCTGTAATTTTTGTATCGTTTAAATATTTCTAAGGATCCCCATGTCAACATGACATTGGAGATCACTACACGAGAAAGGCAAATAACTTTTTGCTTTCCATGCAAATCGCATTAACATACTTGGCTTGAGACATAATTATTTGGGTCAAGTTTTTACTCATCACAAAAGCCATCCTTAATTTGGTTGTAGAAGACTTCACCATAACACTAAAGCCAAGACAGTCCTTTCAGCACCGAAAGAAAGCGTCAATGATATTTGCAACGTCCTATTCACAGCCGCAGCTAGACCCATGTACAGCCTAGACGACCTCCGCGTCCAGCTTATTCACGCCTTGCGGTCTTTTAAGTCATCACACTTTGTTCCCCTACCTGATGGTAGAACTTTTTGCCCGCCACATTAGGCCAACACCAACTGAGTGGAGACCAATCCTAAGTGCAGTGACCAGGTAGTAAATCTGATTAAAAGTTTGACCAGCGCCCACTTTCCCGGTTTTAAGTCCGGCATAATAGCTTTGGGTTTAGCACTGTTAACTTTTGATAAGGTGCAACTGACCCCAAAGAAAAGTTGAATATATTTACGGTGTTACTGGTAAAAGTGACCGCCATGGAAAAAAGACATTTGCTGGAGATCGCTATGTAGTCTTTATTACTATCTTATAGATGAATACCCCTCCGATTCGACCACTTGCTGTTAAAAAGCAACCATGGGGACCAACGGGGAGGGCTTCCAATGAAAGAGAAGAGCACTTTACTCTATATAGTTTATATTTTAACATGGGAGGATGTTCTTCGGCATGTTTATAACACATCTTTCCCATTAGTATGAACTCAGTCTCAATTTTCACGATTTATTGCATTTATTTAATGACTGCATAATCTTATACGCCTCCTGACTTTTTGAACTGGGACATTCACTCCAAATTGTAAACGACTACGTAGGGACGGCTCTAGTTAACGTCTATGAACTCTCTCTAATTTTATCCTAGTTGGATTATTGAAGAAGGTGGAAATGCCTTTTGCTAATACCTCTTGATGTCATTGGCTGATAACTGGGAAAATTAAAAGCCTAGAACCAAAAAAAAATAGATGTTTTATTAAGAAACTTGTAGATTTTATCTCCAGATTTAGAATATGCCGAAACGTTTATGCCCAACTTTCATTGGTTCCGCCTAATACCTGGGCATAATTTTTGTGAATTGCAAGAACTAAGCCGACGGCGGTCAACTTTACAAAGATTCTCTCTTTTCTTATCTCCTGGTTAAATATGATTTCCGTTGAATAATAAGATCTCTCGTGGCCAATTCGACTACTTACCAACTATCATTTAATGTGCCTGCCCCAGGCGAGGAAGCCATCTCAAGCCACAGTAAGCGGTTTACAGTCCTATTCCAAGCAGAAACAACTTCCTTTTTTAGAGCTGGATGGTTGCTTTACCCTCATCTAGTCTAGCCTGGTCCTGGAGGGGCTCTTATCACGATTGCTAATCATAAATAATGCCTGATGGTAGAGGAGATTAACTGTCTGGCCCATTCGACTCTTTTATTGAACTGCATAAAAGATGTAACTAGGGGAAATTTAAGGAAGCGTCACATAATCCATCTAACTAAACTTCTGCTATAAAGGAAAAACGAATGGCCTATGACCACCTTCAAGTCGTACACGGAAGACGTTTAAAGAATGCATAACTAGGAGGACGCGGATAGCTTAAAAGTATCATGTGTAGATGCATTATCATTTATGAAGTAATATGATGGTCAAAGCATCGTTTTACTCCCTGTCGGCGGAAAAAGGAGAGGGAGGGCCTGCTTTTGCATCCCTACTGCCTTTCCTTTGTGACAGGCGAGTAGACCACCCAAATAGGGTTATCATTAATGCGATCAACTTCTCAAGGAAGATGAGGAGGACGGGCCTGATTCATTGCTCACATCACTTTGACTTTCTCTAAAACATCTATTTTTTGTGATTTCGGCAGATAGAACTACCTTAGGAGTTAGGATAATAAAACATCCCCTCAAAAGAACTGCAGAATCAAGCAGTCAGCGGTTAATTGATGGTGTCATTTGATGTTTCTTGGGCAGTGCTTAATTCATGCCAAAGGGAAAATTGCATCGTAATTACAGCAAGTTCGCGAAAGAACATTCCTAAACAGGAAATTCCGTGATAGATTAACAGTTCCCCCTCCATTTTATCCAAGACAAGCTCAACCAATCACCGCCTCAGTTATTAACTAGTCAATTTGTGGGTCGTCCTGGACGAAATGAACCGCAAAAATAGGGAAAAACGAATTACCCACTTACAACATTCCCTCAGGTCATAAATAAACTTCTTGAGAGAATCATAAGGTCAGGTTGACCTTCAGGAACGCATTTTAAAGTACGAAAATTATCTGCGCCAACCTTCCAGATTGTGCAACGTTAAGCTCTGAAAACTTCGTGACATGAATATTGTTTTAATTTTATCAAACTGGAAACTGCAAAGTTTAAAAGAATAAGCAATTTTCAACAATTCTGGTAGATTGGCTTGATTCAGTAACAATTGTACAAAGCTGAAAAATTGGTTGGAAGTTTAAATGAAGGAAAGGTTAGTAGTTAAACTTCTCTGTAAATGTTTAATGCAGCAGCGCTTGCTTAAATGCACCTTTTAGATATGAAGAGGTCAGTTTAAACGAAGCAATTGACGTATCAGAAAACTTTAGCCCCGATCACTTTCAAGTAACAACCTGTAAACCCCTACCCTGCTGCTCCGCTAAAAGATGTCATCAACTACAGGTGCGAAATCAGAACTCAACCAATATATTCTTAAAAACTATTTTTTTCATCACCCTTAACAGCCACCAAAAGTCAGTCTATGAGGGTAAAATGGTTCGTACTTGTTTTTTTGTTTCCCTTTTCACCGACTTCCTTAAAACTCTCCTCCATTCTTGTCAAACCCCTCAACCAGTACCACTTTCATACTTACCACTCATCAAGTGTTTGAATTGAGTTTAACCAGTAGAAGATTGGCCTGACCTCCTAAAAACTTGCTTTTGAAACAACATTTTCTTGCCAAAGATTCCACCAAATGCGATTGAAGTTTCTTCAAGTGCCTGCTTTGCTGAGGAAATAGGTATTGCAATCTATCCTCCTGTCCCCTATAAGGTAATTACCAATTCCAACGTTGTGAAATGCATCATGTCGCTTAAAGCGAGGAAAAATGAAAATATTACACTTTGTGGGTGCTCTTATGCTTGTTTAGTAGTAAGGCCAAGAGAAGGGGAATACTTATTTTGTGGGGAAATTTCCTTAAAATGCAAGGGATGAAATGAGGCGGTGCCTTCGTCTCCTTCGCCCTATCTTCCAAAATTACCAACTCTGTTGTTCCTAGTGGGACTTTTATTTGGCTGAATACATTTTCGCTCTGTTCTTTCATTGTACATCGACGACACTGACTTTGTGTGGAAAAAAACATCAACGTGCCCTTGGAACCTTAAGCATGGGCGTTAGTAACTCTTCCAATGGTTTTTAGAACACGTTGGTGCAATGAACGCCCATCAACTGAACTAAAGCGTCACATGTTAAGAGTGATGGCGAAATTCTTCAGTGGAATAGCTTCGATGGAGGAATGACTACTAGGAATGCGTTAGAAAGGGACAATTCTTTCAGGGGATAATGATCCCATTTAAAACAAATATTGAGCTTACAGAAGTGGAAAATAGGACCTTTGCTGATTAAGTGTTTTCTCTGCTTTGGAATTTAGCTATTTCTAAGGTATAAGCTTACTTCAAAGTCTGTTGTGCATTTTGTAAGTTCAAACTTTACGGCAGTTAAATAGTCGGAATGCAAGTGTGGCGACTTGACTAGGTGAAAACTTAAGTGAAATGACAACTACAATTTAAGTGAGAAAAAAAACTTTTTACGGAGTACCAAAACATAAAATGGATTAAAATGCAGTACTACTGATTACAAGATAGCGTCTCAAGTCTTCGGACAACTAGACTGACTCAACCGTCAATTCGAGAAGAGAGTAGGATGTTAACATCATCTCATATGCTATCTGATAGCCTGTAATTCGTGCTCTGTTCTGACTGTCTTCTTGTTTGGATAGATTTCACTACTCAGATGGAATAATCTTCAACAGGATCGTCTTCCTCAGAGGGTAACTAAGGCTCTGAGTCATAGATATCTCCTACAAGCACTCCGGACTGTCATAAAGCCATCAGTGCTTCTTTTGGATGAATCTAAGGCAAATCAGCCAAAAAAATACTTTTCCATAAAAGAGGAGAATAATGAAGAGTGTTTGCCGACTTACTTTAAGTGAATAAAGACTACAATACAACAAACGCGCACATTCCATTTTATACCATGCATTGAAGTTGACATGACCTAGTAGTTCCTTCTTACTAATGAGATATCAAGAAATTGTAATTTATGCCCCAATCAGCCATTCTTTTAATTATGTCGGTGTGAACACTCAGGTTATGTTGATTTACTTCATGACTGCATTAAACAATTTAAATCATTCATGTGGGTACTTTTTTGACTTACAAACAAGAATCCATGGCCATCGAATTTTATGCAAAAATGCAACTAGTGTTTATCTGGTAGTTGCTGTAGTGGCTTAATGTCACTTGTAGTTAGTTGTTGAGGTGTGCGATTGCCCAAAATGCACGAACCACGAGACATAGATGAAATAACTCAAAATCCTTTATCGCCTAACCTTTTTACCCGCGTTTCCTGATTAACCGGCTAAACTCAATGAACGTAAATTGAGTTTGTCTGCAACTTTATGAGCTGAGTCTGCAGAATCATCATGCTTAGGTACTTGCGTAGCATTTAAAGGCGGTATCATGTAGGTCAACAGAATGTATCCTGCAAAGCCAGGTAATCTAAACTATTTGATTTCAGTAATAAGTTACTAAAAAACTGCTATAACATTGAAAAGGGAAACGCATTCCTGACATCAAAGACTTGCGTGTCGCTGCTGAGGCGTTAAAAAATGTAAATTAATAAATTGCGGGAAATTTTCAATAACAAACCTTAACTGTGAGTGGTGAAGTAACGGTTTTACGTCAACATGGAAGAAGAAGTTGTTGCCATTCTACGCTACTTTTCTCAGGTATACTTGTAGAGTCCCTAATCATAATAAGTCATAGTATCATGGCAGAATATACATCACTGACGTACAGAAGAGCTCAGGCTACTGGTATGGCTCAAAGGCCACGCCGCCGAGCGGTAGACTAATGGCAGAGCTGTAAGTGCCCACGTAACCAAAACGTGGAGTTAAGCAAACAGTCAAAATATTACACACTGTATGCAATTACCAGTTTGATAATGTAATTTGGAGGCTGACTAAGTGACTTATGGCGCAAAATGTCTTTTTCTCCATTACAACGTTTGTAAAGAAAACAAATGTGCCATTGGTCATTTCCAAACGATCCATTCTCCTCCCATTCTACATTTCTGTAGCAGTGTGCGTGATGGACTGCAAAAGCTATTGCATACAATGATTCATTCACTTTTAGAGGTCCAGACACCTAGGCTTGACATCTGTTTGCCTAATATAATTCAATACGTTTAGTTAACAACTTTTTGCTCGTCTTAAGAGGAAGCGTAGGAACAAGTCCATCAGTCACATCCCAAAATGACGACACAAGACCACATACTGTCAAAATGAATGGGGGCAATCCATGTGAAATAAAGACATACAATCTACTCAAAGTTTATTCTTTCTTCTTTCATGTATTTTAGAGGCCAATTCACAATGCATTCTCAAACAATGCTACAAATGCTGGGAAGGATATTTCAATCCTGTCCACATCGTTATTCTCATCTTTGTGATTTCAAATTTTATCGAGAGACGGGGAAAGCAAACACAAGACCTCCTAAGGCATTGAGGGTGGGAATATATTCTGCTTATAAAAACTAGTTACCAACCATTAAATGCCTTATGTTAAAGACATTCTTAGCTTATATAATTGCAGAAGTAGCAAAACTCAGTAGGATACTTAACGTATTTTTAGCCACGACATCATGCTTTGATTGTTTAACTTTTCAGTTTGGTTCCGTGGGCACTTAAGGCTTGGACTTTGTACATCCGCTGCAAGGGCATAGACATGTCGGTAGCCCCCAGACCATCCACATCTCAGCAATGTCTCCATGTCTTGCTTTCAAGCGTGGAAATGGAAAATGTTGGTGCCCGTTTATTTTACTCGTCAAAATGATTAAATTGTAAATTTTGCCCTAAAAATCTCTGAGATACATCTGGGATACTGCGAAAGAAAAAGGATTTAAAACCATAAAATTGGATGTTAAAGTTTCCTTCAAGTTGCCATTTGAAACAGCGCTGTACTCAGATTGATTTAGCTTGGGGAACTTAAGCACAATCATGTATAAATATGCTTAAGCTCAGCCAATCACAGACATTTGTAACTCTACCAGAAACCTGGTTGGTTAAATGCAACCTTAAAATCTATGAACAATCGATGCGATTCCGGGTAATTGTATCATCACAGGTGGAGAATGTGCTGGACAAGACTGAATTACTTTTAGTAGATGCGATAAGTAATCCCTTGATAAGGCAGCACGATTTTTATAGCTGAAATAGAGTGGGTTTAAGTTTGCTTTTGCATTATTTTAAATAACAAAACTAGCCATGGGTTAAAGCCTTTTTAAAAATTATTTACATACTGCTTACTAGACACGCAAATAGGTGATCTTTCCAAAATCCAAAACTATGCTGACATAAACATGGCTTAGTCTGGGGTTTGAAGTTGCTGTTTTGATAGATCAAAGCAAATATTTACCTTATACCTAAAATACCAATAAATTCAATGAACTTGCGTTTTTGAAGGCAAGGTAGTGGATTTTTGCTTAAACAAGATGCTAGGAACTAAATTTTAAAATCTGATTGCGGTTAAGCCTAACAAAGAATAAACCGATAATTGTCTCTCATTTTCAAATAAAGCTTCAATCGCTTTTCAGGAAAACTGCAGTCAATTAAAGACCCACTCATGCAACCGCTTGCCCTTCTGACAAAGTACATGTGACAGTGTCCTGGTGACAAAGTCAGTTATGATATCTTTTTAGAGGTGAGATGAACACCAATGGAATTTCGTCATTTATCCCCGGCACATGAAGACTTACTGGTGAAATTAGAAAAATTTATAAAATTTAATTAAAACGTTACCCAGAATGTTACATATCCTTTTTTCACCTAGAACACCAATAAACTGAATCTAGTTTCACTTTTTAAAGCAATAAATTCTCTTTAATTGTATTAAATCCCCACCTAAAATTTGATTGGAGAGAAACCTAATAAAGAATCGATGGGTGATCGATACCCATCCGAGGCGGGGTTCAAACCACCGCGTGTCTGTATAGGCGCCAATCACATCTCAGCTGAGCCAACTACTTACCCTCTTTATGAGGATGGTAATTCCGAGGTACTTAAAGGGTTTTGTAAACTCCAGCCTTGTAACCCTTTCTGGGGTTATGGTCATCGGGGCGACGGAGAGATCAGCCATGCCAGTAGTCAGCTCACCGACGATCCCTGTCCAGACTTTAGTCTCATTCATTGCAACCACACGCTCCTCACCCATTTGTCCATCTCCAACTAAATGCAACTCATAAGTGAAGGAAGTTGGGTTCTCATGCGAACCCGTGCGGTTAGCCAACCGGCGAAGGAGGTCGATGCAGTAGCCGTAGCAACAGTACTCGGTCACCTTACCTATAGAGGCGATAACAATGAGTTAATGTGAGCATTTTGGACTATCTTTGCCTTGTAATTGGTTCCCTGTTTCTACTTACACAGAGGATGCAAATACCTCATTTAATTACAATTTATTTTGAGTACAAAGTAATGCTAAGCTGATGAAGAAAAACCCTTAAGTAAATGAACCAGAGTGACAGCTCTTTTAGCTGCATATTTGTCTACGTCTTTTGATTGGTAACAAAATATCCAATCATACCACCACCCGTCCCCTTTATGTGTTGATTGTAGACCTGCTTCGAAAGTGACACGCCTTGTAGTGTCGTCATGACTGTTTAGACTACAGCCACATTTGAGTCATCTTCTCAGCTCTGCTTAACTGGCTCCCTCCCCCTGATAGTTTGAAACATAAAACTGGCAAGTCTATATTTAGAACTATGAAAATGACTTAATTGTGAGCCTAATCAGTTCATTCGTCACTACTTGGCCTCAAAAAACTGATTTATATGCTATCAAGAGTAAATATTTCGCTTTTTTTAATTGCTCGGAAGCATCCAACTGCCAAGGCATTTGTGAGTCGAAAGTCAAGATAAAGATGGCAGTTTTTTAATAATGATTGGCAGCTCAGGCAAAAAATACCTTTAAAGGGTAAAAAAGGATTTTATAATTGCTATCAGGGCATGCAAACCTTGGCAGCACTTTCAAAACGTGTAAAGTCAAATGGTTAGAAGTTTATGACAGACGAAAATTGTGAAATCCGGTAAGTAAAAATGAATTTTAATGACCTTTCTTACTAATTTCTACCATTAAATCATCTTCCGCAAAAATGGTATTAATTTCCTGAATAAATCAACCCTTAGAATGTTTAAGCATTTCGACGGTGCATCGATATGTCTGCAGTAAGAAGACAAGCGTTAAATGTCAAAATTACAGAAAATAATCATTTCACTTTAATATTTTGTGGATTACTCTCACACAATATGTGAGAAGGCAGTACAAAAGATTGATGGATTATCAAACTGTTGCTGGCTTCAAGTTGTCACTTTTCCATAAACACGTCCAACAGATACACATGATGTCAGCTATCAATCAAAAGCGGTTCCTTTACCGTCCCCGCTTATAAAATAAAATAGGGGCAGTCGAGTTGTTAATCTATTCCTCTACACACCGAATAGCCTGCTTAAATAAGCAGTTACTTGTTCACCCACTTATCACCATCGGTCTCTAAGGTGCCGACAAGGGACGCTGTCTGCGTGAGACGATGGTGAAAGTGAAGGGTTGGATTGAGTTGCAGTGGTGATTATCGCCATCCTCATTTCTCATCGTTGTCATCAAAGCGACGTGAGTAAGAGGGTTGAGTGTACGCGACACAAATTCACCACCTCGCCCACGCCTTCATTTTTTTAAGGTTGGCAGGAAAAATTGTTTTCGCCATAGCCACGCTTGACAAGCTGTTTTCACCCATGTTTTTCAGGCTCGAGATCTGCAATTGGGAGTTGGTTTTAAGGGGGATTTGTGAATGATTCCGTAGGCTCTCACATCACACATCCTTGCGTGAGGGGGCAACGGCTGACAATCAAGCATCGGTGACTAATGGACTTGGTGGCTTTACCGAAATACCGAAATGTCTGGATGGATGCATAAAGCTGGGGTTATTGGTGAATTTTGGAAAAAAAACTGCTATTTGTGTCATACTTAGGAGGTGGTGAGGTGACCGGAGGAGGCATTTTGACGAGCAGTCACTTTAATTAATGGAAGGAGGAGCAGACTACATCACTTTAATGATCACTAGATTCAATAGATTGTGGTTTATTCAAGAGAGAAAATGTAGGATTGACGAAAGGTGTGGTCGAAAAAGTGAAGTATAGATACAGCAGTCTTAAAAAATATCACATTGCACAACCATACACGAAGGATTCGGGGTTGGAAGAGGAGGCCTATTACATTGTCTTTAGTTGTGAAGATTCGACTATCGCTAAAGGGAGAAAAAACGAGTCGAAAGTAAATTTCACCCCAGTTCTGCCACCTTATTTTATAACGCTTTTACCTAAAAGGTGGTTTTATGCAGATAGATGGAATTGTCCGCTTTCAAATTTAAAGCCGCACGTCTAGCTACTCAACTCTTTACTGACTATGTAAAGATATATCATAGGTATGCCTGACAAATGCCATCTAGAGGCTGTCTCTTCAAGCTAAACATTCGACTGCTATACTGGTGCCTATTCGCATCGCCTCTACGACTAATTTTTCATTCTTTAGGTGCACTAAAGGTAAACTTGTGTCTTATGCGTCGCAATTTTATTGCTGATTTCCACATTTTCCACATGAAAGCGAATTCATGGAATTGTAGCCTTATCTCCATTAGTTTATTGGCGCCTTTTGTTGGGCTAAAAGAGGTCAGCTTCCCATGAACACAAAAAACACCTTTCCCGTGACTCAGCAAGATGTGAAGTTTTACTTTTGCTCACCGCATCTTCATTACCACTTAAAAGTTGTGGCCAAGCGCTGAATACCGCCGAGCATTAAGTGCCAAGCCACGGTAACCCAACTCTTTTCAATTTAGGCCGGGGTTAAAATGGAACAAAGATTGTGATTTTTTCCTCCTCCTTCTAATATCATCCACTTTTTATTCCTTCCAAAATGCAATACTAAGTAACTCACCTAAAGTAAAACGAAAAATCTTTTAAATAAGGTAAAAGCAGTGTTTACACGATTTTATGCAAATTCTCAAGACACTCAAGTACTCGAAGCAGATATTTTGGATACCTTTCAGCAGAAAAAACTTCCTCCTCTTTGTTGACTACTTAGGTAATTAGCATACATTTACACAGCACAATAAAAAAGCCTCATCAAATGCTAATTCAAGTGCTTGAGCATCAAAGTGATATTTGGCCTTTTCGTATTCAACCGTGCATACACCTCAATCCCCACTTCACGGTCACCATCTTGATGATATGGCGCCGCACCGGTAATTTTAAATAGCCAAGCCCCCTAAGTGCTCGCAGTAAAAGTGATTCCACACTCGTTTGTTTAATAGGATCTTTAAAGATTAAGTTGAGGGATACATGGTTGGCAGTGGAGGAAGTGGACTTCCATTGAAATGAGCAGCACTTTAGATATTGTCGGCTAGCTAACAGCTGGACGTGACCGAAAAGGAAAGTCAACTATGGATGCTTAAAACCGCAAAGACTCTTAAGAGAAAGGAAAGGCGATGAATGCCTTTTTGACTTTTGATAGCTTCCTTCATCTCGACTTCTGTATGATGGTCTGCAATAAAGCTCTACCAGGCTTGAAGGGAAAAAAATAAACCTATCCGCATTAGAATGAAAGCACTCAAAAAGTCAACCAAGATATCTTTCTAAGCTGATTAAGCAGAAGGTATTCTTTCTTGATTGTTTAAGTAATCAAATGCAAATTAGAAAATGGTTGGTAACCGGAAGGAGATGGTAAAACCGACGTAAATCGCAAGTAGATTTTGGGTTTGTTATTGTTACAATTTGATAGACAAGTGCTAAAATTACCCATTTTAGATTGAATTTAATCATAAAAGTGAATGGAAAAATCACCAGGGTCGCCCTCCATATCCCTAGGAAATAAAAATTAAAGCCACTGGAAGAAATGCAGCTTTTTCTTCTACAAATAGACAACATAACTTTTAATCTGACCTGTCAGTTTTCCCTGCTTGCTGTTGGACAAATTTGGTGTTTGAATGCTCATATGGCTCCCGAATCCTTTTTCAAACTGAGTTATTTGTGTGTTAAGAGCTAAAATTTAAAATTATCCTGCAGAAGCTTGTTTCAGTAGATAAGGAAAAAACACTTTATAAGGGCAAATAACGTGAAAAAAAAAACCTTTCCGCAGTCAACAGAATGGTATACGTGAGTGGTTAGACATCCTTCGAATCCAAAAAACTGGGTAAGAACCTAAGTCTATCCCCCTGTTTCTCATTTTCCCCTCGCCCCTCTCTTCTCCCCCCCCTCCACCCTCCAATCAATCATTAAATAGCTTGCAATAGTTTTGGGACAAGGTGTATCAATAAACAGTCCACTAAATTGGTCAGAGTCGCATCTCCCGATACTGACCAAAAAACGCCGCATCCTCTGGGTCGAGAGGTCTGTCAGTCAGTGCTATCAAAAGGGGGTCATATGCACGCATGCGTTCCCACGGTGAGAGGTGTCACGCCTCCACTCCGACCCTTTCTCACGTCCAGTTCTTTTGACAGATGTCAATAATCCATCTCGAGTAGTGTTCCACTAAAGTGGACAGGGGAACATGATTTCCTAAAAGTTCCCTTTCCTTAACTTTAATGGCCATTTGCCCGTCAGTAGCACGCTTATCTGTCCAATTAGGATGGACCAGTTTAAATGTATTTAAATCCACTCTTAAGGATGCGTTTCGTTTTGGTTTTTTACTTCTGAACAAGAATTGGAACCCATAAATGACAGCTTCCTGCCTCTACTTCAAATGAATTTGTGGAACTAATAAATTCTTCCACTGATGATGTTAAAATGCATCCTACAGCTTTTAAAGATGGAGAAATTGAAAGAAGATTCGTCGCCGTTTGCACTAATTTAGCTGGTAAAATATCTTAATCCTGGCTAGGTACCCTCCTCTCCGATCAATCAAGGATGGACTGTACTAGCATGGATTCCTGCTTGTTCTCCGAAGAGGAGACAACCTGAAATCTATTAGACTAGGAGGAAAAGAAAGTAGTGGTAAAGTTAAAGTTTGTGTTCTCAAAAAGAGCACAAAGGCACCATTAGGAACTTCTCTACAGATTTTACTACACCGAGAGTTAATTAGTGTAACTAGCGGGTACTAAATTTAAAAGTTTAACTCCCACAAGACCTCTTGCTAAGGAATGCGCTTTGGGCGGAGAGATGAAAAACTCCTGCAGCTTATTGGTGATTGATAGGCTCCATTTAGGTGTCCCATGGCAAAAAAAAATTGCACCAAGTGCATGAAAAGTGTATTTACTCAGAAAATATGAGCGATTTTGCAATTGAGTACTTAACTTTGAAAAGTTAGCTAATTTTACACGTTCACTTCCGGCTCAGTAATTTTACTGTTCCATTACTAGACCAAAATTTGCGTTGCCAAACTGACCATTTCGGCAGCATTTACCCTCAGATGGATAACATTTGAATTACTTGCATTGTTTTGGGATTGATTTGCCCATTTTAAATACTACTTAGTACAATTGAGCTGACAAAGTTCACGTGTCCCATATATGTGACGCTTGTCATAAACTCCCACTAGTGGAACAAAGTAGCCATTATAAGAAATCCAAATTCTGCAACCTAAAACAGGACTCTATTTAAAATTTTAAAGTGAAGGCTAAAAAAGGTCAAAAAATGGACACTTCATATCCTTCAAGTATTTTAATTACATATTTTTCATTTTGTTTACTCGAGTTATTCTGATCCGAAAAATTCTAGCTTAACACATCATCTACGATACAACGAGGCTGTCTACACCACAAAACACTGATTTAACAGTTCGGTATACGTATAACAGCACAATTGTGCCGATGACTTAGCAACTACAACCGTGCATTTATGGACTTGTTCTGAACAAATGTTTCATTTACCGATTCCAAAAATTTCCTTTGTGTAAGTTTTATGTAGAGGGTAAGGAGGAAGTAATGTTAACTTGGATGAGATAGATAAGCCCTAATTCCTTATCATTTGATTCCAATCTCATTACGCCTTTAAATTAATCAAAAGTTAGAAATGGCGTAAAGTTTGCCCGTTTTTTCATCTCTAGGTTAATTTTGATTGGTTACCTAAAAGTATGACAGCCGAATTCAACCTCGATTTTCCCCAGTATCAAATTCATTATTAGTAGGAATGAATTCAAAGAGATATAATTGGTATAATTGGTACCTAGCAGTACACCCAAGATATAAATAGTTAGGGAGGTTTGAATAGCTTGGCTCTATTTTGGAGTTTGACATCTCTTGACTTTGCAGGTCAACCGTCTGAACAGATGAGTTAAACTGAAAACTTTCTTCACTGGATAATGCAATTGATTAATCTGAGTACTTTGTGGAAATGAAAAAATTCGTACATTAGCGTAGCTTATGGACAAAACTGAAGGCGTTGATCTTAGAGACTTTGAGTAAACACGAATTGAGCTAGTTCATATTTGACAAGAGAATCCAACAAACCGCCCTTCTGTCGGCTAGAAGTGGTGACTTAGTAACTGCACCAATAATTTGTTTATCGTTCTCAAGTTAACGAACAAAAAGTAGCCAGTGTGTTAATTTCTCCCATCAAAAAACTAGTTTCGAAACAGGATATAGGTATAAATCACAAGGGACCCTGTCTTTTTCCAGGGGAAAAAATCCACGCGGCAGTCGATACAAATATTGTGACGTCGCCTATCCCCCCTCCTTGTCCCCCGCACCTTCCCACCCCCAAAAATTAGCAACTAGGGCACGCGGTAGGTAGGACTTAAAAAGTGTACAGTCTTGCAACTGGCATCACCCCCCTCCAGTCTTCACCTCTCTTCCCCGTCGTGACGACGCAAACCGTCACCATTCTAATGACATTTTTAACCCCCTCCTTTGAATGCAAATGGTGTCACCGAGTCACATTGCGTTAAGGAATTGTTGTGCTGCGCCTGGGTGGCCCTCGACGTCACCCCTGCTTTAATCGCTTGTACAAAGTTCAGGCGCCAGCCCCGAGCCTTTAGCGATTTTTTCTAGGATATCTATTCGCTCCTAGTAGGGGTCGAATAGTAGCGGCGCTAAGATATTTGAAGCCTTGCGGACATAAATCAACAAAACCCTGGTAACTACTTAAATCAGTAGTCTGCTTCATCAACTATATCTTAAATCTGGTGCGTGGGGAGTTGTAAGTCTGAATGGGGTGTTGCGAATTCTCCCATTCACTTTTTCGGTGTTTAGAAGAATAATGAAAATAATATTACAGATTTTGTATTTGAAACAACATTCACGTAAAAATGAGCGAGAATTAGTGAATGGTAATAATTTCTGCTTCAAACAGTCACTTCGTTTTTAAAACTAAAAAAGTGTGTAAAAATTTGGTTTTTTAAGGTACCTAATCGTTGATCCGTTAAACATAGTCTCACACCCAAACCGCTTATTAAACGCACCTTACCATTTAAGAAAATAAAACTATGAAAGTTTTTCATGAACCGAGGTAAATAAGACCTAGGACAGACAAACAAAGAAGCCATGGAGCATCTATTTAAGTTAGAGTTTGGCCGGTCACTTCAGCATTCTCCTCTACCATAAAAACTAATCTCTTTTACAGAGTAAAACCTTCAAAAGAATAGAAGATATCCTCCAAATGCCAAAATATGTGGTTGTGCCCAGAGCCTTCCCACTAAAACAGGCATAAATAATTTCTTCTTTGAATGCCGTCCTACATGTGCATCGTGGAACTGATTCAAAAGGCTCGCCTGGGAGCCCAAATTTCTGCTAGTGAGTCCCTTATAAAAAGTTGTCTTATCCTCCAATTGCGTAAATGGTCAGGTAGATATTTGAAAAAAAATTAAAGCCTTTACTGTGAGTCGGCAATTTTTTCTACAGAAAATGGGAAACCTAGATGTCTTGACAGGTCTCTGCACGCTACCCTCCAAAAATTAAATTACCAAATAGGTAGTTAAACTTAGAGCGACCAGTAATTTTATAAATAGGTAGCCTTAAATGAAGTTGATTGTATCCTGAGTCACCCTTTACCAAAACAGATAGTCATGACAACCGTAGCCTGCACTGTTAGCGCTCATGTTAACACACAGTGTAGCCAAATCATTGCCAGAATAAGTGAGGTGTTCTACTTAGGGGTGCGACTTCCACCTTTAAAGTCTTACTTAAAAAGACTCCCTCCCACTTGCGCAAGACAGGTGATGAGTGGAAGGATTTGGTGGTGAAAATTGAATTTCCCTTCCCCTCTTCCCCTACCTCCCACCGTCCCTCTACTGTGTGAATGCTACCACACAGTGTGGAAAGCTGTTCGGGAGGGGGAAGATGGTGTGGCCTGTATGATTTATGTCAGCCACGAAAAGTTACAAACACACCCACACATCCTCATGAAGGGGACACTCGATAAGCTTGTTGGCGTATTTGGGTATGTGAGTCAGTGCCAGTGGGCCTTATTCTCAAAATTACTCGGTCCCATCTCTCACCTCACCTTGACATGGATTAAACACATGCGCTTACTGGCTTTCGGTCCCCTGAAAGGATTCCCTCTTCTGTTAACTTGAACCACTCCCGTTTTTGATGATGGGTGGAGCAATATTAGGCTAGAAAGGGAAAATCTGACATTGTTTTATGCCATTCTAAATGTAGCAATATTTAGTAAAACAATACGACCTTCCAACGGACTATTCTTTCCACTTACGCTTTTTATTAATCTTCAGGGGTAACACGGTGACAATAAATGATATCATTAACAAGTTTTTCATTTATGTGGGTGCAGTGAAGGAATAATAACCAACAGCTCTCACTACAGTCTTTTGTATGACATCCTTCCAGAAGTTAGATGAACTTTCATTCGATGGAGCTTCAATATGCAGTGCAAGAGTGGTTATTTCACATTCCGGCTACCATGTTGTTGGCGTGGAGCTCCGCCCGTGTCATCTATGCCACCAGATCCCGCACTTTTTTGTCGTGTATCAAGAAGTAGGCCCAGAGACTAAATTTGGTAGCAACGTGGCAAGTTATCTCTGACAGTCTAATTTATTGCAAGCCTAAACTGTCACCACGCGTTAAACCCCGTCTTAACGAGGTGGGAACTATGGAAAAGCTGAAACATCTATTGCAAACATTTGCCAACCACCGCAAATTGATGGTTTAGAGAACAAATTGATACTCAGATTGAGCAGATCAAAATGAATGGAATCAAATGATTTAACAGGGATCTGTGAATACTTTAGAGGGACAGTTGAGAAGCCTTAAAATTGTTATGCAATTGGGAGGAATAGAATCAGAAAGAGATATTGAGTAAATACATAATAGACAGGTCCAGATTATGAACAAAGCCTCTTGAGAACTTTATCCCTTGGAAAAAATGCGGCTTCTTTACGACATAGTCTGTCCTTGAGCAATTAAATGTGTGAATAGGGCATGGCAGATAATTTTCACCAAAATATTACTACTTCTGGAGTTGACTGCCGTGATGGAACCTCACTCCACGATCTTTGATCCTATCCAACTGCTGATTTTTCCCCTGGAGTGCTGTTGCGAAGGCTAATGGAAAGAGGGCGAAGTTAAAAATATAGCAAATGAAATTTAGCGGAAGAGGTCTTGCTTTAACTATACACAATGATGCGTAGAGGTTTACGCAACCCACTCTTAATTCTAGACGTTAGCCAATGCCTCGATGGCGAATGCCACGATTCCGGACGTTCATAATAAAGGCACCTCTCATTTCATAGCGCCTTCAGGAGAAAATTGGACGTAATTAATAAGTTCCACACAAGGACCCACCAAATGGATCTGCGATCTTGAAAATTCATGTCTTTTGGCTTCTTGGCAGGAAATTCACGAACTTCTAAGAGCAATTTGTTTACATGCCTTCAACTGAGCCAAATCGGAGTGTAAACGACTTTAATATGTTGAATTACATATTTTAATCAATTAACGGATAACACCATTCAGTACAACTTTTTGCTTCTTCGTCACTTAAAAGACGCCCTTGAAGGTAACTAGAATTTCAAAGAAATGGTGGCAGCAGGATCTTTTGTACTTGGAACGCTTGAACAAATTGCTTCCTAGATTGTTATCATCAGAGCAATCAAATTTGGGAATGGACAATTGAGTCTTTTCAAATCTAAGCAGACGAAGAGGCAGGAGTAACTTCTTACTTGCTGGTACACAAATAGCCAATGAGAGATCAGAGTTATACATATCAATGGCATTATATAATTACTCGTTTTTTTCACTTATTTTAGTAGTATCACACAAAATTCATCCAATTTTAAATGCATGTAATTACTTTACAAGGATCGTCTTAAAGTCTTGTCAACATGGCAACACCGGGAGTCACCATGCCCCACAACTCATTTATGAGTAATTTGTAGTAAACAATATCAAAAAAGACCAAAGAAGGCCGCTCCGCTGCAGTAAATAATGCATAGGTTGTAGGAAGTCTTGACGTTGGTGGAATCATGCTGTCGAGAGAAAAGATTAGCAGCTTCCCACAGGTTATTTATGCCTTTCGACTTTTAAAAACAATCGCATATCTCACAGCAAACTAGATAAATGCATGCATTTTTTGCTTTTGTTTTGGTACACGATAACAATGGTTTTGTGCTAATAAAATGGAATGAAGGAAAGGGAAAAGTAGGGGAGCCATGGTTACTCCTACACCTTCAGATGACGGAATAGTAAAAATACCACAAAAAATATTCAAAAAAATATTGAGGTCTATATAAAGTTTGCTGGATATAAACTGCTAAAATGATGATTTTTTGAATATTTTGGCCAAATACGACGAAACCCTGAAGCAATTCTCCACCCATTTACTTGGATAGAGGAAGTTTGTGGGCGATATTAAATTCTATTTTAATAATATCCTTTCTGCTTTTCAAAAACGCATGAAAAGTTGTCTTTTTAATAAATCGAATTGTCCGTGATATACAAAAATTCTTGATCAAGAAAAAAAGAACTGCTACTTTTAAAATGGAATTATCAACGTGGAAGAGAGGAAGCATTTTCCTTAATTCCATCTTAAACCTAGAATAAACTGGCAAAAGTCATGGGGAAACAAATCCCTCATTGGATCAGTTCATTTCCACTTAATGTCCTCATGTAATTTCCCCAGGACAGAAAAACGCTTCTCTTTAGGATTGAATCTGTTCCGATTCGTTCAAGCCTGTTGACCATTGTCTCAACCTGCTATATAATGGACGGTCCTCAGGAGTGAGGCTGTTTCCATTGACTTTGGTTTTGACGGAAATAATGGATCATTTTACCAAAACACAATGGGACTAAGCGGACCTAAATTCAGGGTCAAAGTGAGAACAAATACTGACATGTGCAGTCACAATTGAGAACCAGCAATTATCTGGGTGTAGCAGTAGAGCTAACTTATTCCTCACTGTCTTTCGTTTCTCCACACACTGCACAGAAATGAGTCCGCTTTATAAAGGTGACAAATTGGCTAATTCGGATATGCATAAAATGAATATTTTTCTTGTTTAATTTATCTATTTATAAACTAAAAACAAACTGACCTTCGGGAAATTCATTTACTTCGGGATTGGTCAGACCAGGACTAAGGAAAGACATTTTATGACCTTCGTGTCTGACGAGATTTGTCATAAAAGAAAGACGTGAAATACCCACAGTTATGCTTCCACCAAGGCCGACTCAGGCATTTTGACAAGAGAAGAAAGAGTGGCCCAAGGTTTCCACTCAATCACATTATTGTGTTTCCAAAAATAAAAAACGAGTATTAGTACAAACTCTACGTGTCTGTGTCTAGGCTTACAAATTCAGATTCTAGTTTTAATTCAGTTTAAAGGTAGGTTTAGCTGTAAAAACTCTCCAAATGGCATAAAATGAACAGTAAAAGGTTACTTGGCGAATCCATCTGCCATCTGGAATGCGAACTAGAATAATTGGTAGAAGAATGAGGAATCGTCGGTTGGTTTTGAAGTTTACCCATAAGTCCAGTCCTTGATTCGAGCGCCATCTTCTCTGCTTTATAAAAAGGAGCACGGACTTCTCCGATAAACTTTGAGAGCCAAATTCAAAACAGCATTAGTTTTACGCCCGATAGAAGGTTGTCATTTATTATGCAAGCAATAAATAGCGGGTAGATGCGAACAGTCGGGAAATGTTATGTGAATTGCAAATGCCTGGCAAGGATTCCACATTTGTCTAAGTTAGCTGAGCGTAGGAAACTCAAAGACAGTAACTGAATCACTGTCTGATCACTTTATTCGATTAAAATACAACATGTGGATTTCGGTGAAATCAGTTGCTTCATCATTCTGCTTAGAGAACTGGTCTTAGTTTGTAGACTCTCGACGTGCTGACGCATCTTCATTTGATTCCTTTTATCAAAAAGTTTACTAAGCTAAAATAAATGAACTCTTACTGTAGTATTTGAAATCGTAAAGGATGGTAAAGTTTTGTTCGTCCCTTAGCAGTGGTGTCTACCAGCAGATTCGTAGAGCGCAGTAGATCTGGATCAGCACAACTGAGAAAAAAGCAGTGCTACTTGACAAATAAAGGATGTAGTCATCCTCAGATCACGAATATTTGACACGCATCTTGTTCTTTTAAGCCTGGTCGAGTTTTTGCAACCATTTACCATGAGGTGAAAAAAACCTACGTCATGTAAATGCAACGCATAAATGCGTTAAAGATCCCCCAAAACAGAGCAGATTTTCTAGCATTTTGATTAGTTTCGTCAGAACGTGAGGTTGAAATGTAGCAATTTTTATTTACCATCACAAACCTAGTTTTTTGGATTGAACAAGACAAAGCCAAAATCAAAGTTGATCTAATTGGAGTTGATTTAGGGCCCTCCCTTGTTGTTGTGGACTTAATGCGGTGCCAAACAAAAAACAAGGGCTTTTTTCGCCAAAATTAGCACTTTTTAACCATTCCTTAGGAAATAGTAATACATCGTAGTTATAATAAGGAAATCATGCATTTTGTGTCACTTCTTGCATAAGTCAATCAAGAGCCAATAATGTTAGTTGTCAGTTGTAACGCATCTTGCTAAAAGTCCAACAATAAGGCATTTTTCAGATTTCACTTAAAGATTGCCTAATCATATCATCTAACGGAGAATGGTGTTTGTTAGAATTAATTATAAAAGCGATTTTGTTACGTAGCCCTATTTATCTTGTGGCGGCTTCTCGGTCTCTCTAACACACCATTAAGTCCAGGTTTTGTATATCCAAACATTAACCATGACATGCCTCAGACACCTTTCTTAATTTGCTAAAAAACATTTGTGTGGAGTAGTTCCTTATTACACTAACACAAAACATAGTAGGGAAAGCAGACTAATAAACACCGCCTTGAAAAATACAAGCCCCATGTAAGGAGGGTGATTTGGCTCCTCCGAATGCCACCCACATACCACACGGGTCTTATTAATAATTCACACGATCGCCAAAACGACCAGCCTAGGAGGTAATTCGCCGGTCTATTTCCCGGTGTGTTTTGTCTACACCGCACGTAGCTGCGTGTTATTTCGGCCAGCTCACTAACCAAGGGCCCAGTTTAACCTTTGCCCTATATCTAATTAGACTGTCACATGCTAATAAATTTCCTTCCTTTTATTCTCGAAAAATTAATATCCATTGGAACAGAATCTTATTAATAAAGTGGTCAGGGCTTCTAATTGTGATGCGATTTCGACAAAAGTCACAATTGGATTTTCATTGGTGGAAGCGTATCAAAATTATGGAAAATTGATTTCCAACCAAAAATCAGCCTTTGTTTAATAGCTCAATTGTAAACAAATGGGAGTGTATGTGTCCTTTTAAATATTTGCGATTTCTTCAGCGGTCAGTACTCTGTTTTAATGGGTTGGTTGCTTAATTCTCGTTTCGGCAGCGGGGGGGGGGCTACGTAGGTGCTCCGCCATTGCACCTTCGGGTGGGCTGGCCTCTGCACCATGCCAGTAGCCCCAGGCCCTACCGCATACCCAATCTATGTATTCTATCTGGGACTTATGCCTTCTTTCCTCTTCAGAGAAGTCTCGGGACACTACCTTATCCTCATCATCATCACTGCATTTTCAGCTCATATACTATTTAAGGTAAGAGTTAGTATGAATAATTAATTTGGCTAATCCTGTCATCTATTCCTTTAATTCCATTTCTTTTCGTGAGGCAGGATATGTGAATACCCATTAAATGTGATCCATTCAAAAAACTCATCAGCGCTATTGCTTGATGACTAAAAAAGATAGCACTCGATGGCTCAAGGCATCTGTCACCCATCGATCAAATACGCGCCTAAGATATCACTTTGAGATCCTGATTCATATGCAATCAAGAGACCTGCAAATCGCTGTCTAGGTTTTTGTTTCGCTTGCATGACAAATGCAACATGCTGTTAAAAGTGGAAGCGGAAATTTTCACCAATAAAACAACGGGACAACAACAGCTGTGGTTATGTCGTCTAGACCACCTACAAATCACAGACACAATGTTGTCAGGGTATTCAACTTTCTAATGGTATTTTCAAAAGAGTATGGGGAATACAACCCTTAAGGAATTTCTTCTTTTTACTTAAATTGTTATTTCAGGCTTGAAATTATATTTCGTCTCTACTTACTGACAGCAACTGAACGGATTTTTACAAGAGTTCTAGTCTAGAAGACCGGGATTGGTGGTTTAAAAAATTTTCTCAAAACAATGTTGTGTATCGTCTCATATTCATCACTTTTATGCGAAAATTGGCTAATTTTTATCAAAAGTGGAAAAATGGGCCTTTTTGTAGTCAATTAATGATACATTACAACGCCGAACTTGGAATATGTGACAAGTTGTCAGGATAGTTGAGATAGAGGCGTGATGCATAAGCACTGTGCGACAGCATCAGGGTTGTGCAAAAGTTAAGTGATATTGCCTGGTAGCCAAAATTCATAAAATGAACCAAAAATTCCGTTTAAAGTAAAATTTACAAAATTAAGATCCTGAATGGGTAATGCATGAAATCACAGCGATATCAACGGAGCACGGCGCCCCTAATTCGTCTTCGGATCTCTTGCTGGCTATTTAGTCAAACATGGAAAGCTAAGCCGTAATGGTTGCAACCAAACTATAGAGATCAAACGAAAGTAGAAGGAGGACCCACTGTGGATTATTTGACAATGTTTGTCCAACTCCATCATCCGTATCACAGTCGAGCAACGAAAAACATGCAAATATGCCAACTGCTTCATGACTCAATGGAGGTGATCATTCTCCTCGTTTTGTCGTAGACCCCACCTCCTTCACTTGTAAAACAATGCACTTTGCTTCCTCCACACCTCCTATGATGCGTTTGACTTAAATGTCAAATGGCCGGGAGTTGGCAGCCTCAACACAGCATCAAGGGAACTTTTTCTATTTCACAATTACCGTTGACTCCACCCCTTGAAGCTACTTCTTAGCCGTCATCTCATGTTGAAGGTGGCAAGCGAACTCCTCACCACCGATTCCCATTCACTTTGAATGGAACGGGTGAGTAGAATTGGCAAAGTAAGTTCTCCATTAACCAACGATATGCATCGTCAAGACTCACCTCTTATAACACTTGGACACTTGAAGAAAGTATCCTTTGCTTATTATCCATGGATTATCAATTTGTGAGCTATCTCGGCTTATCTACTTTGGCTACACGAGCCAATCTTAGACAAGTTTCTTGATGTCAGTTCTATCAAAGCATTTTGCTTCAAATTCCATAATCCCTAAACTACTTTTCCACACTTCTGCATCGCAAAGCTTATTCTACAGAATCGATGTGCCACAAAAATGGTGAAATTAGTTGTGACATGACAGGATCCTCTCCCCGAAGCGCAACAGAGGATGGCTTTATGTAAATGCGTATGGGTAGCTAGTTGCGTGGATAAATAAACAATATCGCCTAAAGATAGGAGGGAGAGGAAGACAAGAAACAGTGATTTGCGGAAACCCTGGGCGTCCTTTATCAGCCGCCCACTGCAAAATCCAATCTGATCCGTAAATGAAGCATCCGCTTCAGAAGAGTTCCTGCCATGTCGGAAAGAATGCCCCTCAAAGGAGCAAAAAATGCCACGGTGTTTTGTTGTCACACCTGGCTGATCAACTGCATCGTATCCGTACCTTACTGTACCGCACCACCCAGGCAAATACTTGCCTAGTCGAGGCGATCCTGAAAGAGCTAATCATTCCTCCTGGCAACAGGGTGGGTGAATCAAGGGGAGGGAGAGATAGAGGTCCAAGCCACGTGCTAAAGCCGACGTGACGAGACCTGTGGTTTCAAAAACGGGGCTTCCAACAATGCGTCACGCTAATTACCCTAATTGTAGGTCCACTCGTAAAATTTGTGAGATTGGCTTCACAAGTTTTGTAGCACATTTGCTAAATCAAGCGATTTCTCATGGTGAATAATGGGTGGAAAATGTTTTTTTATTTTATTAGAGTGCCTTTAAAAAAAAAAAACTTTTCCCTACCATCATATCTCAAAATCCAAAGAAATTAATTAGGTTTTACACAAATATTGATAAAGGTAATTAGTTCGTCGTGAAAAATTCGAAAAAATCACTTGATTGGTAGCTCGTGAGTGGGGTTCGACATATGCCTAATTAAATGTCGATCGATTTTTTTTAACTAGTCAATCGATATATCGACTCATAATGACTTTCCGCTACAAAGAACGTGATTTTTGAAACGGGGAAGTCTTTCACTTCCACTAAAAACAATTCGGCACCCATGGCAATGATGGTCTCCTCGTTTTGGTGGGAAAATAAGATAGGCGGCAAAAATGTAGCAATCTCGAGACCTCCCAAGTTCTGCCATTAACCTCACCTCATTAGCGGCAAGTTTAAGCAAAAAAATGAGGAAAAATGCATAAAGGTGCCTAGTGGAGGGAGAGAGAGCGGGAAAGGGATAAAGATTAAATAGCTTAAACTCTTCTTTGGGCCAAAATGGCATTTTCCACCCAAGATTCCACTCACTTTATTAGTCTGTCTATTCTCGCAGAAATCCATCATTCCTCTATTTATTTTGGCGATTTCTGCTTAATTTTTTTTCCTGAAATTCTTAAGTCTCCTCGTTGGATCCTTTGAACAAAAAAGAGATGTGAGCACTGTGGCCATAAAATTTGAAACGTTGCAGAAATTGCCTTGGAAGCATAGTTTTTGAAGGGAGGTTGATGGACCAATGTTTAAGGCGTAATGTTAAACGTGTCAACTTGCGACTGCAGTAAATGCAATGATTACTGATCAAGTAATACTCTTTTTTTGACCACATCATAATGTGCATTGCTTTTCATACCCTTTAATACATTACATTGGTGCGGGTAGTTCATGCGTAAACCACACTGTCGGGCGAATTTCGGCCAGACATTGCCCCTAAAAAAGCTTTGAAGAACGTACTGAAACGTCTTGGGTTAAAACTTTTATTGTTTGAGTTGAGGAATTTTGGTGTTAAAATGTTTTATATACATGTCTGATGACTATTTGCTCCTTCCCTGACCCGTTCAACTGGTATAGTAAATAGCACTTTTCTCCCCCAAAAATGTAAACTTTATTTATCCATAAAAAGGGGGTTTATGATCTTATCCTAAGCTAAAAACAAGCTTTTATTTAAGTCTTCTTGTGCTTATTGGTTTCTATTGTTTTGTATCAAAAAAGAAAAAAATTCTGCTCGAAGATGACGATCAACTTCATTTACAATAGATGAAAATGCTTTGAAGTAATGATAATCCTTCTCAAAGATTACACTATTTTTGCTTTAAGACGATTTTCTAGGTGCATTTAAAGTGTCAAAAGCGGTATTTCATCTCAAGCACTAATTTACTTACCGGCTTATAACTAGAGAGAAATACAAAAAAATAATTAGTTTTCTTTAAATGGAAGTAAATGTGATATTCGTTCATTCTAGAAGGAAGTCTTCAGTCTGGGGGATATCCACAATGGGACGGAAGCGCAATAAAATGGAAATGAAAATCACTAAAGCATAATTCATTCTTCAGATATCGATTCCGTTCCACGAAAATCATTTCCTTACTTGGTTGCCAAAATCGCATTTTGAATAACCTCGGGGACGGGTTTAAGCACACCCCTCTCTCCGCTGTAAAGATAAACATCTTTGGGAAAAGTTCCCACAAAGTAAAAACCTTTTTAGAAAACAAAAATAAACAAGAGGTATGTTTTATAACGATATCTGGATGGAAATACAAGTGTTTAATTTAAATTTGTTGCGGAAATTAATTTACTTAAGGATCCCAATTTATTCATTTAGTACAAACTCCACCACGCCAGACATCGGTACTAAGTTCAACATACCCGGTCACTTGTTAAACAACAAATAATTTTATCGGACAACCTTTTTTGTTGTCTAAGTTTATCCAGTGATCAGTAGCTGCATAAGAAATTAATTACTTCCTCTACTCATAATATCGTAACCTTATAAAGAAATTTCCTTTTTGCAAGCGAAAGAGCACCTGGTAGCGCCACTGTGATCAGAAAGGAGGGGGGAGAGACCGAGGCCTTTAACACTCCCTCGCGATGGTAGAAAAAGCACTGCCTGCATTTCCCTGCTGCCAGACGTCGCATGCTTCAAAGACCACCCGGAAGTGAAAGGTGATATTTCAACTTCTTGTTATGCGCTAAAAAAGGTGCTGCGCCGACAAAATAGCGACACGGGGCCTCCCGCATGGCTACTTAAGTCTACTAATAGAAAACTTGTCACAATGTTTTGATTACCTTGAGCTTAGAAGGCGAAATTACTATCCACTTTGGAATTAAATATGGGTCCATTTAGTAAGTCAAATGCCTTCAGAAGGTCACTCGCTGCACAGCTCTGTAATACTTATTCCGGGGCATGTCGTTGGCCTTATTAACTAAGTACTGCGTAAATAAACCGCAAGCGAAATTGTTTTTTGTGAGAAAAATCACTGTTAGTGTCGGTAACCTCGACCTATACCAGACAGTCGTAAAAGAGTGCTCACTAAATGAGGTCACTATCATTAAGTCACTAGGTACCTGAGAACTCTGTATGGCTTTTCAATCAGGCGACACGACGGAATCGCTGACTTTTCATCATTCTAATCGAGTACATTCAAAAGCAAATAACACTTAATCATTCCGAGTTTCTCAGTCCTTTGGAAGAAAAATTTGATTCTGCTGCAATTGGTGGCATTAGGAAACAAAATTGCTTTTTTCTTAGATTCTCATCATTTGCCCAAGTCAGTCCAAGCAAGCGCAGAAGCACGAATTGTGTATCTTATTTGAGTAGTTTTTTACAACGACTTGAGATAAACAAAATCAGTGAATCACCAATTGATTGCGAAAAGGACGCATTTTGCACAGAACAACTCTCTTTTTATACCGCCATGTTTTGTGTTAAACAAACCATCATTTCCAGCAAAATCAAGGACCTAAATCTATTAGCAATAACGGATGCATAAAAGTTGGTGGGCTTAGGTGGAATTTTGAAAGTTCACTAAAGAAATGTGGAAAAAAAGAGGAAAATTCTGTTTCTTTAGCCTACTTATATTTTATAGGCTAAATTAGACTGAAAAAGGTTTAGTCAAACTGTGCGCGTACGGTGTGATTGGTTTGATGGGAACCAATCCACTCCACGTGGTAAATATTAGCCAATTAGCATGCGAGAAGTGCATTAGACAGGTTTTGGAAAGTAATTACGCGCACATACAGCCACGTGCATCCAGATATGCTAAAAGAACTCACAGTCCGGGTCTAATGTCGCAATGTTGTGGAGTACTTCCTTCTCTTTCCTCCTCATCCCCCATATTTTCCCCCTCTTCTTAGTCCTTCTTCAAGAGGCCAGAGCTGCCTGCAAAATTGAGGGCACCAGTTGCTTCTGTGTGGAAGAATCCACATCCCAAGATGACAGTCTTTCTAACATTTTGGCCTACTGTTGCCAGAGTGACATCTTTCACTTGCACATCAATGGAAGTCAAATCATAGGCGGAAAAGCCTTCTATCAAAAGCCCTGTCACAACCTCATAGATTTCCGAATTCACGCGCCTACCCAAACTAGCCTTGCTCCGGACGGAATGGCTTTTAACGGACTTCCAAACCTGGAGATCCTTCACATTACTGGTGACTCAACACTCTCAATGCTTCCCAAAAGTGTGTTCTCTGGACTTGTAGCCAGTTTGAGACAGTTGAACCTTTCCAACAACGCTCTATCATCCCTAAGTGGTTCTGAATTTATCGGATTCGCAGATCCGAATAGCAGATTAGACGAGGTTGATTTGAGTAACAATAGGCTTCAAAATCTTCGTGCTGGCTGTTTTCAATCTCTGAAGGGCATTCGAAGCCTAAATCTGGCTAGAAATTTTATTTCCAAACTACGGTCTGATATGTTTGTTGGTTTGCAACTGCTTGAGGAGTTAGATCTGCGTCAAAATCCAATCACTGTGATAATAGGCGGCACGTTCCAGCCCCTGACAAAACTGCGAAAGCTCCTAATCTCCGGTTTGGGTTCTAGGTCATCTCCTTTAACTACGTTAACACCTGGAATGCTTTATGGATTACAGGCACTTCGACATCTAGAAATCTCCAATCTAGGGATCGCTAACATCAATGTAGAGACGTTTATGGAATTGCGTCATTTGCAGGAGTTGGATCTTTCAGGAAATCAACTAACGGACGTACCTCATATCGCTTTCAAGAGGATGGTGTTAGCTCAAAGGGGAAGTCGATTCCAGCACCTGAATCTATCCAACAATCGAATCGTCTGTCTGCCAGAAGGGGGCTTTGCAGACTTCCATCAGTTAAAATCTCTCGATTTAAGTGGAAACCTTTTAACTGTGATCTCGGATCAAGCCTTTAGTGGAGTAAAACACCTTCGGGATCTTGACCTTCTTGAGAATCCCATTTTAGTCATCATTCCCAGTGCATTCGATGAGTTTGTAACAGTCGATGAGAATGGTGTGCAAGATACAGTCAACATTCTTCACCGACATCGACTAGTAGGAGAACTACTACCCAAGATGACGGTCATTCGTATTCCTAACGACGATAATATTGTAGGCATAAATAAACTCCGTCTGCGAGCTGTCTATGGTCATCGAGATAGCATCACCGACACCACAATAGCACCCTTTATTGACCTTTCTTGTCCACGTCTTCCCCTCTCCAATCACATCTCTCTAAAACGATCCACAAATAAGGTGGAAGTTGTCTCATCGACGGATGACAACGTCATAAAAGGATTTAGTGGATTTCTGACACAGAACAAAATCTCCTTAATCATAATTGTTGTCTGTGCGATGCTGACCCTGGTTGTAATTTCGGCAACTATTCTCTCTTGCCAAACTTGTCGCAAACGACGGGGAAGGAGGAGTAAAACCAACCCCTCAGAGGGTGTCAATACCAGCCCCTCACTTGTAGAGGCCGGGAAGTTGCATTATCCCACACTTTCCAAACAAAACGCCTTTACGTATAACAGTCTTGAGGTTGGTAGCACCGTCTTTAATGAACAAGTGCCGTCAGTGATTGAAAAGATGTCTACAAGTGAGCGTCTTTTCAACCTGGGTCAACAACTCGCACCTCCGCCCTATCCACACAACCTCCAAACAATGGAAGAACGCCTACGCCAGGCAGTAGCAGCCTCCACCACGCTCCCATGTCTCTTCAATGGTTATGCCACATCCAGGGAATCACCACGTCACCCTTCATCCGGTCAGTCATCTCCTAGCAACCTAGGCAGTTCTCCAAGGTTTTCTAGTTCAACATCTTCAGTTCAACAACAGCAACAGCGGCAGAAAGTGCCTCCACCTCTGCATCTCATCATGACAACATCGGCCATTGATCACGAGAAATCGCCACCTCCACCACCAAGCAGCGTTTCTCCCCTGCATGAGTCTGGGATCGCCTCTGATAATGCCTCGTCTTCGCTCATGACAGCTCTGGGTGTCTTTTAACCCCTCTAAGCCTACCTCCCCTCTGTAAATATGACTGGCATGCTTCTTCCTCCTCCTCCTCCTCCTCGGGTACAGTACGTTTGTATATATGTATGTACGCAGGTATACTTTTGGCTTATTGCAAGAAAAAATGTTTGCATCAATGCGTGTGCGTAGTTACGATCTTATTTGATGTCCCTTCTCCATGCTTTTACAGTAGCGAGTTCTTGTGGATATTGGCTTGTGTTTAGGGGTTGCGTTCATAGTTGATCTACTTTTACCTAGCCATTTGAGCAGGTATTCGTGTTTTTTGCATTTCCCTAGAGCTTGGTTTTAAGATTAAACTTTATTAATCTTAAACGCTTTAAATACCTCATTGTTTCGTGCATTAGTTTGTAGCACGTCGCTACCAGTTTCTCGTGGGGAAAACGGTCAGTGTAGGCCGGACCATGAAAACTTTACTTCTCTTTAATTATTCTAAACTCAACCAATCTACTTGCTAACAAGATTTAATGTAATCGGTTATGTACACATGACACGCATATGTGACGCCAAACTCAGGTGGGAAGATCGAGGCGTCACATATGCGTGACATTAGGGGCGGAAGGCATAATATTTGGATTACAGTGTTGCATTTACATCAGTCTTTTATAGTCACAGCTTAAAGTAAGTAGTGTCGCGAGTCTAGAGGTTTTACTAAATGTCAATCGGCTTTTTATGCAGCCATTTGCTTAGGTACTCTTGCATTTCCTTGTGGTTTCTACGCTTTAAACGGATGATTTATTATTGGGTGTCTGGATTCTAGCGATGTAAAAGTTCTGTTTCTTTAAAAAGGCATTTTACAAACTTTTTTTTAAGATGGAATCATGTTAGTGCTAAATGCTCCAAACGCAGGATAGATAGGCATGATGCTGGACTCAGGTGGGTAAATCGAAGTGTCACACATATGTGACGCTAATGGCAAAAGGACTCATATTTGGATTAAAGAGTTGCATTTGAATGAGATTTCTACATTAAAACTTACATTTATCAAACCAGCAAAATCTACTCTTAGTTTTTTACCCCCTCTTCTTCTTCACAAGGGATGAATGATCCAGGCCATTTTAAGAAGTTTATTTTAAATTATTCTCCACTCCTTTTTGAGGTAAAGTGCGCTTCACAGCCGTATTTTGATGCTTACCAGTTACCCCTGTGGATATAAACGCGCATTACATCTGTGTCTACTTTTATGACCACGTTATACGAGGTGGTACACAAAAAAAACAAAGCCATTATGTGATTTGGTTTTTTTTGTCCTTAACAAAAGTCCGAATAAGTCAGCGATGCTATTGTTTGTCATGTATCCACACAAAGCAAAAAGCCTACCAATACAAAGAGATGTCTGAACAAACCCCAAATCTGGTTTTGCCTCGTTTCAATGTGACATCGTCACCTAGCGCCAAATGCAAGTGTCGTGGGAAGGCATTAGATCTTTCCTTATACATTCCATGTCGCAAACACTCTTTTTTCTACACAATACATGTGCGAGTATTATAAGTCAGACTATGCTGAAAATTGCTTCCATAATGTGTGGATTTCTAGTACACCACTGGATGACCATGGTGGCTTAATTTTCTGTGCTAAATTGCATCGAAAGATGTGGCTGACGATAGGAGGTCATGTATCAAAGAGGTGACCTCATTTGAAAAAAAAAATCTCTCCGATTATCAGCTTTCGCATCATATATCCTCACTGAAGTAGAAGTTTTCGTTTTACCGGGAAATTTTTAAACCAAAGTGGACTATGTGTCTCTTGAAAGCCCTACCAACTGACTAGTTAAATTTGCTCTGGAAATGGCAATTTCGGACGTTTTAGCACCGAACTTGGCAACTACACTCTAATCAGTCCACTGGTGGTTAATCTTGGTGCTGCCCATTAAGTCATTCAAGATGATTGATAAGCACGTTACTAGGGTTTGTGTGGAGGCATTTGTGGATAACCATATCTCAGGATCGCCAATTATGGAGGCTCCCAATCGCGAAAGCCTGCATCACTGCTCCGTGTTCGAATTTGCATCCGTCAGAAAATTGGAATGGTGGTTTCTGAGTTGGGCACTTACTTCCATTCAATTAACATCTGGTTCAGTGGTATTCCTGTCATATTGCTTGCATCATAGTTGACAAAAGCATTTTTCCTCCTTTAATGTTTGTAGCAGTTTGCTCGCTATACTGGAAATGATCGAAATGGAATAGGCGGGGGGAGGGAGGGAGCCGATCATGAAGAAAAGTGGGATACCCATCTCTTACCCCTCAGAATGATTAGAAGTGACCAAAGAAAACGAGTGTTTGGGTCGATAATGCACCTGTCAGTTGTCACTCATGCAGTTATAGATCGAGTGAGAGTGAGTTCTCTCCCCGATTTTCGGTAAACATAGCAACCAAACTGGTTAAAAACTCAGGACCATGGAAGCAGGTGTCTTAAATTGGGCGCTTCGTCGGCTATTTTTATTTGTCTAAAATCGGATCCATTAGGACTAAATGCTGTGAGTAATTATTTCGGGAGCTCAGGATCACAAAATACGCCCTCGAAAAGGAAACTTCTCACTTTACTTTATCCTAAGGCATAAAGGGTGAGTGAGGTTGTACAGAAATATGAAGATCTTGTGAAAAATGTGGACTTAATTACTGAAATTTATGTCTAAAAAGGTTTTGCAGCCTGGACTCTATCATAAATACGACCCGTGTTAAAGCGGTGAAGTGTATATTTGAAAATTGCAGTGGCACCAATTCGAACACGAAGCCGATGATAAATCATGTCGTGAAAAGCTCTGATTGTTGAGATTTGCACCAGAAAAGGTTTTTAAGCACTAGAAAGTGAAAGCGCATTTCACTAGTAATCACCTTTTTGGGGTTTACCCGGATTAAGTCCGGGAGGCAAATTTACTCAGTTTGGAAATCTATCATGAGAGCACTGGAACGACGGAAATTCCCGCTTTTGGGTAGTATCGAAAATGCAAAATACATTGAATTAATTACAAAAGTTAGCCTCATTAAATTAATAAAGTAAAAAAAACCACCGAAGCAATCATCTTGAAAGACATCAGGCAGAATAGTGTAAATCCTACAGTTAATCAGTAGAATATATGTGACCGTATCTGAACGGGCCAATGGGATGGCTCTCGTGACACCATAACAGAGGGCACAACTCAGACCTCACCAACCGATCACTCATACAATGGACCTGTAAAGGTCCACTGAACCCTGATGAAATGATTGCGTGCATGATACACAAACATCAAGATGAAGTTATAGGATGGCGGTGGGAGCGGGAGCGGCAGAGTAAAGGTGGGGTTCCTCTATGTCTGTACTTATTTGTGTGTTTACGAAAACGAAAATGCGTGTGTGTGTATGCTTGTGTGTAGATGTGTGACTAATTCACACCTGCGCGGTAGACTGATTAATGAGTGGATGTGGTACTCACTTCACTAAAATATCACCATACCTGCCCACAGCCAAGCAGCGGTCTCACCACACCCACCCCATCCCCAACGGTTGCCATGCCACTTGCACTAAATCAAGACTTCCGATAACAACTAGCCAGGAGTGACTTTCATAATCAGAGGTGACGGACTTCACACCTTTCCCTCATTCCCTCCTTTTTGTCTAAAATAACCAAGCCAAGCAGGTGTTCATCCCATCAGAAGCTTGACAACACATCAAACCTACTCGTTGCTATGCCCTTTACAAAACCCGGAAACCGACCATGTAGTCCAAAAACTGTCATCGTGATGATTGGTGGTTTGTTGTCAGTATGAATGTACATTCCAGTCTCAGGAAATTGATGACTTAAACATGATTGGGAATCTCGATTATTCCCTTGCTTGAGCTACCTCAACGAGCACTAGATTAAATTTAACACTTTGTTTCATCTCAAAACGGGTAATTTAGGTTTTTAAAAAAGATTTTGACAGAAGCAAATATATATATATAATACAAACAGAAACAGCATTTCAATACCCCGGTTATGACTTGGTTCACACTATAGACATTTGCCTTAAAAGTTTTGGTGTCAGCTTCGGGAGTACGTGATGGTTATCGAGACTTAAAGTAACAATCTAAATAAGGGCAAGGTGGTAACAGAAAAGGCGGCGAAGATCAGCGCCAGATGCCGGAATCACTCGCCTCACGGCAGGTGGCCAAGCCAGATGTCACGTTGGAGCACAAGGGGAGAAGCTTAGAGGAGATGTAACTGGAAATAGCGGACATCATGAAGGGTGGGGATTAAAAGAGGTGACACGGGCTGTTCATGACAAAATCGCAGTTATCAATTTTTTTTACCAATCAGATTAGAACAAAATCTAAAATCCACTTCTGATTGGACCACTGACTTGGAAGACAATTTAGATTTAACTATTTGACCTACGAGATAGACTATGGAGTGGAATTAATAAAAGGGTAAAATATATCTCGGATTTGGTGAAGGCACGGCTCTCGTGACTCATTGGAGTGGGTGGCGCCTGTTCATGGTTTAACATGAATTTTTGCCAGATGAAGAAATCGGAGTGGAATAAGAAGGAGCAGAAAACGGGAGTGCAAAAAGTTGGAGACGTTTTATTTAATTGCAAGATTCACAGTTCCCCCTTTTCTTCACCACTGACACGCAAGTAACCGAGCCCTTCGGTCACTTAAAGGAATACAAGTATTGTAAAAAAACTGCCTCATTTTTTTTGAAAAGATTATGCATGCAATAAGTGCTAACAGATGACCAGTCTCAGCAAATGCAGACCTTCCATTCAAATAAGAAAAAAAGGAGCGTCTTCTGTTCTCAAACAATTTGGTTTCTAATGGGACGGTTTCATCCGTTAGTTTTTTTGTTAGTTGTTTTAAATAGCTAGTACTCCGAGGTTTAAATGTCCGTTACTTTGACAACGAAACTAAGCATTTTGATACGTTTAGCGATTAAATGATTCTAAGATGGGTCCATATTTTCATCCAATTCTGGAATAGTTAACAATGTCCTAGAATCTGGGAATATGGCTTTATCTCAATGCGATTAAAGACTTAAAGCTTACTACAGATGTCCTATGTGACCTTCTATGTGTCTTCAAGCATTAACAGCATCAAGGAAATCAGAATCGACTTTAGGGTTATCAGTGTAAATCGACGTGACAAATTTGTTGGAAGAAATTCACAACTCTGCTGATAAGTCTAGCATTACCTAGAAACAATCTCAACATTGTTGACTTGTACAATTTCAAAAACAAAAAGACCTGTTTCCTCTCCAAACCATGTAACGTGTTATACTGAGGATAATCTAATGCTAATAGTCAGTGCCCATAGCAGCATGATTCACCTCCTTACTGAACTCGTGTAATGAACATGAAAACCATGACTTTTAGTTTGTTAGGGGCCTAGAAAAGACTCCAATGTCGTTCTATGGTTTTTGAGTAAATCATAAAGACGTTATGACGTGTATAAGCGTGTAAGCACCTGTGTTGGCGACGTTCAGAAGGGCGAGGGGGCGACACCGGAGTAGAGACCAAATCGCGACAGATTGAAGAAGCAAGTAGGGTTAAACATACAAATGGAAAGAATTCTGTTTAGCAACAAAATCCGCAATTTGTTCGTCCAGATCACTAGCCGGGAACTCAAATAGCTAAATCTTTACACTACCATCAGTTGTCATGCAACTAAGGCTTCTATTCATTCACCTGGCGTCAAGAGACAAAACGTCATGGCTGGAGATTCCGGATAGGGTGGAGGAGGAACCGGGGGGTAAAGAAAGGCCAGAGGGATTAAGGGAGAGAGGGGGTACCCCTGCAACCCACTACATATGTCCAGATATCCGGAGCGGTGGGTATGTGGGCTGAGGGAGGAACCACACAAAAAGTGTCAGCTGTCCACACAAATTCCACAGTGGCCTCGTTTCTGTACTCCCCCAAACCTCCCCTCCCGTGACTACCCCATGCATTCGCTCTTGTGATGAGTTCTCCGAAAATCCCTATTTGCTACCAGTTTTTTTGTGTAAAATTCAACAGAATTCACCTGCGCATGTTACTACGTGCCGTTTTTCTATCTTCCAGCCCTGCTCGTGTGACAGATGCTTCCATTTTTCTAGCCCTTCTGTGCCTTGATAATATGCCTGTTTCCGGACAAACTCCTTATAACGTCTCTAAAGGTTATTTATGGTAGGGTTATACAATGCTACGGGGATGGATACAACATAGAAGCATCGCAGAGGGGACATTTACTGAGTAACAAAACAGACACTGTTGAAGTTGTGTCGGTTGTTGAAAACTACCAAGAATATTCATAGAAGGAATGGACTTCTATGAACTAGTATAAAATACGACTTTCAGATTTAAAGCCTTTCAGAGAAAATTTGATGCCGACATTGATGTTAGTGGTTAACCGACTCGAAAAGGACCGCAATCCTGATTTTAGCGGATAGCCACCACTCAGAATGTTGACACCTGATGTAAATCAAGTGGATGTAGAGAACTCCTACTAAATTAAGTCGTACGTAATGACCACAAAATTTGTTCGTGACTACTCAGATTTGACCTGAACAAATGGGAAGGAAATTTGGGGGGAAAACAATTTGATAGTCAGTCTATTGACATACACGTGGCGACAATATGGAAGGATAAGGGAAACGAGGATTAACATCCATGAGACCGCTTTGCGTTTTTTCGCTGAGCAAAGCTCAATAAATTTGGAAAAGCTTTCCACTCAAAGTGAGAGTAGAATGAAAAGCGACAATCGAATCAATGGCTGTCAATTAGCACACCACGAAGATGTTCAACAGTAGCTTAGGTTGGCATGAAGTGGGGCACGGTGAATCCAGTACTCGCATTCATCCTTCAAACGATTGAGCTAGCTGTCAGTATTTAATTGCCACGATTCACTTTTAGGACTGTATCTACATAGCTGTGGCCAGCTTGTAGTTCTGGAGGCTCAGCATTGAGGAGGTGTACGGAGGTGAATTTCTGCCTCCAACACACCTACCCACAGATGTTTGATTGGATGTCGTTCCTCTTATATTTAACTTTTATGGACAATCCAACGCCCTAGGCTGATATTCCTTTCCCAAACCTGCAAGGAAAGCTCGTATGCTAGACTGAGGCGATCAGTCGCATGACACGACCAGACTCAAGCACACTTACCGCCCCCAACAAACTCGGCGTGGTTTTGCGCCAGGTCTGACGCAAGTTTAGTATCCGCCATGTCAGGCCAATAGTGGGCATTTATATTGCCAGAAAAACCTTATTTTGGATAATAATTCACTCCAAGCTAGGAATCTATGATTTAGAGCCTGACTACTGACCGAAAGCTCCTGTGAGAAAGGATTATTTTAGGACGGTTGTGGGAGCACATCATTCTCCGGTAGGGCTGGAGATGAGGTGGGGCGGAAGAGGAGGCATTACCAACCATCTCGATGTCCTTGTTTGGGGACTATAGACTCCCCTCTGAGGAGAGGCCCCTCTCAATCACGGGAAGCGCAGTATTCATCAAGCAACAATATCAACGAAACAAAAGGTAAAAACAAGTTTGTACTCCACGTAAGACTTCCCCTGTCAGTGTTTTGACTTGATTAATTTGTTTTTCTTTCCTTTCATCAACTACAACCACAACTCCCACCAGCATAACTGGCTTTTGTATTGGCGTGTTTTTTGCAGTCAAACGAACCTATTTCTAGCTATTCCAAAACACTCCATCCACCACCCACCTAACTTCCGGGGCATGCACTACTGAGGATTTCTTCTGGAGAAACAGGGGAGTTAGTCAATCACCCGAAGAGGTTTCTGTTCTCGCAAGACAACGTGAGATCCCATTCCCACCGCGACATTAGGTTGTTGGGTTTGTATTTTGGGCGAGGAAGGAAGGATAGGGCTTGTGCAAACTCCCACTACCCCCAGATGCTGTTTTTAAGTAATGACTGTTATCTTTATGTGGTTTTCGGCATCAGAGGATCTTATTGACACGTACAAAGTAGAATGGACAGTTGAAAAATGAGAGTAGGGTGGTAGCTAGGGCCTGGTTTGGTGCTTCTGAAGGCAAAAATGAGTTTTCACTTAACTAGTATCTTGATAGGAAATGGTTACTATACCAACAGGAAAAAACTCTTAAAATGTATCTGTAAATGTATTATTTCTATAATAAAAAATTTTATTCGTTGGTTGTCAAAACGTGACAATGAAGCACATCTATCCGTCTATCCATTGTACTCACTGAGGGTGATAAGGCAGTAGTTTGTTCCATGATTTTTTGATTCTCAATTGCACACCAAAACAAAGGATGTCCCAATTCTTTTTTGCCATGTCCATAACACAATTTATCGGCATTCTTTGAAAACTCATAGACAGGTATTCGTAATATTTATGAGGAATTAGGCTATTTATCCTCAAAAGGATGAAGATAATATGAGTGGATATTTCCTGTTTTTCTGAAGGGCCAGTGAGTCAAAAAAGAGGACTAAATCTATGAAGCCATTTCCGCGAATTTTACGAGTGGACCTGCATTTGGGATAATTAGTGTGAGGGAGTGTTGGAAACCCCATTTTTGCACCCATAGATCTCATTACGTCGGCTTTGGCACCTGGCTTGGACCTCTCTCTCCCTCCACATGATTTACTCGCCCTGCAGGTAGAAAGAATAAGTGAACCTTCCAGGATCGCCTCGACTAGGCTAATATTTGCCCGAGTGGTACGGTACAGTACAGTATGGACACAATGCATTTGATCAGCCGGGTGTGACAGTGAAACGCGGTAGCAGTAGGTGCCTGAAATAGGACACCTAAGAGTTCCTCAAATAACCCCTCCTCATCTTTTTCCCCTCCTCTCCAAGCGATATTATTCATTTATCCACACAACTAGCTAACTACGCGCACTTACCTAAAGTCGACTTCTGCGGTGCTTTGTGGAAGGGATCCGATTCTGTCACAACTAGTCTCACCGATCTTGTGACACACCGAATCTGCAGAATGTGCTTTGGCATAAGGAGGTGGGGAAAAATAATGGAAGTGTATTGATGGAATTGGTATCAACAGATTGGTTTCAAAGAAATTTATTTGATCGGAGTGGATAAGCAGAGAGGACTCGTGAATTGACGTCCCATTGATGATCTCTATGAAATTTTTCCTTTAAGTGTCCGAGCATTATTGGTGGTAAGTCTCGAAGATGCTCACTTTACTGATTCTACTCACCCGTTCCGTTCACAGTGAATGACAATTGGTAATGGGGAGTTCACTTGCTACCTTGGACATGAGGTGACGGCTAAGAAGTAGCTTCAAGGGGTGGAGTCAACAGTAATTGTGAAATAGAAAAAGTTCCCTTGATGTTGTGTTGAGGCTGCCAACTTCTGGCCATTTGGCATTTAAGTCAAACGCATCATGGGAGGTGTGAAGAAAGCAAAGTGCATTGCTTTGCAAGTAAAGGAGGTGGAATCTACGACAAAACGAGGAGAATAATCACCTTTATTGAGTCATGAAGTAGTTGGTACATTTGCATGCTTTCCACTGCTCGGTTTTAATATGGACAGTGGTATTCGTCAAGTGTCGTCAAAGAACTCTTAGTGGATCCTTCCTTCGGCTTCTATTTCTTCTTTTTCTAAAGCTTAACTTTCCTCATTTAGTTTAGTATCTAGCAAGGGATCCAACTGCGAAGTCAGCTACCATTATTCGAGTTCCGTACCCAAAAGTGCAGTGGATAGAGGGACACCAGGTTCCGGTGAATCGCTTTGTTGCCCATTAAAAAAAACATTCATCTATTTAAAAATAAATGTTTTGCTTTAAAACGTGTAAATAAGGAAGAAAGATTAGTGAGAAGGCCTATGCAGTAAACATCCTTCACATGAATGGATGCTAAAAGTTTCCTAGCTTTTTTAAAAAATTTATGTATAAGTAGAGGGGAGGAGGAGACTCATCAAATGGACAACCTCCGTAATTGCCTACAAGGCGTACTGAAGAAGACTTTATAATCTCTCCTCAATTTCTCATTACATGTAAGTTTGACCCACTCCTCCAAACAAACTATGGATAAACTATAAAACCTTAAAAAGGATAATCCAACAAAAGCGTCTAATCAATCAAATGTGCCTTTATCATCTGTGCTTGCCAATCTGAGCGGAAGATTCCATCAAAGGGGAAGCCTATTTGACATCTATCATTTGCCTAGCTTATACATTTGAGATGGGCCAGATGCATTAACAAGATAAAAAATCTGCCCCGTGAAAAGGTATATTACTTGAATAAAGAAGCCAGTAAGGCCGGACAAGCTCTCCTGCTATCGAAGAGACACTTCCGTCGTGGACATTTTTGACTTTCAACAACTCAACACAAACTAAGTTGCAAGCTTATTTTCTTCTTGATGTCATTTTTATTCCACTTGTGACAAATATGTTGGATAAAATATCAAAATTTGCCACAGCTTTAAGTTCACTACAATTTACTGTCGTTGTTATTACTTTAAAAGGGACAAAAAATTTTCTTTCCTACCTTGAAAAACTGGCGATTCTGTAAATATTTGGAAGTTTTTTGCTCCGTGGATGGTTCAGTGTGAAAATGTCCAAACTGGAATTTTCATGACACCAAAATTCCTCTTCAAAGTGGATGGTGCTGAGCGTGATGATTGTCCAGAAAAAAAATGCCTACGATAATGGCTTATTTGGATTTTTTGCCTTGTTTTACTCTAAAATAAAAAAGGTGCTGCACAAGAGGAGAAAAAAGGTTGAAGTCACTCTCATCTTCTGCTCCATCTCTCCACGCCGTTGGTGTAGTTCCTACTGCCCTTTCCCATGACCAATCAGCACTGAGCTTCAGTGACCCCACCGTATCAGTGTTTATCGATGATTGTGAGAGGAGTCAACAATAACCTCAGACGGCGGAGCCATAACTTTCCAGCTCATTTTTTATCGGAAATAATTTAGAAACCATTCCAAAAGGAATTCTTCGTTAAGAAGAGAAATCAAGCATCTTAGGGAGAACTGCGCAAAAAACCAAAGGCATGTATTATTTGATATTATCAGGGAGACAATGGCCCAGCCCTAATTAAGTGTCCCTTTTATGGACAAACCTCGGGCAAAAATAATCTGTGCCAACAGGGAATAAGCCCTCCTCTTTGCACAAACACCGGCTTAGTTGCAGCAATACAATGTCTCGGTTAAGTCAGATAAAACAGCCTCAATAGAAAAAAGAGCTTCTCTACCCTACCAGCTGGTTTCAAATGCCTCAACAATGTTGAAAGACATCTATTTTGCACTGGAAACAACTTCAAAGACAAAAGCGTGCATCTGGATGAATCAAAGACAGCACCGCATCCATCGGCCAAGCACATCGGCCACCGCTTCATCCACTTTCGTCACCTCAAGGGCAAAATAAAGCTTGGAAATATTCTAAGTTTTAATTTTATCCACAGACCCACAAATCATAAAGGGTGTGTTCAAAATCTCACCGATAATGTACCCTTTCGATAATTAAAATTCCAAAATTATTAAATTTTTTCCTAAAAAAATTAATTTCCTATCTCAGACAAATTTTTTTAACTCATTAAATTAAGAATGGATCCACTAATAATCCATTTCAAGTGCCTCTTTAAATGTGTATCCACTTTACAAGTTGTTTATATAATCACAGCAAGGTTGAGAAGCTGACGAAGGGGGGTGGGGAAAAGCACATTAAATTCTACCTAAGAGGCACCGAAAACCATTCTCTGGTTGGAGTGCGTTTTCGCGACCCGCTAGAAGGTCGGAAGGTTAAAGCACCTTTTTTCCACTCTGCTTTGATGTGTGTGCGAGCACACGATTTGTCCAAATGTCACCTTTGTGCAAATACGCATAAATTAGGGGAACCTCCGTTTCCCCCTTGGCTCCCGGCACCCGCCCACCCTACAAACCTAATCCTCCACATTCACCCCAGTTCGAAGGGAAATAACTTTTGTCCGTTTTGTGCTTTTTCTCTATTCTTGCTCCCCCTTCCTCCCCCTCTCTCCATAGAAGTGGAAAATGGGCCGGTTTGTCATGATTAAATTCATGTGGCTGTTGGGTCGTCCAAACATGTGCTCCCTCCAAATGGTTTTTATGCTAATTTGATGTCCTGTTTAAGTTTCTTTCAGTATGACCAACAGGTCACTTAAAATAACCCTCCTACATGTGATGAAGTTTGAATTTTCTTAGAAAGCTAAGCCTTTTTCAAATAAACGTGGACGCACTAAAAACGGCCACCGGTTTCAAAGCATTTTACAAAAGTTAAATTCTTCCGAAGAATTTATGACACTAGAAAATTTTGTTCTTTTTTTTCTATAAAAATCTGTGGATAGGTCTTCTAAGGACTTTAATGCGTGTCTGTCTGGGGATGCTCCTTTGGGTGACAAGTTGTCAGCTTACACAAATGTTGTTGCTAAGCGGAAGGCATTACCAATCCCCTAAGGGGAGACGAGTATGGGCCCTTCCCGTAGGGGAGGGAATACCACAGCAGCATAAATTCCAAAATTGCGGATTCAATTAATTGAAATTCGGAAAATGTGTACACAAAATTTGACAATTCTACAAGTTGATTTGCTGTCAGGCTACTGGATTTTTTAACCCACAAATGTCTATTCCAAGTTGAAGATTAGATACGTGACCTTACATGTGTCAAGGTCATTGGGAGTGAGTTGTTACAGATAAGTTTTCATGACTGATGAACCGAAATGCGTTTCACATTGTCACCGTTAAAGGCAAAATTATATTTCGGTCAAATTTTCTGGTTCTGTAAAAAACTGGTTAAAATGAAATGATTCAATACTTAGAAAGTGCTAAAAAGTCGACATTTTCTCCACATTTGTGATTACATTCAACAGGTTTCCTCACATAGCACAGAGTTATCCTAAACCTTATTATTTTTTTAAATTGGGCAAATGGATCATCAGTGAGGTTATTTACCATGCCCAGGCGCCTAGCTAGGCGCTGTCAACGTGGTTTGCCTAGCATTTCTATCACACATTACAGTACAGAAGCGATGGTAACACCTTTTTTCTGCGTCAAAAGAACGCGATAGGTTCGCCTGCGATGTTCAAAGAAGTAATACTTTTCCCCTGAAGGTGGATTAGCAGCGAATAAAATTTCTTCCTTTAAAATGGCAGCTTTGCTATTCTCAAGTAAATGGGACAAATGGCTCTGTTGTAAATGACCTTCCTGATCCATTTCCAAAGACGGCTTAAATTGGGGTCCAAGAACAGCTTCGCCTCCACTGTTTGTAAAGGTGATTACTCTAGCAACATAGTAGGTGCTTTCTTTCTCAGCATAATTAGGAGTTAGAGGGCACATTAGGAATTATAAACAGAAAGTTTATGGAACAAGAGCAGTTTATGTGTCATTAGAACCTATTGCTTATAAGTCACAATCCACGGTGATGCTTAGACAAATTCATCCATACCTTCATGAGTAAAATAATATGAGATGATGGATGTCAGGATCACTTCCACTTCTATGGATTCAAAGTAAGAAGAACTGGACACTGCCAAATGGAGAGAGATTTCCAAGAATTTTTAAAAGTTAAAAATGAACGGATATGGAGCATCGTCCAAGGAAGATCTTTAGTGTCAACATGATTCTGCCTGGTTTAATGTAGTTTACAAGATCAAGGAAGAAAAAGTCGAAATTATCTCTTTTACATAATCGCCAGAGTTTAGGCTTACAACTGCTTTCCTATAAACTCCTCAAACTCTCGTGGTCAGAGTGTTGTTGGCGAAAGGTTGATCCAGATGTCTATGTGTAGACCTTCCAGAAGCCACAATGACGAAGTAGTAGGAGCTGGTTTGACGTACGCAGCGAATTTTAAAACCCCTAAGTCTACTTTGGTTTGATTTTACTCGCTCACGGCATCTTTCAGAGGCAGATAAGAAGCGGAATCTTTTTTCATCCCCTTCTTGTGAGTTTTGCAGATACATAAAAAAACTGTTTTCCAAAGATTGCGATTACGAGGCTATACGGAGTACTTCATCTAGACAAAGTTGTTCCGTTCTAGAACTTAGCCAAGTGCTGGTCAGTTGCCTTAGAACATGGCGGGAAACCAAGATCCCACTCATTTATTTTGAGTCAGACATTATGAGGCCATGGACTTTTGTCAAGAGGGAGTGAATGATTGAAGAGTGGCTCAATTTGTATTTACTGCCTGAGGCCTTACTTCCCAATCCAAAGGTGCTTGCGCCTGTCCCACATGCTCCCAGCTGGAAAAGTTTTCTACTGTATTTTCATCCAGGAAAGCTAACTCAGAAGTGATTGGAGAAATCCATTCAACTGTTTAAAGCTTGTTTCATACAAGAAATATGAGTAATTTTAGGAAGGCAAAGACCTTCGTAAGTGATTACTCCGCCTTCAGTAGTCTGCAGTAAAACACGTAAAAAACAGAATTTTGTAGAATTGGTGCATACCTCCAAAGTAAGGGGTGGAGAGGGAGCGAATCGTTTTTGTTTACCTAACCTAAGTACCCATACAAAAGGCACTTCTCAGCACAGATCAGTCTGTCAGTCGGAATGCAATACGCAAATAATACTTTTTTATGGTGTTTGTGAAAGGAACGGAGAACAGCAAGTTGGTAGCCATTCAAGCTTGTCGCCACCTGCTAATGAATGGGAAGCGAGTGAAATCTAATACCCCAGTTGCAGTAGTGACTTTCCCATCACTTTCTCCCTCTTCTAATTCATGCAGATGTCAATCAAGTGCTTCACTACGCGCCTCCAAAATTGCATTGCTGACGGTTCCTGACACCTTTTGGCAAGTAGATGTCGACTTGTTGCACTTCATTCCGATTTAGATTAGAGGCCCTTCCTACATTCGACGAATTTATCTTTAATTGTTTTATTAAGAGAATTGAATGTTTTTAAACATTTCTCCAACTATTGTACGGAGAGCAAGTGGATGTGATTTTGGAACCCGGACAAGCAGATAAGCTTGAACTAGGACCACCGAATATTTTAAAAATAGAGGGTTACAAGGCAGAGAAGGGTAGTGGAAATCACAATAAAAGGTAGAGTGGTGACACTGACGTATGCTTCCATCTTGTAGTGTATACATATATACGAGTCTCGAGTTGTAAGTCGCTGTAGCAGGCTGTACGGAGAAATTTACAAATCTTTTTGAGCAGGTAGTAGTCGAGGAGCTCTTCTTTAACTATCGACCATGGTAATTCGAAAATTCTTTCAAATTTATCAGTTTTAAAGCGTAAAAAGCACCCTTACATTTTTCTCTAATAAGGAAAAATAAGGAGAATTTCATCTGGCAGCTTACGTTAGGAATGACAGTAAAAACAGCAGAAATTGTTAATTTTGTCATTTTTTGTCCCACGATAGTAGACCTGATGTGACCATCTAAACACCGACATTAGAGCAGTTTCAAGGTCCAGGTTCGAGTAACTTGGTATTGTTTTCACTAGTACGGTTTGATCAACCCACTAGTCGGTGCCCAATTAGTCTTCCAGCTCCTCCATCTTGAAGTAGTTTAAATAAGATGTTGTCATGATGGTTGCCGAAAAAGCACTTTCTCAAAATCAAGGTCTCATCGCTGCTGCCTCTCCATGACTATGGAACCTGAATGAAAAAGTACACCTTCAAAATTTGAGCAATCATTCTGGACTCTTATTATTAGAGAAAAGGGGGTGGGGGGATAGTGATCGTTCTATTTATTCAAGAATATAAAAAGCTCTATCCCTGCAAATAATTAATATATAGCACTTCTCAAAGGTGCTATTTTCCAATTCATTTGATAAAATTATGAAATGCAGACCTTTACACAAGTCACCTACCCCAGATGGTACATTTAACCATCGGCATTACCGAAAGCCGACCCTTGGGAGCATTAGGTAAGTTATGGCGATACCGCTACCCACTTTGCCCTTTTTTTAGTAACCTCTTCCACCAAAAAGGGAAGAGTAGAGGGAGAGTAATTATTGTGGACACCGGTTATGCTTCTTCCGCCTTTTAAGCTATTCACCCGTTACATCTCCTCCCCAGCCCAAAAGCTGTGATTCACTCCTTCGTAAAAGTGATATTTCTTCTTTGGGACCACACTGATCTTCACACCTTCTCTGTAAGACACGTACAATGGTGATCGAAAATGCCAGAGGCATTTTAAATGTTGTGGAATATGCAACGCCCACGGGAATATCTGCTCTCCTCCTTGGGAGATTGTGTAGAGACCTACTCTTTTGCCATAAAGTGTACTTCGACGCCTTGGGCGATCACGAATTTGAAAGCGAACTACATAGCAAAAGTAGAGATGGACCCAAATTTGCAATCAGAAATGGGAAATAAGGTACGATTTTGGTTTTTTTGTGTTTATTCCTCCTGCAGTGATGAGATTTTTTTGTTTTTATATGCATCTGCTTAATTACGCTGGTGCTTTAGTGTGCTTCCACCCTGCTTCCAAGCAGTATGGTAATCGGGTCAAGTTAAGTGGCCTCCTAGACCTTCGACACGTTATTCCTATATGCTCCTCCTCACCACTTTAACTTATCAAGACCAATGAAAAGATTTAAAGTGCAATATCCATGTTAATTCCTTCCTTTTCTAGTCAAAAAATAATCATTGAGTGGTTTCGAGCACAACCCAACTCCCTGAATTGTTGAATGAGTCGAGTCCATTCCCACAAGTGTTGGAATACCGTCGTCACTGCCAATCAGTCACTCCTTTTTTTCCTCACTCATGGTCGCATAATCAGTACAGACTCAGTATAGCAGTGAGTGGGTGGAGGAGGTGGAGGGGGGGAGGCTGAACTAGGGCACACGAGAACTCAACCCGTGTGTGGTCGGCCTGTCAACATGTCATGCAGGGGTGGGTGGACGAGGGAGGGGGAGAGAGGCTACACTTTGGATGGAAAACTGGTCTCTTCTCTGGGTCGCGTAACACGAAAATAGGACTTGCCGCAGAGTTACTTTCACATCTTTGAAGCAGTTCAACTTTGCATGCATAATGTTTTTATCAAAGGAGTCTCTGAAGTGACTCAGCTAGATGTGGAAATCCCACAATTCAACTCACTCTTATCTGCATAAGATATCTAAGTCAGGACCGTACTTTTGATTTTACAGACCTAAAAAATCGTGTTTGTAATCATCAGCTAATCAAAATGACGGACAACTGGGGAATTGCGTTCATGAAAAGTGTGGTGTTGGAGAAACGAGAAAATTTCTAAAATTAACGACGGTGTAATACCCACGAATATATCCTCACACCGAATGCTTTAAGCCCAGTCTGGATGGTGGTGAGACTTTGAGCCGCAAAAAGGCATCACAAAGGCGGTCTCACCTTTCTACGGCAGTGACGATCTCAGTTGTGGTGTACCACAGCCTCCCAGCACAATAGTCGTTCCTGGATAAGTAGCACATAATTCACGATAAAATTAAAAAATGGGAAACAAAATAATTTGCAAGCTTTTACAACTTCTGTATGCTGTTTTAGAGGAGTTCAGTCGTACTACTAACAGGTGTTTCTACTGTGGAGGCTACTTTCTAGCCACTAACCAGATAAGATATGAAATAAATCCTAAAATTCCGGTTTGATTTGGACAACTCTTGACTCATGTTTGGTAATCTTGCCAATCTCCATGACTAATCAAGTGGTCAAGGGAGAAAAGACACTTACTGCTAACTGATAAAATTTAGCCGTGAAGTAGCCACAGTGGCGAAAGGCCTTTTGTGAAGCACCTGACAGACCGCTTTACACCTAATATCATCCGGTTTACAGTTGCATAATTCATCTCCAGTTTGTTCACTCCACCTTTTTTTCACGATAAAAAGGGTTGTTTACTACTAATAAACAGTGGAACACACCCAACCTACAAGTCCCACCAAAAGGATGGTGTGGCTTGATGCGCAGAAACGGTCCAAAAAATTATGAATAACACGTAATTAAAACAGAGGAGTCAAGAAAGTAGAAGAAAAACATTTATCAAGAAGAAAGAAAAACCATTTCATAAGCAATGATGAGCAAAATTTAAGGGTTCAACACTTTACGCGATTGCAAGGAAGGGAAGAGAAACTAGGTAGTGGTCCGACTATCACTGGAAAGGCAAAAATGTAGAGAGATGGATCATTATAAGGATATAAAAAGCTAGGACATTTCCCTCCTCCTTCCCTTCAAAAAAAAACCGAATCAAAAGTACTGCAAAAGGTGTTTTGTCACTTTAATTTGACCTTCTGATAGTCATTTTGATGCGACTTTGTTTTAATCCACCCTTCTGAAAGTGGATCAACCCCGGTAACTTAGATGGTCTCATCTATCCCTGAGAGGTAGAGAAGGAGGTGAGAACCTTTGATTTTCTCCATAAGTCGCTAATAACTTGTAAAGTTCTACACCACCACTATACATGGTGCCATCCTCTAACCATTCTTCTGGAGCCAGGAATATGAATTAGGAGGCATCACAGTATTCCAAGCTCACATAATAACCTTAGTAGCCATGGGACCATTTCACCGTTTTATTTTTACCTACTTACTATTTTCACCATTTTATTCATTAAACCTTTTCTTGTTCAATTTCCCCTCCAGTTACTTAGGGAGAAGATGAGTATTTCCTCTAAAAGGCGCATGTCTTCGATAGGTAAAAAAATCTTACAACTTTACAATTTCTAATAATCTTTCCCGCCTTTCCGTGCTGACATTTTTTCCCTGCATAATACCGATTATAAACCTATCTCAAACCTTGGATTTAATTTGTGTAAGAAAGGCGCATATCCAGATACATCCAATTACTTTTTCATTTAATACGCATATTGTCTTGACTGAAAGATTTCATTGTCAGTAGGCTTACGACTACTCTAACGTGGTTTTATGAAATCTTCACTCCAAAATTTGGGAAACCAATTAAGTGATCAAAGCGTCCAACAATCTACCGATCGGAACGAAAACCGACAATGATTCACGCCAATCAGCGACGAGAATAAGCGATTTAGAAGATAAAAAACCAAATTGCAAGCCAAATTATGTCAGCTTTTAACACTTTGTTTCGGGAGACGTGTCCACCAACAATCTGTGGGTGAAATCTTCTCACACTCTCAACCGCTCGAATTCGGACCAGGCGTGACCCTGTTGATCCAAATGTTAGGCAGTCTTTCGTGGAAGGTTGATGAAAAAAACCCCAAGTATAAGTCTTCTTGGGCGAAAAGGCAGAATTCAAAAAATAGGACCAAGGAAATAGAGAAAAATTAAATTAAATGAACATTAAATACAGAAGTCTTGTGATGACATTTCATTCAAGTCGGAATTTATCGAAGAGACCTACAGCACCGAATGGAACCTTGCGTTGGTTGATGTGGTACATTGAAAAGACAAATAAATGCACTCTTCAATAATATGAATAATTTTTAAAAAAATGAAAATGCAAGATGTTCGGACTTACTTATGCACTTTTAATCTCATCAATTTTCTTATGGATAGGGGTAATTTGAGGCAATTTTAAGCTTGATAGATCCGAAAATACCCCAAAAATGTTACAAATTTTCAGTAAAAATTTATTTAAATTTTTTTAGGCCAACTTTTGTTTTATTTAACTACTTCAGTGTCCTTTTTAACCTAGAATAATCACAGCTGTCTGAGACGTCACAACAGGGTAAATTGAGTGTTTGCAAACCATTATCACCACCATAAGCAACAAAACCCCTTGTTTTTCAAGTGTTTAGCTCATTTCATTCGAGTCAAAACATTTTTATCAGCTATTTACCTGAATTTGTGTTCTTTGACAGCAAGAACACTAGTGGGAAGAGAAGTATCTATTGCGTTTGACACTATAAGCAGTTGTCAGTAGGAAAAGTTGTGATTATTTATTGAGGAGACAGGTCAGACAGGGGCTACTCATATAATTTAATGACTCATTTAGCTCCTGACCTTGGTGTGTGAGATCGTGTTGCCCAGGTACCGTTGAGATTTCTGATTACCCATGTTGCCAAGCCCTCATCATGTCAATGCACTTGAGCACTGTCATGATGACCAGCGCCAGTGGGGCATGATGGGACGTGCCCTGAACAATGGAACGTTGGTAGTTTTAATTAAACACACGCTCAAGCGGGTCTTTTCAACCTTTCGGTATTATGCTTTCACAATCCTAACTTGGAATCTTGCGTTCCCATAACGTAAACACAGACTACTAGGTCGGATAATGACTTTATAAGAAAGACGGAGGAACCTCATTTGTGTGAGGCCCCAGTAACCTCTTGCGTTTGTAAGGAGAACATAAATCACTAAAGATTTGTAAAGAGGGCGCTTCTAAATATCCAGAGACATATTGGTATCTACTCAAAGTTCAAACTCTGTAGATCATAGTCCCCATAGAGCGCTTTTATTTGCTCCCCCCATAAAAAAAGTGGAATACCTAAACCATATCCAATTGGTATGGTTTGGAAGGCCCAACACCAATCTGGGTTAAAATAATTTCATAATGATGTAGGAATTTTCCTAAAATAAAAAGCGCCTGTATAAGACCTTTAAGAAGACGCGGTAACCAAATCAATTTATGGTACTGAGAAATAAATATAAAGAAGCCCTCCCAAAGTACTTTAATGGCTAAAAGCAATCACCATTACAATTAATACTCCCTCCTATTTCAATGAGGTACAGGCTAGCTGCAAATTCTGCCTTTATAAAACGCATTTTGTTTCTAAAAGCCAAGGAAAAAAGTTGCCATAGACACCTCTCCATTTGCATCATCATTCTCCTTCATTTTCGCCCCAACGGTTAGTCCTATTTTTCATGTACTTATGTAGTAGTCTGGTACCAAAAAAGTTATAGTCTGCACTTGGAGGAACAATATCGGGGGGATACGAAGAGGTAAATGGGACTGTATCTTCCTCCCTCCCTTCCATCCGAAAGTAAACATCCTTTCACAGATAAGTTTTGCAGTGGTATGGGGCTTGAATTTCACCATTTTCTTGTAAGAAATGAGCGTCTAGACCTGATTGTTTTGGAAGAAGTTTCCTTGTACACCTTCAAGTTGTATCATTTTATCGGGTGGATCTCAGCCGTACTTCATTGTAGACAACTTCGGCCATAGAACCGCACCCACAGAGGAGGCAAACACAGTGGTCCGGGGAAGGGGTGAGTGAAGTGGTGCGTGCCTTTGACGGATGGAGGGCATAGTTACTGGGTGGGTTAGGGATAAACAGAGAGATATTTCTCATCGTGTCGGCCCGTCAGTCAGCAAATAATGGACAGATGACGCGTTCCTGAAAGAACGACAAATTGATAGCCGTTCGAGCTTATTGCCATCTGTGGGTGGATGGGTAAGATTTATTTCCCCAGTAGTATTAGCACCCCTCCCATGACTTTCTCCTCCTCCCATTTCACGTATTTGTCAACCAATCGCTTCATCATTCACAGCTCCTGACACGTCTGACTCGTTATAATTTCCCCATGATCAGGACTAGAGGGTCTTCCTGGTTCCTCGCCCAAAACAAATATTTTAAATTACTTCTGTGAATTAGACAAGCTCAAATCACACTTATCAGGTTCCGCCGACCTTTTCCGAAACAAGGTTTAAAAGTAGAGAAAAAGTAGCAGAGAGAACGACAAAACGTGGCATAGGCCTTGGAATGAATACCTACAAGTCGCAAGTCACTTCAGCTAGGCGTTTTTTTGTTTTTCTAATGCTTCATTAAAAGATCTTTGCTATGAAACCTCTTCCAGTTTTAAACGAACCCCCTGAATGACTCCTTTTCAATGCTTCTTGCCGAATGAGGGATGACAGATATGGTTCATCGGAATCTAAAGGATCCACCACCATCATCAAAGTCTTGGAGTGCTATTTGTGGCAATTGGATACCATTTTATTATCTTCTCTCCCATCTTGGAATTAATTTCGCCTCTTGGACTACTAATGTGGTGACTGATACTGGTGATAAATCACAAGACGCCATGGGAACGACAAACTGATGTAGGCTGGGTATCACATTTGCACTGAGGGTGTTTGGGTAGACCTCCCCACGACGCTGGCATGGAACTCCTCAAACTCTTCTGAATGTGGCTAGCAAAGTCACTTCCAGACACAAGTACGGTTTATAACGTCTTGAAGAATAAATTTGGTGCTTGCAGTTATTTAAGAAATCAAATTTGTCGCTAGACACCCAAACACATCACATACCCAAAATTAGACGTTCTTTTAAGGAAAAGGTACGAAAAGTGCGAAAGATGGTTGGTTTTCAGTTCACCATTGGTGAAAATCAGGAATACTTAATTAGTCCTGGGTGCGCGTGTGTGTGTTTATCGTTGATATCCTGACGGCACTACAGGGAGAGGAGGTAGGATACAGGGCGACAGGGGGCCAGACATTTGCATTCGGACGTGACTCAGCACCCGGCCAGGCCTAGTTTGGCCATCAGTGGTGGCGTGGTTTTCTTGTAAGCACACAGGTGTAATGGGTCTTCCCATCCCTACCACCCCCTATTTTGTCCCCCCTTCCTTACTCTCCCCTCTCTTCGCCTCCCCACAATGCTTCTGTCAAGTGCAACACGGCACCGGTGGTGGTGTGATAAGTAAGAAGGGGGCGAAAGGAGAGGGGGAAGTGTGCACTGAGTCAGAAGCCTCTGCTGCAACGGAGATATCAATCTGACGGTGTTGTGCTTATCTCTCAGCTAGTCAGCCTACCCGCCAGAAGCCTGTCTGAGGGAAAAACTATTCCTGTGACCTTGAGAAAGGCACTCTAATAGCCCACCATTGTTGTTATCAAAGGTCCCCCTGAAGCGAATCAACAACTGCCATGTAAGGAAGAGCTAGCTACCAGCATGATAGGGGATTTTGTAGGGTGATATCAAAAGATGATTCTTTATTTGAATGCGGTTTAGACTCTTCAATCTAGGAGACATGGCTTTGGTGGCTCCTTACACAAAACTGTAAAAAGTTTCAAAAGAAAAAATCGTGGGTAAGTGGTTGCATTGCAGTAAGAGACCTAAATACTAAAAAGTAGCTTCATAGAAGCCCTGAGCTTTACTGGGCCCAGCTACAAAAGGTTCAGTGCAACGAGCGCTTTCTAGATGCATCTAGTCCATTATTACGCCTACAGAATTAGTGAAAAGTATCTAAGGAAAAAGAATACAGGGATACCGTCAAAAAGCATTTTTCTTTCTGTTGAGATATCAACGGAATGGGGTAAGTTTCACCCATTAATAAAGTATTTGATGAAGAACTGGCTGACTAATTGCCATACAAAAACCAACGTCCATAGATGCTCGAATCATACCAGCAATGCTTCTAGTCTTCCAGCCTCCACCATACAGCGATGATAAGATTCCCTCCAGACCATAAAACAGCGAAAAACTATAAAACACAGGAAGTGATGTTTTTACAGCCATCTTAACAAAGCATATTTCAACTACAAGCCAATTCTGTGAGGATAATATATTATCTCTCGAAAAATGTTTACTCCCTCTGGGTCAGAAAATCTCGGAGAAAATTGCTGGTGAGTCAACTCACCAAGTCCCTTGGGGGTGGAAGTAATCGGTGTCTTTGTAGGGAGAACCTACATATTTATCCCTAAAATGAAAGGGATACTCAACCATAAAACACGATCTAAGTACTTGTTGGTTAATAAATCTTTCATCTTAAGTAAAAAAGCAAGTTAACCTTTCTTAAGGAGGAATTGCTAAAACGATACTTTAATCATTTCATTGTGCACCAGGTACAACTTCTTTACAAACCCTTCAATGGAAGATGCACCTAAAAGTTTCGGAAAATGAGGCAAAATTTTCAACATTCTTCTTAAAACTGCATGGCGAAACATTGCTCTGTCTGCAACTCCGAAACGGTTGACTAATCTTTCACGCAAAAACGCGTAACAATGAGGACAAAAAACTCGGCATTCTTGTAACAGGTCAAGCATCAAACTGTAAGGATGCCCGATCGTCTTCGTCCCCTTGCATAACTTATGAATGAAGGAAAGAAAGGGAAAAAAATACAAAGAAAACCTCAGTTATTGCATCAGATGCTGCAGTCATGACATGAGCAGGAGGTACTTTTAGAATTCGGTTGATTCGCCTAATTATCGTCTTCACCCTTGAGGCATCCGCTTGTACCCGCGTGGGAGCAGTTAATAACGCTACAAGTTACTTAAATAACGTAATTAAGTAGTTAGTTATTTAATCATGAATGCGTAAGCTATCGTCGTTGAGGGAAGAATACACTCGAGAGTCTACCATTTGAGATGAGTTTTTAACATTCCACTTGCTTTTCACTCCGACAATAACTGGCTACCACTCGCTACTGAAAAATGCACAAACGCAGCCGCCAAAATAGAGACCAGTAAACATCCAGACTGCCTAAATTACAATCACAGCCATTGCACTGAAGCGGGATGGTGGGGTGGAGTACTTAAAAAGCAGTCAGACGACCTGCCCTCAATTGCCTCATAATAAGGTGCCAAATTGCCATTCACTTTTTGGCATCGTAATCATTTATGTTCCTTTTACAGGGGCATGATTACATAAAAATCTCAGATTTTACAATTGAATATAGTTGTACCACACTGTTAAGGTTAAAATGGGTAAAATTCAAAAAAAAGGAGTGGTTGTACCCCCTGTCGAGCGAATTTATTCCGATGGAACTGTTTACCCCTTCCACCGCCCTTTTGTCTTACACCTTTGGAATTACAAAAGTGGTGGTTGAAAAAACCTCAGACAAAACCATCGCTATCCACCAAACTGTCAATGACAAAAATGCCAAAAAATTTTCTTGAGTTTCACTCAGAGTGTGTGAATAAGTTTAGCAAGAATATCTTCTTTGTCCACATTTTTAGCGGAAAGTTATACTTAGTTTATGAGTCTGTCGCATGTCCTGATTTGGACAAGTAATTCTACCAAACGTTTTGCCTCAATTCCACCAATCTTCAAACTCCACATCTTCCGGATTTAATGATCAGCTTCTCCGAACCATTTTATTTATCTTTTAAACAAAATATGTAAAACAAAGATTTTTTCAGTTTTTAGCTTTCCCCTCTTTTGGGAAAATACTTAATTAGGATAACGACTGAAAGCACAAACTTGATGTGCCGTAAAAGTATGTCATCCAGGTTCCAAAACCAGAATGACATTGCCATGGCAACTTGTCTGTGCGTAATTCATTCTCGGTTAAGGCATCAAACGTCTGTGACCTGTGTGGGGTCAACGAGAGCTATTAAAACTTCATTATGCCTGTCTCTGTCCATGCGGGGACTTATCATATCCGCAACCTTTCAAAATAAGTGTTTTTTGAAGAATTTGAAGTGTTCATATTAACATCGTGTTGGAACAGCTGTCACCAATTTCCAAGGCGGATACAAATGCTTGTGCCCCATGAACCCATATAGATTGCTCCATATAAGACATCTTCCTCTAGTCATGCTACTAGAGGTAGAAGAGAGGAGCACCCAAAGTACCGCGGCACAATTGACCATAGTGGGTAAATCCCTTCTCGAGGCGAGGTGACGCGTTTTGAAAGACGTCGTCTAGCTAACTTTGCCTTTTGTTATCCACCAAGCATTAGAAATCCATCAAGAAGAAATCAAATGACGATGCAGGATAATGAACTTTACCGGTTGTAAATAAATCATCTGGGCACAGCAGAAGTTGGAAGCAATCAATGTGGGGGTCGCCTCGGATCGTGAGGTATTCGCAAAATATCAACACATATCCAACCTCCCCACCATAAGACCTTGAAAGTCATCACTCTACCACATGTGAAGTTGGTTTATTTTCCTCAGCGGATGCCCAATGCTCGCGACAAAATTACTTACAATAAAGGCGTACAAAAGGGGAGGCGGTCGTACATATAAGGAGAAGCAGAGGCCTTCATTCCCTCGGATTACTCAAACACAAGGCGGCTTTATTAGTGTTCCTTACGAAAAATAATGAGAAGTAATTGTAGTTTTTGTGTAGGATAGCCAAATACGCAGTAGAAGGTAATAATAAGGAAATCATTTTTTTATAAAAAGCAACACTCAGGATTCAGTGGTGGGGTATTTTGCATCAAAGCACTACTTTTCCCATTTTCTTAACCTTGGAAAGTGTTTAACACAAAAGAAAGCTCAAAAAGCTAGAATTTGTACAATTTCTTCAACAAACAGTGCACTATACACCGTAGCCATGGAAACCTTTTCTAAGGAGATAACAAACCAAATTATTGGGAGGGGGAGAACATACTACTTACTAACGTACAGGAGGACTGGGAGGCCACAAACACCGCGTGAAGTACTACATGCAGGGACGGAGGTGTCTACGTGGTTCAACACGTGGTCAAGCAAATTATGAAACCACTGCAGCATTTTTAACTCTCTTTGTCATTACTTTCGTCAAGTTCTTTGACTTAGAACGGAAAGTGATTAGAAAGAAAGATGATAACAAGTTAAGCTTGTCTCATTGTGTTGCAACAGGACGACATCTGTTTTAAATGTCAACTACACTGTGCCCTTCAACACTTCACTCACCACAGTATTTATGCCTCCATTCCTCCACCTATGGGTCGAATGTTTTGAAAGCAAACAGAAAGGTAAATTAATGACTATAAACTGAATAAATAAAACCAGTTTTATTATGCCTTTTAAGCTCACCACACCGCTCTTTTCCCTGAAATTTTACTTTAAACTTTCGGTATTAAAAGACGACTCATTAAATGACTTCCACCCCTCATATTTAAAGGGATATTCTTGACTTAATTCCATCGCTTCATGTGGAAGAAAGCTCATCCTTGACCGAAAATTTTGTAACTTTTTTCTCATTTACACTGCGGAAGAAAGTACCGCGAATACCCCTCCAGTTTTTGTTCGGTTCTTGCTACTCATCCGCTAGCACATGCACACACAAATAGAGTGGTACTGACAGTGGCAGCTATTTCCGCTGTGCTGCCCTTTGCGCAAGGAGGCGGGCGGACGGGTGAACGGACGGACCAGTACGTTACTCAAGTATGTTTGCATAATTAGATTAGGTCCTGACAACCGTCGCGGTAGGTAGAAGGGTAAGTGGGCGAGGTCGGTGGGTAATTTGTGGGTGTGCAGCTGTTACCCCCACGCAAGTTGGCGGCTGTTTTTGCAACATTCGCACTCCTCAAAGTTCCTTTTGCGTGTTGTCTTTTTCGCCTCGGGCTCTTTGTCTATTTAGTTCTTAAAGTAAGGTCAAATCACTCTGTCAACCGTGTCTCCTGCCTGAGTCAAAAATTAATCTTCGTAGTCTAACTTTTGCTCTGCTTTTGTTTCTTTTTTCACATGAAACACCCATGGCAAACATGATTATTTAATAATTTGTAGTCATCTTAACTCCCTAATGGTAGAGACCTTATTTTTCGTCTTGATCCTCCAATGAGCCTAATTTACTGCGTCGACAGTAATTGGTCAACTGTTTGAGCGGAGAGGACCCCTAGTAGATATCAGTTTTGGTGAGGGAAGATATAGGAGGCGACTTCAATGAACACCTGATCTACTATTGGCTGAATTATCCCCAAATCTATTTCCTTTTTATTTTTTTGTTTTAGTAGATTGGTACGACAAACTTGCTTCCTAAATGAATTCAAAGTTGGAGCCTAAATGAAGTCCTTCTACCTAGCGAACCAATCGTCAAGGGTCCCCCAGGACTGGTATGAAACTCATCATCAGCATTTTTTTTGCATCTTTGAGTAAACCCAAATCACCATTTGGATTCTTGAATTTGAATGGCGCCTTTTTAGTCGAAAATAAATAGTTTATATGACCTTCTGGAATAACAAAACACCAAACAGACTTTGCTCTACAACTGTGGGAAATATTGTAAAATTCCACAGCCAACTTATTTAAAGACTTACTGTAGTGCTTAAATAGTTTGTCAAAGTCTCGGTTTTTGTTTTGCAGGCATTTAAGGTCGTGATATGGTCTCCAGACCATGCCAGTAACTCCTCAACTCTTCTGCACGTCGGCAATGCATTTTATGTTCTAGTATAATGGCTTCTTTTAAAATAAGGAAAGATTCGCGACGCGACATTGGTGGCAACAGAAAGGGAACCCAATCCTAAGAAAAAGCTGCCTTGGAATCCATTCTTGAATGCTAAGACTTAACATAAGAGGGGAAGAGCAGATGCTGTGAATGAATTAATATGTGAAAGCCCCTAACAGAAGGGTTGACAACTTATTTCAAAGACTCACATCCATTTCTACCACTTTAAAATCCTCAGAACATTTAAATCCACCAATCAAGTTCGTTTAGGGGATATGACTGACTATGCCAAAGTAATTTTACCCATTCCTCTGAATAAAAAATACTGAAATCAGCAGAGAGAAAGCCTAAGGGACGACAATGAAGTTCGCGTACTGTTGGTGCCCACGAAGATCACTTCTTGATCTTTTAACCAAGCGAGAATAAATCCGAATGTACAGTTAGCATTCATGATGAGCAAATGTCCTTCACCCAGTGACAATCATCGAAACCCTAGTGTTCAGAAAAAAAGGACTTTTACTTCAAAAATACCGTTTGTGCTTTAGAAAGACTTGTTTAGCTTATTGCTTGATGCGCTTTTTGATAACTCGAAATCCGGCCTCAAGTGCAGCTAATGGAGTGACTCGCTGCAATAAATAGAACATTGCTGCCAGGCAACAATTGTGCAAACAACCCGAAAATACAGGCAATTTTTCCCCCGCAATATGACGAAACAGTTTGAACATGTTCGACCTCTACCGATATCCTGATTGAAGCGATTTAGTGGATTTTATTACAAAAGTCTCTTTCTTACAAAACTGCAGTTAAAAGTGCGTCAATTTAACATCAAATGTCTAAGCAAATTTCAACCATTTGTGAAAAAAATGCCTTGTCAAAAAAAGAACCGCAAACCGCAGCAAAAAAGGGAAAAACCTTAAACCAGCACTGCGGTAGGTAGGCAACAGCAGCAGTGGGACAGCTGTTGCATCTGTCAGCATAAGGACTGAGAGAGAGTAAAAAAGGACCAAAAATTAGAAAAGTCAAATTCTTTTAGAGGAGGGGAGGAACCAGGGTCGGCTGGAGGGCAGAGAGAGACAGTGACTGCATAACAATGGATGTCGTTACCTTTCAGCATCCCATTATAAGTGAATAAGGATACATCTAGCCAACTATCTGTGTAGGTTTATAAAAAACAAAACAACAACAATCAAAAGGGAAATACCGGTAAAGGGAGGGTTTGCTACCCTCCCATCTGTTGTTTCAAAGGTCCTGGCCACCACAAACAAGCCGTTTTTGCTGTCATAAGTTATCATAGGAGTCATTTTGATTCCTTTTACAAAACTAATGATTGTTGAGTAAAAAAAATAACCCCAAAAACGGCGGATGTAGAGTACATTTTTTAACCACCTTTTGGTGTCAGAAAAAGGACACCTGCTCCCTTCATGCATTCAAGGAGGTCGAAAAAAGAGAAAGCTTTGAAGACGTATCTTCAAAAATAAGGCTTCTGTAAGATATTTAAGCCACCACTAACCGTGAGGGAAAACTGGACCCGAAAAAGTCTAAAATGCATAGAAAAAAGTGACCAGACCCCCCTCAACTCAGTAATGTGGTAGGTAGTGACAGCAGTGGAACAGTTGTTGATGCTATCACTGGAGTGTTGAAAAAAGTTATCAACAAATTGTGAATTCAAAATTTTTCAAGAGCTAAGAAGGAACTAAATTGAGCGCCAATTTGTCACCATTTAATGCTGACAGCGCCTGCTAAACGAACCCATGTGTATGTGTCTGCGGATAAAACCGGAGTCACTCCTCCATGTGCTGTTCGCTCGCTCACTTAGCTGAGGTGTTTTGCGGAGGAAAAGAAAATCGCACGAAAGCGAAAAAAAAATTAACTTACTGAACTCTCATTGGAACAGTAATTTTTTCTCATCATTTGCCTAGCCCCACTTGGAATGAAGTGACAGTCAAATTGAGGACTCCAAATCACTTTTTTTTTAAATTGAAGATGCTGCAACGCAGTGCCAGCTATTTTGCAACTGCCTAACAAGCCAAGGTTATCCACACTGCTACAAGCTGACTTGAGGACTAAATCAGGTTTTTCTAGCATGTCAGCTGTGGGGCGTTTGGATGGTTGTGAAGGCACTCTAGATTTGATCGTTTTTCTTTTGTTTAAATGCCTTTTGTGGGTTTGATAAGATCAAAAAAAAGCTGAACTTTCGCCAGCTGCAAAAAACAACACCTTTGATGCGGCATCCGTCCTCCATTTTCAGTGCCTATGCAGGACGAATATGAGCCTTCAGCCGCCTCGGTAGTAACAACAAGCCTGTCCACCTGTTCTGACAGGTGACGGAAATAATCCCAAGGTTTCAGAACGTACCTCTTACATACAATACTGGATATAACTATCTAAGAAGACGGGAACTCTGGAAGGCCACTATTATCCTCTCAACTTTACAAAGGTTGAAGCGCAGGCAATTCCGAACGACACAGAAACTGTGATAGTGATGCCTAACCGGCTTGTCAACTGACTTCGTCATTTTTTACCGTAAGAGAGGAAAATTCAACCGAGAGGAGACGGCTAACGCAAAAGAAAAGCGGTGTAAATCCCCTGAAATTAGGCAAGTGGTGGGTAGTGGAGGAAAGTTGTTCCCAGAGAACTCGGAGGGTAAAGGAATCAAGAAATACAAAAAGTAGGGCTTTTTTCTCGGCGATCACGAACTGGAGTGAAGAAGGTCCGTGATTTCACCACACTAAATAAACTTTAACAAATTCTGTTATCGTCCGCCAACTCTTCTATCCTTGTTCTTTCTTCAACAAAAAGGTTGGCGTGTTTTCCCTGCTGTTGTCTCCCAGGCCATCCTTTCATTATCTGATTTAGTTAAGTACTTTCCTCTCTAAAAGAAAAGGAGACTTTTAAAGCCCCACTTTTACGAATCCCGTAAGCGTGATTCAGATTTGTCAGCTGCTAGGTAGTCTATTCTAAAACGAAAACACTTTGATACATTTCACGATGGTAATAACCGGACTTTAGTGTCCCAGTTGAGAAGGAAGCAACACATTTTGGACAAATTATGACAGAATTAATCCTTGTGAAAACCAGAGTTTTCAAGTCCCCTGTAACTTTTCTTCAAAAAGCCTCTATTGTTGAAGGAGAGAATCTCGAAACCGATGGCTAAAGTGAAGGTCAAACACAGCCGTGTTGGCTGGTGACTCTCCCTAATATTGTTTTCGTGTGTAAAAAAGTCCTCAAATTGTGGAATAATTTTTAAAGCAAAATTCCAACTTTAAAAGGGATTTTTCAAAACATTAATGGGCTTGAAAGCAATTCGAGGGCAAGCGATGTCCAGTACTTTATTTGAGTAGCCAGGTTGAGTCATTCCACCTAGGGTTAAAAACTTGTCAACTTTGAGAACAACAGTTTTTCTCCCGTTTTTTTTCGTAAAAAGCAACCATGGTTCGCCTAAGTGCCTAGGCTTATCATAAAAGGAAAAGTTGTTATAGTCAACATGCCACTTGGGTGAGAGGAGTTTTCAAATCGCCATACATTTCTCAATTCGTCGGGTCAGAAGGAGAGAGAAAGTTTTGGCAATAGACATCCAAAATTTTCGAACTAGTAAAGCTTCTATTACCCCTCAACACCTTAAACCTTTAGCAGTAAAAAAAATTGTAAATTCGCACTCAAAAGACAGGCAATTTTTTGGATGCCAGTTAAAAGAGGTCTGGTTTATGAAGGTCTTGACGGGGTGCACTGTTTTCCTGACACCGGCTTCTCCTTTAGACCGCAGAAGTTAATATAGCTCGACGAAGAGCTTCGCAAATGCAGGCCTTGCAAAACACATCATCAAATGCCGATTTCTAAATCGTAGCTATCAGACTTCCTCCTATAAACCCTAGTCTAGCGTTTGGAATAGGTACGGCCTGCAGCTGGAGAACGTACAATCCAGAGTTAAATGGTCTAAAAAATTTGATTCTAGTGATGAAACACTTCAAGATAGATGCACTGAGTGAAGGAATTCCCCCTACTCCTGGTAGTGACGCGTCACTACTGAATTGCATTGCAAGGTTAAGGTGTCAAGAATAACTGACAGTAATATCTGTCGTGAGTAGAGAAACGATCCGTTTACACCTACGTCAACTGAAAAAGCTGTGGAAGCCAATAAACTAGGCCCCGCCTACAATTAGGGATAATGAACTTCCAGGGCTATCACCTTGTTTCTCACATTGCAGAAAATGATGTATTCAAAGTTAAAAGCATATTAATCGCTTAATGAGGCTTGCAACTAGGTCCGAATTTGAGGCATCTAAAAGTCATTTGCTTATAAAATTTCCTAGATCCAGTATGCGAGAGACTGCTTGCCATCTCTCGGAAACTAGGGGTATAGGCGACAAACGTGTGGTCTCATGACCCCACCGGATTATTCATAGATGGACATGCTGGGGTGTCTATTTAAATATCCGCTAAAAGCACCCTATCCACAATTTCTCTCTTAACTTTAAAAAAGAAACTTTAATTAGTGTCAGGGAAAAAATTTTACCGCTGTCTCTGAGACAAGCACCGCTCTGAGATGTAAAACAAAAGCAAATGAAATAATTTACTACCAATTTGCATATCAAATACACCCGTTTGAGGAAAATAAATTACACGCAGAAAAAACTGCCTCGTTTTGAATTTGTGTATAGTAGGACTATGAAGTGCCCTTTCTCACCTAAATTCACCTCCATTTGCCGGCATGCAACTTTTAATGAAATGGTAAAGCAGTTCTAAAATCTCACAACTTAAAGCAGTTAAACTTAGGAAAGAGGGCGCATTGAAACAATGTGGCGTTGCCATTATTTGTAGTGGTGGCACCTTAGGTAAAAAGATTTCTTGAAAATTGCCCTAGGTACCTTAAAGTTACTCCAGCGGGATGGAGCTGCCTCCGAAACCGCACCACCACCATTGAAACAGACCTTCAAGTATTTTTCAATCTTTGTGTTACTTTTTTCTTCAAGTTTTGACCGCTTGATCTGCCGTAATTTGACGAATACCCTGATGGAGCAAATCAAGGTAATTACCTACACTACCTTGTCAAACAGAATTCGTGATCTTTCACTTTGAAGCCACGACTGTGAAATCCCATTCGTAGAGTAGTTTTGCTCTTCAAATGTGTCCGTAAAGGTGTTTTTGGTTCGTCTCAAATTATTTTCGCCTTTTTTATGCAGAACTTAGCCTCAACAGTACTTTTCCTCTGAGCGCCTTTTGCCACAGAAAGCAATATGGAGACATTCCAACTAAATTTGTGTGATAACTAATAAGTCAACTTATTTCCACTTGCAAGATATGTTGGATCGGGGTAGAAATTTTTTCAATGGCAATCCGACGGAATTAGAGATTCGCAGGCACCACAAATGATGAATAGTTCAGACAAAGCGAAATTCAAATAAAAAAGCGGCTTTAAAGATTTAGTGCGTCCTAAATTTATAAACAATTCAGCTTCAAGTAAAGGTAAAAACCTTTGAAAATTATTAACCCCTTCGAAAGATTAAGCCCCTAAATCAAGCAGACCTCTTTCTTTGATAAAAACCCCAAAAGGAACAAGTAATTTTGTCATTGTAATAGTTTGATTGGTTGATGAACAATTCGTTGTGATTACACGGGCATTAAAGGCTCCACCATTGCACTTCCACTTGGCGACATGACCTCTGGAGCATGCCAGTGCCCTCCTAGCCCTTCTGCACGTCAGCAATACACTTTCTGCCCAAGTATTATGACTTCTTCCGTATTTAGGAAATTTGACGCACAAGCACAGAAAAAGTTGGCTGACTTTCTAATCGAAACACCCAGACATATATGAAACTCGGAGATAAAAGCAGCTACATCTTGTGCTGCTGAGACAATTCATCCACTTTTCCTTCCTCAAATTAACCTATGCTCAGACCAACCTTTAAAAGGATCATTGCAAAGACATTATCACTAGGCATATTTCCTGTCTAGATAAAAGGCGTGAACGAGTTTGCGTATCACATTCACAACCCGCTCGGCCAAGGAGCGGAGACGACACTGACTAAGACAAATGTTATCACCAGGACGGTGGCGGTTTAAGCTGTCGCGATGGTGAGGCATTGAGCTGGAGAGGGAGGGAGAGAGGGGGAGTGAAAGGTGATGCTATTTGGACGCGTGCCGAAGCTCTAAGTCTTACCTACCGCGCGCATACACTAGTGTCACAGCTCTAGTGTCCACTGTTGCCTGAATTTTTCCCCTAGGGGATTAGACAAGACCTCTGTATCAATGTTCCCCTCGTTTATATCAGCAATGAATGTGTGATGGGTGGAGGACAACCGTTCTTCCTCGTCAATTGGGGTTAAGTCTGATTACTATCCAAGTTCGAGCTGGCGCACACATGTCAGCAACAATTGAGGGTGAAAATATTCCTTAATGATATTTTCACATCATCAAATACATAATGGAAAAGTAGGATTTGTGCAGAAGACCATCAAACATTGAGCTCTATTAAATTATGCGTACTCATGGTACCTAAGTGAGAAAATCGCTATCACTTCTGGTGCAAATTGCATCTACCTTTAAAATCACTTCCATGTGAATAAATAAGTGTTTTATAAAGCAACGAAAGGGCGTATTTATTCCTTAGTATTTCCCTTTAAATGAATGCAGAATCCGAGCAGTGTCGAAAGCGGTGATTGAAATGCACACTATTTAAAGTGATCTGAAAAAGACAAGTCACTCCTCCACCTTATTCCTTATCGAAAGGATAACGGGAACACGGAAAGTTTGATTCGAAAGACGAGGAATGGGAGGCAAAGACGACCGGCAGTCAGAGTGCGGCGCACGTACTTGGAACTACTGCCTGTCCGTGCATTTAGTGGTACCCAAATTTGCAGGCGCTATCTCTTCCCCCCTCCGACTCCTTAAGTGTTCTCTGCTAGTATTCTTCTTTTTTTGGCGAAGTAAAGACACCTGTATGAAAACAATACCGCTACATTCCGATAAGGCAAGCTTATTCAGTTTGTTGCTAGAATAGAGACGCCTTCTTTTGTAGAAAAAGATCACATCCAAGATTGTTTTTGGGTAGACTTCATATGGAAGGGTAGTTAGTAGGTAAATTTTACTTGCTTCAGTTGCTGTCGTTCTGATTCATAGCATAATCTTAAAAAAATGGCAAGAACTAAAACCGGGGTAAATTTTTGTGAGGCAAATTTCCCCCTATAACAGAGATTCGAGTTCTAAAACCCATCGGCTGAAAATCCAACATTAATTACATTTTTCCCACGTGTGATTTGCGGAACCAAATCTACAAATCCTAAAGGTGATAACAACTTGGAGGTGGTAGGCATATTACAAATAAAAAAGGCAAAAAAAACTCAACATTTGGAATGGAAAGGAGGAAGTAGAAAAGGTCATCACCTCTGTTGGCACCTCATTCACCTTCACTCCCCTTTATCCGAGCATAGGTGCGATGTCATCGCAGTAACAACTTTGCTTGTCACCCTACTTGGAACAGATTAGTCATATCAGCGCGGCAAAAATCTTAATCCCACCGCTTCACCTACCGCAGTGTCTAATTAGGCGAAAATGAAAAAAAATGCTACGGATGCAGGAGACTGGTCAAAATTTTTTGACAGCCCGCCGCTTTCAATTCAACTTTCCGCCTCCAAATGAATAAGTTGTTCCCCCTTACGGATGCATTCAGGACTTTCCCTTTCTACATAAAGTTACACGTGTTTAATATCGACTGAAAGCCTATTAACAACAACGAATTGGCGATGAAGTTTTGCAAGTAATCCACAAAGTTGCATCGAGGACCTTCCACCACTTGCTATGAAGCGTTCTGGATACTCGATTAAAGGAGAACGACTGACTGAATGCAGACTTAGCACACAGTGATCGGCTAAAAGTGGTAAAATTTTCGCCACAGGGGTCTCGGAGATAGCAATGTTAAATTGTTCCAACATGACACCACATACTTACTTTTCTGACCAACTCAAATATCGTTAACAAAAAATGTGTAATTGTCCTCAAGTTAAAACACCTTACTCCTATCTTACTGTCTCGCATTCAACCAATCTGAGCGCAGCTTGATTAAGTTCACCTAGCTATTATAAGCAGACAGAGCACGTGTCACGCATATGTGACGTTAGGCTTAGGTAAGAAAAGTCGAGCCGTCACATATACACAAGATGCTGGAAGTAAACGTGTACTCATTTTGGGAAGTTCATAGGTTGAAGATATAGTTGAATGCGTCCAGCCTGAGGACTCGCTTCTACTTTCTAATACACAGTGGAATACTATCGGTTTGAACGTTAATCTTTACAAAAAAAACTCCTTTTTGTACTTTATGACGTCACATTCAAGCAAATACTGAGTCCATTTCTCCGACCCATTAATAATATCCCAGGATAAATGTACCGCATTGAATTAGAAGAAATAAATGGTCGCGGCAGTAGATGGATGCAACGGCGAGTAAGTTGGAGGATGGGTGGTGCATCATTAATACTAATAGCAATCTCACAAATTATTTATTCCTTCTTCCGCCGATGCGTGCCTAAGGAGTTCCATTATTAAGTTGATTTAATGATTTTACTCAAATCTGGTTTGACAAGAGATCATATAAAAAGTTTCTGTGAGCTTCCGCTCAGAGAAAATGACATAGACAATACTTATCACATGGAGAGTGGTGCTACCACCTTGACTAGTCAATTTGAACCGAAAACAAGTAAGCAGTTTTTTTCTGGACGACAACTGTTTAACCAGCAGGAGAGACTAGATATATATGTCTGGATTATGGCAGAAAGACTGCTTCTAGAATGGCAATCCTTTTTTTTTCAACTAAGATGATAATTAAAGTTGAAGGCGATGTTTTCAAAAAGGTCAAAATTGAGATCTACCGCCTTAACATCGAGGTGACTGATCAACCAACGGTGTTGGAGAGAAGAAGGCAGTTTTGGCCACGTGTTTCAAAAATGACCTATGGCGGGCAATCGGTTCTCCAGACCTTCCGCCATCCTAAGAAAAATCAAACTCTTAATTTCAGGAGTAAGTCGTACGCAACGTCGGTGGACGGGCCCACACCTTTTATGGCTTAAAAAACATCACCGACTTCCGTGCCTCAAAGAGAGCTCCAATCTAGGTAGAACGAGGGTTTACTATGGAAGAAAGCAACTTGCTTAATTAATGGTAGGCTTAAAAAGTGGATGAATTTGAGGGTAACTTCGAAATGCGTTCAAAGAGTAGCAAAGTGACTGAAAGTTAAAGGGAGGGGGGAGGGGGAGAAACCTGGACATAAATCTGGTGAATAATGAAACTGATCAGACTTTTAAGCAAACACCCCCTCGAAAAGCGACTAGCATGACCCAGACTTAAACAAACGAACTTCTCTGACGCAACTTAAAAATACGACTTGACAGTTGGGTCCATGAAAACCGGTAAGGTGCACCACCATCGCGGACCTGAAGTCATCTTGTCGTAATGGGAACTTATTCTGCAACTTTCTTTCTATTTCCGTAGTCGGTTCTACTTCACCTGAACTTTACTTTGATGGTTGACACAGAAGAATTACAAATATCGGGCTTTTTAACAGAGGAAAATCGACTACCACAGCCTAGCTTCATTGTTTAAATATGACACAATCATCAGGTAGACCGAATCACCCGTTGGTTAAAAACCAAGCATCATTGTTTTAGACTTAACCAATTTATTTGTGCGGCATGGTTCGGTACAAAAAGTCATCCACTTATACAGACCACGTGCGGTATCTGAGGCGCAAAACAAGCAGAACCGGAGCGTCACACGTGCTAGGGTCATTAATAAAATCCCTTAATTACTTCAGAAAATGTCAATGTTCGAACTTTTTGGGAAAGAAAAGAACAAAGAATGTTTCAAATAACACTGGTACAACTCATCAAATACTAACTTAGTCGAACGCGGGACTGCATTGCCGGCAGGCCGCCAGTTGAAGAGAAGTCAAATCCGTTTTATACAATCCACCGATCATTCCATTTTAGGCAAACCCAGAGGCATTTCGTAGTAGCAGATGGAGGCGAAGCCTCTTGCCAATCTTTAGCTCTTTTCCGTGAAAAAGTAGCCCTTACAACAGGCTGCAGTAGCGTGGCAAAGGATTGTCCCAATGTGCAAGGCATGGCTAAGCCCTAACCGCATCACACCAACCCAACTGCCTACCGCAGAGTGGGGCAGTTTTTATGACCTCCCACGGGGGCAAAGCAAAACAAAACCAAGGGCCAAACGCACATGCACACACGCACACACTAAACACCACGACTGCTAAAAATTACCGGCCATTAGGCGCTGTAGGAATGGTTTGAACTCCAGGGGCAATTTTACCCTCTCACATGGGCAGGTGTTGAAGCAATAGTGTTAACCAAATCAGTGATGTCGGCAGGCGTGAGGAAAAGAGAAGGGCAACAGGATGAAATTAATCAATTTGAAAACGGACTAGGTACATTCCCACTTAAAAGGAAATGCTAAAACGGCAAAATGCATAAAATCTAACCACCAAGTGAAAGGACAATTCTTTAAGCCATTTACTTGGCACGAAATTTACGGTGAAGTGCATTCAGAGTGGAAGATGAAAGGTTCCGGAGAGGTCGAAGTAATTACAACATTTTCTGGGTCGTCAGGTAAAAATGGTGGCTCGGTAAACAGTGGGTAAGGGTTTAACCACTCTTACTCCACTTTCTTGTAGGATCAAAACTGTGCAGTTATGGTCACTGGCAATTTATCCTTCCAAAAATTAACAAATCCTTAGGTGCTTCCTCGTGTTTGGGAGATAACGATACACTTAGGTGGTCGTCTTATACGATTTAAGAAGTTCAGCATTTGAGAGGAAGAAAGAACAAATTAAAGGGAGCTGAGAAGCATAACCACTTGAAGGTCGACTTTCAGAAGATCAGACGACTCGGTCGAGTTCCCGAATTCAGACAATCACTAACCAAAATTCAGGGCCAAGGTGGAATTTCAACTCGTGTAGTTCCGACTGATTTTAAGGTAGCAGAATCAAAGTAGTTTTAGACTATTCCTCCATTAATATTTTTCAAGCCCTTTATTCCCTCCTATGAAATAAACGGATGATTTGACAAGTCTGGAGAGTAATTAGGAAAAAAGTGGATTTTTTTTATCTCTCACCAACGCTTAGGTACACAAATGAGGATAAATTGGCCCCTTAAAGTGAGCGAAGTGGTGTCTGCAAACGAACTAACGATTTCAGCAGTCGGAGAGAGTAAATTGAAATTAATTTATTTGGCAGTTGACAACCTACACTGCGACAGGAAAAGTTTGTCAGGCGAATTAACCATTTAACCCAATCTACTCGACACAAACATGAAGAAACCAACATCCGAACAGCTCTATTGCATAATGAATTTCCTAGCAATTCACAGCGTTACCAGTGGTAACCGACCTAAATAACCTTTCATCAACCTACATCCGGATTTACATGATAGAACAGTGGAATTTAAAAGGTACCTTTTTACCATCTTCTGATTAATACACAAAATGACAGTTTGACCACACACGTGAAGAAGGGACGGAGTGCTCTCATAAACCGGCAGATTCCGGTGAAAAGACCACCCTACTTCTCAAAGGTAAAGAGTTGTCTACTACAGGCTATGCGAAGAGCAAAATCGCCACTTTCGGAACTAAAAAAAACTGCCTTAAAGCTTGAAGAGAAGCGAATCTCGTTTACAGTTTGGAGGTTAGAACAGAGGGATGTTCAAAATTGCATGGTCTAAACATCATGCCAAGCGTAGGCAGTGCCAAGTCTATTGCCCTTGACATGGACTGCTTGAGCACACCTAAAAGATCAGTTGAAATAAATGTTTGCAGATAAACCATCACCTAGTCGATAGCAACAAGTTGTTAAAATATTTATTTCGGTACAATGCTTTAATTGTTTTCAACTCTTCGTTTTGGTCACGCGGGCACTGAAGGTGCCACCATTGCGCTTCCGCTCGGCGACACGAACTTTCAGCACTTCTGTACGTTGGCAATATTATGATTTCTTCTGACTTCAGAAAAGACTCAAGGTCCTACAATCATAATGAGCAGCTGGCCTCAAAAGCTGCTGGACACAGAAACCACTTTTAAATACACCTTTCCCGTGCAATTCTACAATTAGCATAAATTCCATCTCAAGTAGGACCAGAAAAAGTCATTTTTACCAGGAAATTCAAGTAAAAACCTGGGATTGGTAAAGTTAAATGATCGGGAACAAATCACATCGATAACTGTGCCTTTTTCTCTACAGCAGCAACGGGATCAACAAATTCGTAAACATCGGATATTTTCGGTGAACAAACAAAAACACTTTTCCATAAGCTGTGCTTGTGATATGCTACCCAAATGTGTTTCTAGAGGGTAAAAAGGGAAACACATACGAGAAGGCAAGTCGTGTCGAAACAGTTAGTGATAGTGATGGATGTGTGGAATTAATTAACATGATAGCCATTTTGTATAGAAGGAGGTAAAACAAACAGGGCACAAATTATAACGGCTCTTCCACAAGAGGCGGACGATTTAACAACTACGAATAAGCACGCAGTCGATATTTCACATTATTTTGTGGAAAAATAACCCATCTACTTAGGCGAAAAAGCTCAAGTACTTTACAAATAAGCATTTACCACAAAGACTTCATCGGGTGGAAATTGGAAACCTTCTACTAAGTTGAACCGCGAATGTGGAGAAGCTATCAGAAATGCATACGCATAGAACGATCCCACGTCAAGTGAACGGAAGTTGATGGAACCACTTTATCGCAAGAAAAGTCTAAAGCTTGTTGTAATGAATTTAATCAGAGACACCTTCTAATCAATGAAACTGAATTGAATAAAAGAAGGACTTCAGGGGAAAATACAGTATTTAAGGCCTTCAAAGTTTCGGAAGTCATTCATCCTTCACCCCTTACCTTCAACACTCAGAAGGAAATAGAGAACACTGTAGCGTCAACCAAATTGGCGAAAAAATAGTTCAAGCGTTTATTTATTTCCATACGATGATTTTAAGCCTTAAAGGCATTAATAATACAAATCCTAACTACTTGTTCCACTCTTCATCCTGGATGATCGGAAACAAGCAGAGTTCCGTCGTTGAAACCATAACTCAAGGCATTCCAATAGTCATTATGACCTTACAGGTTGCCGTAACACTTGAAGCGGACTTAGTCCTCCTTTTATTGCTCTGGCCATCTTGATTAATTAGTCAATTCACCTTCAAATTTCCAGCCATTTTCATCCCTTCGGTTGTTTACAATTCTTACACCATCTACGTAATTGAAGCATTTCAGCAAGACGCTGTTTGCAAGAAGGTCATCTCAACGACCAAAAACCCATTTGCAGCATGCAAGACGGGAAGACCAGATGGTGGACAACATAGGTGACATGGACTTGTGAACAGAGCATGCCGACGCACCGGTGGTGGCGTTGGTGTGCGTACATTCCACCTGGAACTTGAGATCTTCTACGTGATCGCTGGTGTTGCATCGTCCACCTGGTGGTTTGAGAACATGGTCGACGAAGGGAGTGCTCTGGATGGTCACTACCTGAATAGAAACAATCGGAAGGAATGCATTAATGTTTGCTGGCAGTAAAAAGTTGTAGCTTGACAGATTAACTCTTGCCAGCCCCTCAGCACGCTTACAAAGCCTTCCGTGATACCTCAGAAGCCAAACGCGTAAAGGCTGTGTTTGTGGCACAGCCACTTCGGAATTCGCATGCCTCCAGAGAATTCTAGTGGCAACAGGTCGTAAACCTGCTCGTCAGGACCGACCATTAGAGAGTAGTTTTGAACCAGAACGATTATAAACTAAAATACGTGAGGCTTTTAAATCCATCTATGGGTCCAATTCCACGGTAATACCATAAGACCCTGCTCATAACACCTATACTCCTGGTGTATCAAACCTCCCATGTGGGTGTGATAAATTCACCTTACAGAATCAATTTGGGTGTTGCACATCAGAAGGTCTTAGACTGAGATTATTGAAAAACAGCATTGAAGTGACAGACTGCTAACATAACGAATTGGTTTCCTTGTTTATAATACACGGCAGCTTCCAGATTCAGAGGCCTTTAGCGGTACAACAGTAGCAACACACCTTGAGTCCCTAAATCGAGATTAAAAGTGGCAAGCAGATAGAGATTTGAGCGGTATAGTAACAACCTATTGGCGTTCCCTTCATGTTACAACCAGTGTCACGCGATTAAGATCTTCAGAGGAGTAAATTGAAGATTTGTGTACTAGAGCATGACACTGTTGTTGTCCCTAGCGGCCCAAGACTTGTTTTAAGTGGGATATTCGTCTAGGCGGATCTATTCAGATGCCCGTAATTCGGTCCCTACAGGGGTGACATTGAGCTCTGCTCACGTCAACCATCTTTTCACTTTCTCAGCCCTTGTAGCAAAGCTACTTTCTCACTTTTAGGTTTCAAAGAGTACTTCCAATTCTATCAGGTGGCCAAGAAAATTTCAAGTGGCTTTCAATGCAGCTCGTTGCAATGACTTGTGAATTGTGAGGCATTTTAAATGCAAGCAAATGTTCATATTTATGCGGCATAAAGCCTAGATGAAATGGATCGGTCTAGCTGGACTCTATGGTACCGTTTATTGTGCCCTCCACTATCTTTCTCGATCTAACGAGCTTGATAACTGTGGATCAAGCATGCCCGTTGCGTCGCAAACCCTATTTTGCTCTGTTCACAAAGATGTGGTTGGAGAAGCCTCTCATTTAACATATAAAGGGGAGGTTTGGTACGTGATTGCAAAATGCATAGGCTAAATTTAAATGACTAAAAAAAAATTGAATTCCTATGCTGAGTCACATAAAGACGGGGTGCGTCACACTGCGAAAGACCCTCCATTTATTTCACGGAAATGATGAATTACATATCTTTAATCTCACTTCCAAATAATTCATGTGAAGAATGAGTTGTGGTAAGGTTTAAGGTGATTGATGAAACAGTTTGTTTGCAGCAATTTTCACGAGAGTCTTGACTGAAATTAGACAAATGGATATCTCAGGCGTTAACAGAAGACAATAGGTTTGAGAGACTATCGGTTTGCTATCCTCTACTTCATGCCGTTGTGCATTGATGGAATGAGCCGAATAATTTTTACTACTCGCGGAGAATATGACAGCTTTCAAAGAGGCTTTAAAAAAGATTTAAGTCTAGGCGAATAGAAGACAGTTACCTTCATTGAATAGGGTCATTTGAACTTTCGCCAGCCAACCAAACGCTGACGCTTTATAATAGCCAAGACGGCATGGAGACACTACTTAAACGAGTCGAATTTACTTATAAAAAACAGCTTCAAAGGGTATCCTTAGAAAAGTGCACAACAGTGATATCAAACAATCAGACACCGAGTTTACAAAAGTGAAAAGTGCAGTCAAAGCTTCAAAAATAGCATTTTAGGTAGTGGGCAAAAGATGTCTGGCCTGACTACCACTGCTAAATTCGAAAAGTTTCTCATTTTAACCGATAATAATATTGTGATCTGCGCTCCTGCCTCGGAACATTGTTGTGATAGTTGATGCAAAGGAGTGGTCACGGAAATCGCCGAGAACGATGTTCCAGACGAGACGCATACCCCATGGAACTAGCCCCTTCGCATGAGTATTTCTAAGAAATTAACGTCTTTCTAAATTTTATAACATTTACAGAAAGTATTTAGGATGCTGCCATGGCAGTTGACAGCAAAAGCACACGAGAATCACCTCCAATTTATTCGCACAAAATCCAGTCGCAACCGAATCATGTCTCCGCCACCCATTTCGAAGGGAATGCTTCTTGAGCTACCGAGATGTGGTTTCACTTTCCCATCAACAAAAAGAACAGCTCCCGTTATTGAAGCGGACATACCTTCAAATGTGTCTTCTTCTTAAAACTCGGTGGTGGAAGGAGTCGCGTTGCGCGTTCCAGACACTCGTTTGTGCGAGCATGCTTCTTTACGCAGATATCTGTCACCTTTTTCTGCTTGTAATTGCCCGGCCAGTAGATGTGCGCCGTGTCAATTGATAGCCGTGACACCTTGGCGCCTTTACTGTTCTAAAGTAAGATCGTCGCTTTGCTTAAAATAGGATAAAATTTTATCTGAATTCAAGCAGAAAAGATTGCCATTTATGCAGACTTAATAAACGCTTTTGAAAGAAATATCTTTTATCCATTCACGAACCAAACTGCTTTTAAAGACTGCAAATAAGTAGGTGGAAACCTAATAGTGTAGTAAATTTGTAATGTGTTTAGCGCTGCGCTAACTCGTTCGAGCAGTTCAATTCCTTTAGGTTGTATTTCCGTTCCGTTCGGCAACATGGCTCTTTCGGGCATGCCAGTAGCCACCCAGCCTTTCCGTGCGTTAGTAAATGGTATGTTTTTTCACACCACTTTGGTTTATTACGACCTCAGCAAGGACTCGGAATGGCATAAAAGTTATCCAATGCTACGCGACTTTCGAGATAACAGGTAATAATAGCGCTTTATACATTTCAAATCCGGCATATTTTCAGCTTAAATAGTGAGTTTAATCAACTACGTGAAATTTGCGCTCATGTATCCAAGGCACCAATACCACCTCTACAATGGTTGACAGTGGTAACAAATTTGAACGCATTAAACGCACGTCACTACTAAATTTAAACGAGACTAATAAAAATCAAACTATGTAATGTATACCCAACTAAAATAAATCATTTTTAAAAAGAAATCGGGCAAAGCTTTCAATAATTTTACCCAGAAAATTAGGATTTCGGATGCTGTTTATTACCCTGGTGTTAGTAGAGATAAGTAACGGAAGCAATGAATCAACCAGGAATAATTCACGACGGCCAAGGATTGAATTCACTGAAATATTACTTTTCTCTAACAATAGTTTTTTAACAGTTTTCAATGCAAAAGAAATTGAGTCGCAAAATGCAAAGTTTGCATCGAGATCACGGATAATTACTTGATATAAATTATTAAAAAAACGTGACAATTTCTCATGGTTTACTTTGAGAAAGCATAAAAATTACCACACAAAGTGAAGACCTGAGCATATTTTCCGACAAGGTTGTCAATAGAGTCAGCTTCGTAGGTATGCTACCATTTAAACTTGAGCAAAAGTTATTTTATAAAAATGATTTACCTGCACGAGTCCGTACTTCCCAACTGTATTGATGGTGGATCTGCATGAACTGGAGTGCTCTCGGCAATCACTGCGCGGTTGAACATTGACGATGTCGTAGAGCGAACCCACTCGATCACCTCGACTGTCGAACTCCACGTGCCCGGTTTCACCGTCCTCCAGCACCACCCCGATCATGGATCTTGACAGAAGGGGGGAAAAACCACCACGATTAAAAGGTTGCTAAATCGGGAAATATACCGTTAGCGCATATAACGCCAAATAATATTACGCAGAATTTCTGAAATCTATCTTTACAAGGAAGGGTTATTTCTGATCAGGAAGTAGCAAAAAATGTCGATCGCTGTATAAAAGATGTCCAAAGAAAGACCTGAAATAAAACAATGTTATAAAATGGGGAATAAAGACGGTTCCCCTGTAAATTAGGATTACTTAGCCACCTAATATTAAATGGCAAAATTCCATCAAGTAAATGTTAATTTTCTTTCCACTGTACGATAAAAAGCCGCGTTTCACGCTATGGCAACTCACAGATGTGTTTTGAGATTGATACAGTATCCATGATAGTGACAGGTCGTTAATTGAACTTAACAATAAATACTGACTGCACTCTTGGCACGACATTCTTTATTGTGCTTGCCACCACTTTCCCCTTTTTTCAATCCCCATCTCATGAAATGGCGGTTGAATGAACTTGACGAATGTGATTCGACATCGTCCGATGCTCTAAAAACCGAGGTTATCTCATTTACAGTGCTTCTTGTTTGGCATTTGGAGTGGTGTAGCTTAAAACATTAGATTTGGGTGAAGAATCACTCAAATACGGGATGGTGCAAGCCGCGGAAGACCCTCCATTTCGCACGAAAATGACAAATGACGTACCATCAATGTCACTTTTAACAAATTCGAGGTTAACATGGGGAGAGTGAACTGCGACAATGCTTAAGGTAATTGATGAATCCATTCACTTACAGTAATGCACACTAAAAAGTCGCAGAGGAAGCTGGACAAGCGGCTATCACAAGCATTAAAAGATGACAATAAGTTTGCAAGGCAGTTAATTTATTTTTCACTTACTCCACGTTACTGAAACGTTCCGTTTTTACATTATTTAGTCACTGGCTTGTGATGGATAAGACTTTTAAATTTCATCGTCAAAAAAACGTCTAAACAATCCACCACCCCCCACTTCTTGTGCACACACCACTTAACCCCCAAAAGACTATGAACTTCTAGCTGAAGACGCAACAATTGCAAATGATACCTCTTTTCTCGATAGGCCGATGAATTTGTCGGAATACGTAATAATACTTGAGGAACAGCACAGGACTTTATAGTAGTGGAAATATTGACACCTTAGAACGAGTAGAGAAGATGCCGCTCCCTCATCCTCTGCATTCTCAAAACACCCCCAAGTTGTTATCACCCTTTCTTGGCATTTGGGGATCAAACGAGAAATCGAACAGACAGTCAGCAAGTACAACTCAGTCGAGAGAAACAAAGGTGGTCAAAGGCAGGTTCCTTGGCGTCTGGAAACAAAACGTTTCGTAAGAGTGAGATCTACAAGCTTGTGCCACGCTGACCGGGAAAGAACCAGAAATTTCACGTGGTGATTATTTTAACAAACAACAAAAAGAAAAAATTACAATTTTTCAGAACGATTCTCCCAATCAATATTCGGTTTTATCAGTAGCCTCGCGGCGGCTTTTAACTCGAAAAAAGTAGCGACTAATAAGTTGAGGAAGCAACTTTTATCGGCTACAGTCGTTTAAAAAGTCGAATTTAACACTGACAAAGCATAAGACTAGGGAAGGTTAAATCCGCAACAAAGATTTTGTTGAAAAGAAAAAGGACGATTTAACAATAACTAAATAGTAATGAATTTAAAAGGAGCGCATTTACGTTAACAAACGTAAGAGCAAAAATACGGCAATAAACAATGTTTAAGAACATCTAGGTTGAAGTCATGATCTAGAGAGATATTGCAAAGAGAAACTAGTAATAAAACAGAAACTTCATAAAACTAAGCTCAACACGCTTGCAACTGGCGTCACATGTATGTTTGTTAAATGGCTGCCACAAGTCGTTTTGAGAATCGACAGACGAACTTCAAAATACGTAGAAAAATGGATACAGGATGGCCTTGGTTTGAGGATAATCTAGGCTTGCGCTTTAGAAAAAGCTGGTATTTGGGGCAAATTAGCGATCCCATTTAGTGTCACATTTAAGCAAGAAATTATCAACCATTGTGGTCAGTTTCCCTCGGTGACCCTAATAGCAAATGTGTTAACGACACTTGATTCTAATGCGAAGTCAAAATTACTAGGCTTGCGTGAAGGCGACTTACGAGTATAGCTTGACAGAGTAGTCGAGCCACGAGTAGTTGGAGTTTTGTGACATTCGATCAACCATTTCAATTTCCTGGTTGCAGTTTTTCATTGACTGCAACTCGAACATGGCATTGGGTTCACGTCGGGCCAGTCGGATTATCCCCTCTGTTGCTACGCGCGCCGCATCGTTCACGTGCAATAACTCGTCCGATTGAGCAAGACGAACGCCGAGGACACCTGAGATTTGGTGCAAATAATAAACCTCATTGGTTTGATAGCAGCGTTTACTTTCCTGAAGCACATCGCAGTGCTGCGTTCGAGGAGTCGAACAGCTCATAAGACCGGTAATTAAACCGAATATAAGGGTTAAAAATGTTTTAGTTTAAATAATTTATTGCTATTTTATTAGTTTCCGAACATATAGATCCTCCTGAAAACCTGAAACGCACACAATCAAGACCTATTACATTAAAGCTCACTAAAGATTAAAGTTCTTTTCAATCAAGTAGTCGTGGTTACTCGTTTTAAATGCATGACAATTCAATCTGGTGAAAATTATTTGCAAAATCGCACCACATCACTACATCTACAACCTCGAAAACGGCCACATTTGATTTAAAAGTCATTTCTAGTCACAGGAACCGACTGTTTCGTGTTCGTTGTGCGTTACATTAAAACCTTTTCGCCCCTTTTTCATTCACAGGTTAATTAAGTTACTACTTTGAACATTTAAGTACAAATAAAATTTGGGTAAATCTGACATGAATGCATCATTTTACAAGGGTTATAAAGAGAGCGCATTTGAAAGCTAATCCGCCGTATTTAAACAATAAGATTATGCATAGAGACTGACCCAAAGGTATATTACTGGCACCAAGACACTGTTCAGAGACCAGCCAAGCCCACTCCTTGCCGAGAATACCCAGTCGTTCGGCCACAGTAAAGATGTGCTCGGAGTAGCGACGCGTCACGAAGAGTAGGATGGCTCGCGTCTGGCCAACTTTAATGCCCTCCAATCTACTGAACAGTTCGTGATGATTAACTACATCCGTCTCGTCGGTGTTCACGCCAATCGTCTGAGTGATCTAGTCAAATCGATAGGACTTATTTTCTGCATTAAGCTTCGTTTCTCGCCAATCTTTACTAGGCAGGCGAAAAATGTCTGTGTTCTTATTTCACTCAATTCTGCTAAAATGATCACACTACTTTGTTCTGATTGGCCAAAAATATTAGGTCTCCCGTTCTTCTTTAAGCCATTGCCTAGATTTGATAGTCATCGTAACTCGAGCGAGAATTTTAAAACGACATTAAAAGTCATGCCCAAAATTTGCTTCACTTTTGACCAAGAGGTTTGTCACAGCACAGTTAGCTTAAAACACCAACAAGAGTCATTAATGGTGGGAATTGGCTACAGAAGAGATCCTACTTGGGAATAAACTCAGCTGTGGGGGAAGTAAATAATTTTAAAACTCGACATGATGGAATTGACAGGCCCGCCACTTTGAAGCCCGACAATTCAGTAGCATGTATTTTAGGAGTTAACGTAAGGTGGTGGTTGAATAGACAGCCGTACAAACATATGTTGCTTAGATTTCAGTGACGTTTGTTTCACCTCAGCGTTTACTTCAAAGTACTACAAGCAATCTCCTACCAAACGTATGGATATTGGCATGTGTGGTCACTTAATTCTTAACTGAATAACAATCCTGCAGGGGATATTTATATCGCAGATGGAATGTAGACTTCAGCGGCTATTACCTCACAGTCATTTTTAAAAAACCAGGAAAATCCCGACCCATTGCAAAAGATAGGTAGCGAAAAGAATCCGAGTCATCTTAAAGTGGAAACAAGAACCCGCGCACACACGGAACTCCTGAGCGAAGTGGTTTAAGCGCTGAAAACTTCCCAGGTGAAAGGCATTTCATCGTCCAACACCAAAGTAAAACGCTCGAAAGCAAAGTACCCCTCCAAAAACTAGTGAGTCGGGACGGTTTTGTGGTAGTAATAAACAAGCATTTTGAGCTAAAAAAAGGGCCAAATTTTGGATTCATGATATGCAGTACCTTTTAAAGAATTTCATCCTCGCACGATAAGACATAAAAGCCTAGAGAAAGGCTGGGTAAACACGTCTCTCAACGTCTTATCCCCAAATAGCTCTACCCACCAGCTAATTTGGTATAAAAAATTTCGAATGATGAAAAAAGTGAAAATCGCGTTTTCGGTGGAGCAAATACCGCAAATAATACTGCTTTTGGTAGAACAAATTACTTGATAGAAATGAGAAATAATCATCACAGGTTTTTTTTCATTCCAATTGGACCAGTTTAAAGAAATTTCAGAAAGTTAGCACATTTGAACAAAAAATTGGGAAAAATGGATAGATCTAGTTGATTGGGTAAATTTAAACTAAACTTGGAATGTATAGTGTCCACCCGAGCCGAGACATAGACGGGTTTTTGGTAATAATTTGTGAGTTTACTAAGGCGGCCAGTTCATTTAAATCAGATAATTTTTGTAGCCTAGTTGCATTAGCTACCACAGTTTTAATGGTCTCTTTAATGAGATTTTTCCCATAAGCGAGCTCAGCCTGGAGGCTTTCACAAGTCAGAGATCACGGCACGATGGGTTGAGAACTAAAATTAAACAAGCATTTTCTTTTCACCCAAAAACCCCTCTGCTTTGTCAAGGTTTCAATGTATTATGCGATACTCAGTACAGAAGTTGTAACGAAGGCAGCAATTGTTGTGATAGAGAAAACACAAACCAGTGGAGAAGGTCGGAATAAAACAGATGGAGATCAGGGTAAAAGATCAACTTTGTTGGATAACTTCAACTCCTTCCATTTCCCACGTTAAATAAGAAATTTCTACTTTGGGCTAGAAGAGGATGGATAAAAACGATCACCCAGCAAAGCAGACTCCATATCACTGTTCATTATTTTAGCCTTCAAAATACGGCTGAAAAATCTGCTAAGGCGTAAACAAACTCGTTGATTAACAGGGAAATTCGCAATTTTAAGCTCAAATGTCGCGCGCTACGAATAATAGGCGTTTGTCTGGCTAGCATAGGTGTTGAAGTTCAAACACGTTAATTCTTTTTACCCAAGGAAACACTTAACAACCAATAAAGATGAAAAACTGAAAAACGACTCAAAAATTAGTTTTTGGATGTAAAGATAATTACGCCTTTTAGGGATTAATGGCACGCAAGACCAAACAAAAGTTGCTGTTGGCGCAAAATGCCATTTGCCCATGCTACTTACTACTTAAATGCCTATTTCTCAAACTCAGTAACGAGAAAAAGAACATTAGATTGACACATTATCCACAAATTACTTAAAATATTTTAGCTAGCGGTCTCGAAATAAAAGCAACAGAGGGTCTATTACTTACAAAGCCACCTGCTACCCAATCCTTTTTCAATGAGGCACAAGCAAGTTGCAAACGCCCTATTTTAGCAATATTTTGTCCCTGGAAGCGAAAACCCTAGCCCTATTGGCCTCTTTTGCCGATTTTATTTCCCATGTGACGGCCTAATGCCAATGCCAGGAAAAAAGGCAATCATCACTTGAAGATGGGGCGGGAGAATGACAATGAAGTAGAATCCTCCTCCCAATCTTGCCGCACGGTGCACACCCTTTTACGAGGCATTGCGTTGCTAAGTAGGGATAGGAAGAGCACCCCTCGACAGCTGACTGATCAGTCTTGGCTGTTTTTGTTGACGATGAAGACATCCTTCTTGCACACTTTCTAGTTGTACCGAAATATATTGGTACGTAAACTTAGGCAGTAACTGTTTCATCTTCGGCAAGTGAAACTTTCAGGGTAAAACTTCCAATATGTGGTCATCCGCTCAATGGTGAAATACAAAAGCCATTTCTCAGCACAGGTCAGGCACTCAACAAAAAGAGAACAATGCATGTGGTCGCCGCTGGCTTAAAGGCTTTCGTACCTTTTCCGGTTGGTGTAGATGTCACCTATCAGTGCCTTTTCGCTCGGTAGGTTCTACAACCTCTCCTTTCAAGTTGTTTCATCACTCGCATTTTTCCTGAGTTACGCTAACCCCTAGTGATACGTAATTTTTGTTTCTTTGAAGAATAGAGGATCTTCCGCAAAGCCATGTATTAACCGACGTTTTACGAAATGAGAATTCTAAATAAAAGAGGGGGAGTGGAGGGCATAGGACAGATGGCCTAACTGTGCCAATAGACTTACGCCTATCAATCCATCCGCTATAAGGAACTCATATATACAGTCACTTGGACAAACAAGCTTCTGCAAGTTACAAAATACACCAAAAACTGTACGAACACTTTTTTTCATATGATGTTATTTGTTAACAGTAATTAGTGGTGGTTTTTGTGTAGTCATATTTCCTTTCCTATTTTTGCTACTGTTTTTTAAATTACTCCAGTTCCTATCATCGGGCAATACTCACGCCGTCATTATTGCTGCCATGTAAGATTGACCCATTTACCTAGCTGTGACTTTTGTGTTTCTCTTTGTGTAACTACTGCATTATTAAGACCAGAAAAAAAAACAAACAAAGGCGGTTCCATGCTCTCCTTTCATCGCGCGTTCAAAACAATGGGACTAATTCGTTGCTCAAAGGCATAGGATCTTCCAAGTGAACGCACGAGATTCACTCCCATTACTTCAGTTAGCAAAACATACCCTCCTTTTGATGGTCTACATATTGTGACTAACTGAATATTTCCACTTATAAGGGAAAAAAGTAGCATGAAGCACACAAAGTAGGGAGAAAAGATACCAGGTTGTAACTCATGTATGCTAAGCGGGACGGCAACCTTCAACCGTCTTTACTACTCATCACTACATTCGTCCTCTAGAATAATAAACTGATCCTTAGATCCACTAATTACCAAATCATTGAGAAACTAATATTGAAATGGGCAAAGCTTGATTCAATCCCTTATATAAAGGCATGCGCATCCAGAGATATTTCTTAGTTTTGCGAAAAAAACTGAGCCTTACTTATTGCTGTGTGAAATTTGCCGGAAACTTCCCACATTTGTAAAAGAATTAAGGAAAGAGAATTTAAGCGAAAAAAAGGTTTTGTGTGCATTTCTTCACAAAGCACCATCGAGAGTGGCTTCATCTCCAATTCCGCCTGAAGAAGTGTTGGAAGAAAGTACAGAAAAAGGTATTAATGCCACTGCAATGCTTCTTGGCCCGGATGTATACCTCCCAGCGGAAGTACAATGAAGGAGCTTTAGGTGCCCGCGTAACCAAAATAAAGAATTAAACAAACAATCAAAGTATTAAAGCCATCTCCAAATGGTTGATTTCTTTCACTCAAGTAAGAAATGCCTTTAAAAAAGGGTAGTGAGAAAATGGTCCCATTCTGATCCACGGAGCCAGTATTTGGGGCCTAGGTTTGCTGTATGTCAAAACCAACTTATGCGCGATATTCAGCATTAACTGGGAATTAGCCTGCTATATGAAACACCAAAACGAATCATAATTTTCGAAATAATCCGTAAAAAAGATACAAATTATCCCTCAGAAAAGTAGCAGGGAGAGAACACGGGCAATGAGGGTGAGGAAGAGTTTCTCGTCCGACACTAATGTGCATAACTTTCTTCAAATTGCCCAATTTGTTGGCTGGTCCTGACTATTTCCAAAAGAAAGGGGTTGTCCTCACACATCAAGGTGTATCGTGCCGGGTAGATAGATATTAGCCCTATTTGCTTGGCTTTTAGCAAGTGAGTAATTTATGTTAAGCACTCCAATTTACATTCCACACAATGTAAGTGTTATCTCCTAGGAATAAATTGCTGCGAGCCCTAGAAGCATGGGGTGGCGGAAGCCTTGGAGATAATTAACGATGTGTTTGGTCATTCTACGGACGTGGAAGTGTAAAAAGCCATTTCTTGACACAACTCAGTCAATTTGTCCCCAGATGATACAAAAAGGGGCGTTTTACGTGGTGCATCAAAGTAGTAGTCTTTCAGGCTGTTTGTAATTCATTGTTGCACAAGGTACGCATTTACCTAGCTTCCATCCCAATTTTCCTACTTGATGTAGGTAAAAACAAAATGCTTTATAATAAGAATCAAAAATCATTTAACTGGTTCTTCACAAGTTATTCACGAATGATTTTGATGTTCTAATAGCGACGTGGTCCACTTCACCTTAATTACATTGTCACCAAAATCCCAGTGACAGTGCGCCAGTGACCACATCGTTATGGATACTACAAAAGCAAAATCCACCCTACCAAGCATCGAGATTTAGGTAAATCTTTTACAAATTAACGTGAAAACTTTATGAATAATAATTTCAGAATTTTGCGGAATTAAAGGGTCAATATTTGAGTAAAATTCGCCGAACAAATGGGCATTGTAGCGAGGATATAACATGTAAGTTTGAACTTGATATTTCCTTATCAAAAAAAGGTCGAATAAATTTAGGAATTCTTCTCTTTAATGAAATCTTAAGCAGGGCAATAGTTCCAATGATAGGAACAAATTTAATGTCAGCGACGACATGCAGTGATTTGATACTTTTTATGACTTTGTGTTGAACTATCCAGAAGCATCAGTCTCTGTAGTTTGTACCTCATCTCTGTGGAATGCCCTTCGGGCCATATTGGTAGCCGCTCGACTGTTCTGTACGTTAGTAGTACATGTCTTTCCACACAGCAGTTGGGTTGTTAGGACTTCAGATATTTCGGATCAGTGTGAAAGACCAATGAACATGAACTGGATATGATTACCCATTTGTACGATTGCTTTACCACTCAATTTTCCAAATACAGCCTTGTGAATAACGTACATGCTCAACCTCGTCTAAAAAATATTGTAAACGTGTACGTAATCGCATTAAGGAACACCAAAGAAACAAATGGGCTATTCAAATAAGCAACACAGAAAAGTACCGCTATGGTCTTCTGAACAAGACATCTTCCCCAAAAATGAGTGATAAGCATGAAGAAGTAGATGCAGCATCTAGTATTTCAAACGTTAAAGCTCAGTACAACATATGCTGCAAAGGCTAAATTCGAGGGAACCGATGAATTTTTCCACTCATTTTTATGAATTTCTAGGAATTTCTAAAAGAAAACTTCGAAAAATACAGGCAAAGATATCTCATATCTCATATTTGATATTGCGTATACCTTCGGGCCATGACTGAAGCATATTGGTTAATGTAAAAGTTTTTTTTGGCGAAAATTTCACTGTTAGAAGCTACCCTATCCCATGTAGGCAGATCAGTCACTTCAAAATTCTGGACATACGCAAATCCAAAATGCTTGAATATAGCCGAATTCAATGGGGGCAGATAACTTTAATAAAACATTCGGGATTTCTTTTAAGGCAAAAATGAGTAAGAAGCTAACCTTTCATTCTAAAAGGCAAAATTCTGGTGCAAAATAGGTTTAAATTACAAGAAAAATGAACAATTTTGTGGTACGATATGTCAATTACAAATCGACTTTCCCACCACCAAATTTTAGCACAGTAACTACCCTATCAATCTTGAATAAATTCACTCACTTTAAAAGCGTTGCTTTCACACGCCAAATTCAATGTGTGTAAGCATTATTTCCCCCTCTGTATCTCCTCCCCATCAAACAAACTCTCGAGCGATCTAACAACTTGTCCTACTTTTATAGGAGCCAATGATTTCTAAAAATAAGGGATTTTAGGAACCAAAAATGCATAACGACACTCAAGAATGTCATCTAATTTAAGAAAATAGCTACCATTTTAATCACAAAAACTCTCTATTCTAATGACAGTCTCAATTTATAAAAAGAGGGGAAATCTTTCGAAAACTAACAACCCCAAAGTCAACCGCTGATTGAAGTTTAAAGTTTCACCTGCATAAGGAACACCCGTACAGCAGCAAGTTCTGCTTTCAGAAAAAAACAAATTTTCAAGTGGTGCACTTTAAGGGGACTTAAATCAAACTACAAACTTCATAGTTGCATAAAATTACTTACCAGAAAGTGGTAACCTTAAAAGATAGAGCTCACCTTGAAGTCGACTCTTTGCCGTGCCAACTCAAGGTGAGCAAGGAGGGCTTTTGCGTCTTGACAGTTATCGGAGTGGATAAGAACGACCTCATGCCACTCGAAGGCGGCGATGAGGTCGGCCCAAACGCGCGCTTCAAGAGAGAATGGCGGTACAGTGCGAAGGAAGCTGGCGTGAGCATACTTATCACTGAAGACGGCTTGTCGGGTGCTCACCCCGATCACTGGCACTCCGTAAAGCGCTGCCACGTAGGAAATTGATAAAGGCGAAGTAGTGGGGAAGTTAGGAGGGCTGGAGACCACCACTGCGAAAAGACGACCCTTTCCTGCCGCGAACATTGAGCACAGTTGCTTGGAGGCTTTTAGGGCATTTGATGCCAGAAGCTGAAATCGCGAGACAGGTTTGATTAGAAACAGCCAAAGAGTTACTTTTACAAAGAACGACATGGTCACGTGAATGAACTATCAATCAAATAATGAAAAGAGGTAGGAAGAACAAATGGACTCAGCAAACACGTCAACTGAACGGTGATAAATCCCGTAATGCCACCACGCAGAGGCTAAACTCCTAACAAAGCGCATTTTTAGTAAACAATCTCCCGAAATCCCAAGTTGACGCAAAATGACTAAAGCGCTAACCTCAGTAAGCGGTGTGAATGAAACCTTTCTGCCATTAACATGTGCACGGACATCACTAACGGAGGAATTAAAAAGCTTCATAACCTTGACACTGCTGAGGAGTGCACCAATAGTGAAATTTATGCCACCAGTCTTATCACCAAGAGCGATGGAGGGTAAGATAGTAACAAGAGCAAAAACTAGGCGCAACAGAGACATCCCTGCGCTAAAATGGCGGTTTAGCCGGAGACTATCGCAAGATAGTGCGTCTGAGATTTGCCAATCACCTCTAACTTTGGTAGCACAAGGCTATTGCTTTGCCTACGAGAGCTGCAAAAAAATTAATATGTCAAAGTCAAAACTTACGTCCTCTTTTAATGTGTTTGTACTTACAGGTAAACCAATTGTCCGCCAAAGCGGGTTTACGCCGCCTATTTAACGACCCGTGGATTTTAGATTGTTGCGCTTTGACGACCTTGATTTATGATTGACATCTGCGTTGGAAAAAACTTAGGCTTTATTTTGCTGTTATCAATAAAGCTCGTCTATGTTACACCTTTAATGCAGCTTGCATTTTTGAGTAAAGACGCTTTTTTACTTCTTGCTACAATAGACGTGTTTTCACATCTATATCGTTTAACTTGTCTTTTTCATTGTTGTATAACTATTTGCAATGATACCTTCTATAATGCCTCCAGTCTATAAAATTTTGATGTTTATAAAATGTGTTGTTAATGAATGGCTTCATATTAGCTAATTTTGTTAACACCGCTGCCTTTTTTCTCTTCTCTTTTGTATCTTAAGTGTTATTTGTTCGTATCGTACATGCATGGATTTCTGAACATCAAGAAACCTTACTTCCAAAATGCCAAGCAACCGCCATTCCTATTTTGCGTGATCCATAAACAACGTACAAATAGAAGTCCATCTCGCCTCACCACCTAAGCTTCGGAGAAGAGGGTTAAACTCCCCTAACTCCAGGACCAAAAATGCAAGCTCCCATCAGCAGTTATTGTGATGCGCTTTGTCATGCCCATTTTAAGCAAATGAAACAGCGTTTTTTTAAGTAACTTGCTTATATACATAAAGCAGGTGGCAAACTAAACCCCCGTTGGGGTAAAAAAAATGAGGAGAAAGGGGGAAAGGGAAGGATAAAGTGGAGACGGGGTGAGAGGTGAGCCCAACTGTAGACAAAATAACCACATCGACGAGAACAGCATCAGCTGCCGCGATGGCAGAGCTTCATCGCCATGGTTGCCGTCAAGGTCACATGAGACGGGAAATCACTCGAGTTAGCGCTCGGTGTTCAGCCTTTAGCTTTTCCGCCGAGGCGCGGAGCTCTTCCAGGGTCTGAAGCGGACAGTAAATCCTTGTAAGAAAGGCATCATTGTGACAAGAAATCAGACCAACAAGGTCTTTCCATGAGTCAGATGGGATTAAAGGCAGCTAGAGAGATTAATTTGATTCCAGAAACTGGACTAAATAATCCGAGACACAAAGGTGTTTACGAAATTGCTTCACATTTGACTGCTTTGCTAACGGCTTGTTCAGTTCACATGACCACCGTTGCCAGGGCATTGGCTAAGATGTTCCACCGGGCATTTAAATCAGACATTGTAGATGGCCTAAACGCGCTAAATAAATGAATTTTTATGTTCCATTTACCTTTGGAGAAAATAATTAGCTCCTAATTCGCATGCGGATAAATTAATCATTCATTGTACTTTTCTAGAAGCGATTTCCACTGTGCCACGTTAAGAGCCATTCTTAGTGACAAATCTTATTGCATAATCGCAAGATCTTGACTTCGTTTTGCCATTTAGGTTCACCTTGCGACGAGATTTAGATAGTTTGTGCGTTTTTCGGCACCCATCTTTTAGTGATCGCTATCAGAAGGAGAGGTGGAAATTTCGTCGTAATCCCGCGGATCAACCTGGCATTGCTGTCTTACAACGCGACAATCCTCTCAGTTTTGAACGCGCCTCGTGAAATTAAGGCAAAGAGGATTAGCATTAACTCATCCCTGTACTGATGGCGTCTATGAGTGAGGTTAATGGCGTGGGCATTTATGCATGAATATCTCGCAGCACCAGAAGAGTGCTAAAAGTCACGCAGGTTTGGGTCATAAGGGCCCCCATATTCAGTAGTTCCTGGGCCATTAACTCGGTAACTCAGACGCTGGCGATTAACCTCCCTCCTTGTCGCTTGATCTGTTTATTCCATTCGACTAATCAGCCCTGAATGAACAATCACAAGTATGAAAGAACTTTACAGTGTATGCAACCATAATGTCTCCCAATCTCCTGCATTATTTCAGTTCATTATGCAATTGTCTTCGGGCGTTGCAAAGAACTCATTCATGAGCCTCTCTTGCACTTCCAACATCACGCCATCTCTATTGTGCAAACTTCACATGTAAACGCGACAGTAAAGTGCGTTATGATGGTGCCACTTTAGTCGCTTGAATGAATTAGAGTCAAGTATTTGTTGAAATCAAGTGAAGGTGACCAGTCTGATTGGTCTTACGCGAGCGGGGATGATCTGACACCAATTTTTGCCCGCACAAATTTTACCGAATCTCTGAGGTGTAGCTAGACTTTGTTTTGCAGAAGGAAAAAAATCAGGAAAAAACATGAAATGAAGAAACTATTGTGGAAGGGTTTACTGATAATACATCCGATTTGTCATTCACCAAAGTCTGTGCTTTCTACTACCTTCCTCTTATTTCAAATTTTTACGTCAGGAGAACGTGATTGAAATGTTTCTCCTGCTTTGAAAAGTGAGTTTATTGCAAGTTCAAAGCTGTGGTTTGTAGTTTACCTGACAAAAGTGTAACGCATAGTTGAAGAACGGTTAAAACACTCCATTGTAGTGATGAATCATCCATAGGTGGGTGAATGATTTTGAGTAAGAGCCTCGGTTCTTGACAGGGATGGAAAATCTCGGACCGCTATTGACATCCTAAAATGATTCAAGGCTAATGTGCCTGGAAAATGTTTCCAATATTGCCTGAAGTGAGTAGTGCAGTAGCTCCTTTACACTTGCATCTACTGAAGAAGTGATCTGGAAATTTAAGCAAGTGTATGCTCCGTGCATTACCAGTTAGCGGCAAGCCTGAAAGATCACCAATTTGATGCTCGTCACTTCTTTTACCTAGTACAACACACCAATCACTGACTGACTGATTCATGGTGGAAAATGGCTTTAAAGCCATACACACACCGGTGTGTATGTGTGTGTGTATTGGATTGTAGAAGTCCAAGCATTTGCGATTGAGATTCACCTACCAAAATACTTTGGTAGGAAGAACGTCTCCTTCGTCTTCATAAGCACCAAAGGTGAGTCAATCAATCAATTAGTCGAAAAAAGCAGTCCTCTTTCTATCTTCACTTGGTGAAGCAATGCCTCCTGCCAGTTTTCTTAGTCGTGGGAAGGTTTACACTGTGTGATGACATTGAAAGAAGGATTCTACCTTATCCTTATTCTCCTGATATTTCTCCAAGAGATGATTGGTAACTTTCCCTGACATCGGGATTAGACAGACGCACGCGAAATGGAATAGACAGATAGCAAATGAGACAGAGGAGATGGAAAAGAGAAATGACTGGGACCAAGTGTTCTTCTGACCCGTAAAAACAGCCTTTCACAAGTGTGAAATTAGCAGGCTTTCACTGACTTGGAAAGAGACGATAGAATCTAATGGCGAATTTTTAAAGAATGGCACACTATAAGAAGCTTTCGGCAGTTAAGAAATGCGCAAACGTGAAGCAAAACACTTTGTAGAGGAAATGCTGCCGATTTTGGGATATTTTTTTCAAACTGTGCTCAATTTTACCACTAACTTATCAGCTGCATTGTTTCTCCAAGGTAAACAGTGGTCCAACAAATTCGCCTCCAAAAATATATCAACCAAACGTGCAGAATGGCAAGACGCATAAATGCTAAAAATTTTCACAAACTCTGCCATAAAAGCTGTTCCCCACTTTCCCAAGATAATTGCAACCAGGGATAATTTTGGAGAATGCCCACAATGGGAGTGAGTGAGTGGAGTGAGAACACAATTTTATTTAAGACTCACTATAATGCTCGCATTTGTTTATAAACGGATGCAATAGAACATATTTTTAAGCGATTTGATCCTTTTCAAGTCGCTTGCATTCAGCGTCACACACACTCATGACACCCAATATTTCACCTGAGCTTATGTACGTCACACATCCGTAACATATTTGAGTAAAATTTAAGTAAAAAACTCCAAATAAGAAAGTTAGATGCTAAATGATAACATTAAAGTAGTGGAGATGCGATGGTCAATTTCCCACTGAGAAATTGTCAATTCAAATTCAACTTAGCCACATGTGATATACTGCTCCATTTTCACCATCCAATATGTCTAGTATTTCCAGTTTCTTTCATAATACTTTCCATAGAATTGGTTTTATTACAGAGAATTAAATTTTGACTCCAATTTTTCCTTCCTTTCTAAATCAAGCAAAAATATTCTAGAACCCAAAGTTGGTTGATTAGCTTATAAAGGGTCATATTTCTATCACCAGTGTGATGTTTATGTAAAATGTTTATTTTGATAACCGGAAGAAACTAATGCTCTTATCAGGTATAAGATCAAATTTGGAGACTCTTTAGGTCCACTTTATATTACAACTTTGACACGTTCGATTTCAGTGTTAGCTTATAATAATTGCTTGCACCGTCATGTCAAAAAGAAAAGTGGTTTATTTTAAAAGAACAGAATAAACGTAGGATGACCTTGGTCCGATGATGAATTGACAAAAAGTGACGACAGCTAGCGCCATGCTGGGACAGTGAAACCTCTGGGCTTTGAGGGTCGATTTTCCTCTGATACCCTGCTATCGAATATGTTGAACCGCATAATTTACACGACCTCAACTAATAATGCCTCAAACTCATAAAAAAGTATTTTTCCTACCAGCTATTTGCATTTTTACCACATGTAAGATGAAATGATAGCTTAAGTTTAGCTGTACCCAAATTGATATCGAAATCGTAAAATAATCCACAAAATGAAATTAGTTGGCAGTAAAGTACTTAATTGGCACATCAAACATTCTTTTTATCAGATTAAAACGGACCAACACCACGAAGCGTGTTAGAACGTGAATTGGTTAGAAAGCGTTAGAACTTGGAAATGGTTTGTAACCAACACCTTTATTCTCCTCTCCGTCCATCCAAACATGGCATGCACTTCAAAACACTTGAATGTGTTCCTCAACTGTTTTTACTAAAATTACAAATGACGGAAGCCTAAGAAAAGTGAAGCTTAGCTTTTCAAAACAAACGACAAATGTGCCTGTCAGGTGAGTATCCGTTTACAATGGTGCCCTTCAATGAATTTTGAATATAAAGCAGAGTTTTAGTTCGAATTGATTACACAATTTTTGTAATCATGTATAAAGTAGACACAACCTAAGTCGGGAGTTATGCACTTCTTTAAATCATTTCAAAACCATGGAAAAAACGCTAGACGTGTTCACGAATAAAATTACCCAAAACAAAATCGCTTCACTCACTCGCTGATCTGCATCGTTGCAGTGCTGCTGGTGTGGCTTTTGTTGTTGTTGATGTTGCTGCTGCTTCTGCTGTTGTTGTGATGGTAACCGACGAGCCTCTTCAACTTGAGCGCGCAGCTCCCGTAACTCTTGCTGGGCACGATCTATTTGCGCTCGCAGTTCTAGCGTGTCCTGACGCTCGGCCTCGTAGAGGCGCTTGTAGTCCAGGCTCGACTCCTGTAAGGAGGAATAGGGAGGACGATAAAAAAGGCTAGGTCAGAAATGAAAGGTAATTATTCAACCATTTGGGTTGATTAGCATAATCAGAGCATCTCCCTGTACCATCGAAACGATCGTAGTTGGTGCCCAACTATGTTAAGCTTTAAAATGTTTTCGTGGCCATTTGAGCTGATTAAAATGAATTAAGAACTTCTTTTCGTCCAGACTCTAATATGCGAAAGACGATGACTACCAAAGTGGCAGCATTGACGGTGCTTAAGTGCGTGAGTGTGTGTGCAAAGAAAATTGAGTTAAAATGATTGTATTAAGTCATAGGTTGATTCAACACTTTAAGTTAATGGGAGCGCATGAGACCGCTGCCTCATGAAGGGACGTGCAAACCAGACTTAGTTAATGAGTCAACAACACGATGGGCTTGTGCAGATTTTGTGATCATTTAAAAGATCAAGAGTATCGCTAAAGCGACTGATGTTTTTGACATTTGAAAACAGTCGCAACAGAATTGCGTTCGTTATGGTAGACATTAAGATAATGGTTTGTTTATTTGAGTTGTGACATGAATACGGCCACACGTCAAACTCAGGTCTCTGGAAGACGATGATTGGGCGTCAAGACAGAAATGATGATGGTGTCGTATTAAGGAGAACTTTGGTTAGGGAATTAATGCTATCTAGGGTTCTTAACTAATTCTCTTGTTAAAGTAAGTGCGCTCTTAGTTTAGATTCCACTCTGTTAGAGGTGACAACATTGGTTATGGTAGTGGTTATTCAGTTAGAATTTAGTTGACTCATCTACAAAACTGTCCAGCATGGAAGACCAAAGTTGTGTCGAAAAAGAGAGGTTAGTAGAGAGTTAATGAGAATTGCATTAAGTCTCTTGCAATAAAATTACAAACTTTGCTGATATTTACTGTCGAATATTCTTCTAAAAGAGTGAAGTGAATAAAGTACCTCAGCGATATTAACACATTTACGGGTATCACTTCACAATTTTTCACTTATCTAGGCAGTCGGTAATTATTTTGCCAAAGACATCTTTGTCAGACTAAATGTTGAGGAGATGACTTCCCCTGGGCAAGCATTCGTTGGGTCAAGCCGTCAATTGACCTCTCGCCTGTGAGATTTGATCAACATAAATGAGACCTCGTTCCGTTTCATGGCAACGCTCCAAGTACTGAGGTGTCCTTTAGAAGGCTATGATTGTTACTGTGAAATTTCACTGTTTAATGATTCAAACAGATCTCTTGCTTCAAGTGGAAGCGTTTGTAGCTCAAATTCGATTCTTAAAGTAACCGCTTAATTAATGAAATTTACCAAACTGGTTGGACCACTCCGGTTCCCCAAAAAAGCCTTAAATTATGGCTAAGCTTTTGCAATATATACGGTCCCAGTTGTAGTGACTTATTGTGTTACCAGAGAATAGCATGGTTAAGGATACTTTAAGCTAATTCGTACAAGGACTCAAGATTAAAATACGGAATATTAAAAACTGTATAACAATAGTGGAACAGTTTATACTCAAGTTAGTATCAAGCTAGCAATTCACCTTTACTACTTCTGTTCAAGGTACCACGAAGTTGCCGCATAGCCAGTGCCTCAAAAATTCTCTTCAATAGATGGTTGTACAAAAGAAATCGAAGAACTACGAAATAGGCGGCCTTAGAAACAAACAGAACCTGATGTTTGTATCGCGCCTAACTTCAATGTGGTTGAAGGATGGGCAAAATTTTTGTCAGATTTCCACATTCTCATAACAAGCTTTTCTAGCTTCAAAGAACGTCATTGAATAATTACTCAACCAAATTCAACTTTTCAAGTTAAGTATCCATTTCTACCTGGAACATATTTACGTCCCAGAAAGAGGAGCTCTGGAAGTCAGGAGAAACTTGCATATTCTAAATGCAGCACTTTCTGCTATGTAAATAGGAATGCCTAAACGCCCTCCCAAAGTCATACCAAGCTTTAAGCATTGTGTTATCCGTTGAATTTTTCCATCGAGGAGACGGTGCAGTAAACCAAAGCTTCTCAATCGTCTTACTCGATAATAATCAACTGGATTAAGTACTAGCAGGTAGCACCGAGAGTGTGGTCGATGTTGGAAGTGGTGTTAGCGATGTTGGTGAAAGACCCACCAAGGGCCTGTTAGGAAGCCCTCTTACCAAACCCTTTTGGTGGCGGAGAGTGGAGTAAAATTTGGCCTCTGGAAGATACCACCTTCGATCTCGAGAAACCACTCTTCTGGTTATTGAACCATACGGTGAGAGAGTCTAAGTGTTGTTGAGAAAGAGAAATGGTGATATAAAACCTACTCTCCTTCCAAAAAGGAGTTTTCTAACGAAAACTTTGGCATAATACTCGTAAATCGAGTTTCATGAATGCAGTTTTTTGCAGCACTAGCTACCAACGTTTACCGCCAAGGCAGAGACCTGTTAAACGCAGACCACTAAAATGCAGGATTCCGTTGTTTGTAGAAAGAAATTTTGCCGCGCTCTTTCCTTACTTATGTAGATCATTCTTTCTGTGATATTTTTAAGCAACAAAATGATTTATTTTCGATTTTTCACCAAATTTATTGTTTTACCTATTTACGGATATTTGTAATGTAGGTGAAAAGTTAAACTAAATAGATAGACAAGGTGCTTAAACATTTTTGCATTTCTGGAAAGAGCTGACCTTTGGTCAGGCTGTTTCGAAAGACTCACTATTGAGGCTGTCAAACTTGCATCTCCTCATTTAAAATGCAATATTAGCTTCAATTCTTGGGTTATTTTCAGTAGAAGTGTTATTGTTTTCTTTGCAAATTCAGCCACTGCACAAAATTTCGTTGTTTGGAGTGCTCCACTTTTAAAATAGCCCTATTGTGACGCCACGGTGTCGTTTCGAGCTCCGTACACGTCTTAACGTTCTCACTGAAATGTTTTTCATTTTAACAATTTGAGCAATTTCCAAACAGTCATTTTATGGAACAAGTTATGGCTTTCTTTATAAATTAGGGTGTTACACTAGACCTCATATACTGTTAATGGCTAAACTCAAAACATGGAAACCTTAAGAGCTTTAATGATGGATCGTTTCATGACAGCGTTGCCTAATTCTCAAACACACTTAAGACTCATTTACCTTATAAGTAATTCTTTACTGCATAACATTTACGCAAGTAATAAAAGGGAATGTGAATCCTCAAACTTGAAGTAAGATACTCATCTTAATCAAAGCAAGAATACCCAGGTCGGTGCCCAATGGGTGGACCCACAGTCACACCACAAAAACGAATCATGACACGCGCTACAAATTCATGGATTTAAGACGAAACATGAAACACTGATACCTCAATCGCTGAGCCAGGATGTTGGCAAGCATATCATGGTTATACAAATTAAAACCTTTAAAAATGCGGAAAAACGAGGACTGGTTATATGAGATGGACACAATAATCTAACTGACGGTAGAATCGCCATAAATTATTTGGTAGAAATATTGTATTCCCCGGTTCCATTTCAGAACCAAACATTCACTCAGCCGATGGACACGTGTCTAGACGCCTGCCCAGAATCTGTATGAAATAGTGGCGAAATGAGGTTAGCGCAACCTATCTTAAGCAGTCACGTTGATCAAGTCTCAAGAAAGCAAGATCCAGTTCTTCTAAAATGAGTGAAAATGATCAAATGTGCCGGTAAGTTGAACAAAATCAAGCTTCCCAAGTATGATACCCATCAATAATATATGCGAAGAAATAGCTGGAAGACAAAGAACCTGAGGAAAAACTGTTGAAAGGAGAAATTTAAATTTCCACGAGGACAACAATGACTATCTGTGTAAAAGGGAAGGCTCAATACCAAATTAATAAATAGATAATTGGAAATGCACCAAACAACCCATACTCTGGAAAAAATTCACTCATTTTAGTTTGAAATTTGAGGGGAATTTGGGTGAAATTAGCATACTTTGGCATGCGAGTTGCTAAACGATGTAGAAGTTGGGCGATTAGATCACGTGTAACAAAAGCCCGCATTTGTATAGGCATGCGTTTCGTACTAAACCGAGGTAAATTAGACCAGTAACAGAGCGATTTCAAGTAGAGAGGGCAAAAGTGTAATCCAAGTGCCCTCTTAATAATATATTTACTGAGTTGAATAGGGGGAGGAATAAATTCGTAGAAATTATTTAAATGAAACGTTTGATCCAAACAATAGCAAATTGGTAATGAAACCTACATTAAAAGTTTTACCGAGCATTGCCAATAGTTTTGCGGTCAAAATGAAACTAGGAAAGTAGAAATAAGTAAAAACAAAAATGGGATTAAAAACTGGGGATTAGCATACTCAAAATTAAAATTTTAATTTGTGTAAATCTACGGCAAATCGATACTCAGCAAAATAATGTATAAGGACTATGTTGTGGTCTCCCGATGGTTTTCATAACAAAAAAAATTGCTTCAAATTGACTAACGGTAACAATTTGCTTAGACAAAATTTTAATGGCAATACAATTAGTAAAAGCTGCTTAAAAACGAACGATATGGTAATATCCATTTAACTGACACCTGGACACATTACAACCAATCAAAATCCACTTAGTCCGAAATGGCAAATCGTAGCAACGACAGAAGGGGCAAAGTCACCAATCAAATATTAGATGCCTTTTGATAAACACAATGACGAACGTAGCGTATTTCGTAAACAGTTTAAACCTTTATTCACAGTTGATGTATCAGAGCTTGACCTCACAGATGTTTGACAGGCCTAATTAAAAAAGGAATTGGGCTACAAGGAAAAAGCAAAACGAGAATAGTTGGTTTCGCCACAGAACAATGAAACATCTAAATTGCAGGTGGTTGAATTCCTCCAGTTTATGGTTTATTAAAAATGTCCCATTTTGTAAATTTAAGGCAAACATCTGTTGGTAATACTTGCTAAGGTGTTAATAGTAGCCAGAAATCTTGTTTTAACGAGAACATGGGCACAAATCAACCAGTCGAAAAGCTCGGGAGGCACCTAATTTTGGCCCAATTTACCAAGAAATACCAAACGATAAACTTATGATAGTACTAGAAGTGGATACTAGATCACATTTTAATGAGGGATATGGTAATACCTTATTCATTTTTATTTTAAATGGATAATCCTTCATGCAGTGGCAAATGGGCGATGGTCTAATGACGCATAATAACCAACCAAAGTGCATCAAACAAGAAATTATGGATTTTTAAATAAAATTTGATCAAATTCTGGCAAAAAATATAAACACACCGCGGCACTAGTGGAGGAGGAAGGAGGAGGAGAGACCGCGGAGGCAACAGTGGCGGGACTGCTAGTGGAGGGGGTGGAGGTGTAGCTGGGTGAAGGTCGCGAGTAGTAACCGCTGGTGGCGGTATTGTTGCTGTTGTTGTTACCACCACCACCACCACTGCTGTTGCTATTCGCCGGATTTCCTGCCGTCGTGTAGCGCGATCGACTAGGCGCTGACGCCTCTGTGCTCTGGTAGGTAGAGGGGAAAATGTCAGCATATCAATTTTATGGGTCAGAGGTCACTCTGGCGTGTGATACGCTATCAGTCAGCATGCTTGTAATGATGAGGGAAAGGAAACAAGTGTTTTGGGAAGCTGAATGAATCAATTATGAAATAAGTACTTTCTTTACAATTTATGAAATTGTTAGTTTTAGTCATACTCGTCTTACCTCTAGCTTTATTTCCGTTTGTCAAGTGCGAAATTAATTGGCGTGATACTGAGTTTAAAATGTTAGACTTACATTTTTCTGGAATATTAGTGCGTTTGCTGCCAGAGTCACTTAATGCAGTGCCTTGATGCTGTTTTCTGAGCTCAAAGTCACGCAGATGCATGTTAAGTATTCCTTACCGATTTATGAGAGCCAGTAGCACCCGATTGTGTCGCAAACAGATTGGCTGAGTTTAAAACAGCAAAGTCAATTCAAGATCTCTTCAGTTTGCAGATGATTGCATTCTTTGTTCTTGGACTGTTGGGAATTCATATTGCAATAGCCAATCACATCGTACTGTGATAGAATTTAGTGGCTGAGCGGTGGTGACCGACTTTCCTCGAGCACTGAAGGCAAGTGACCGAGGGTCCTGATACTTAGATTATCTTAACTGCGAAAAACCGTGTAAGTATACCAGCGTCGTCATCACCTATGTATAAACTTTTGGCTTTTGCGACATCTCAAGACTTTGGGGAGTGTATGAGATGCTAGAAATCTGTATACTTTTAATGTCAATCTATGTAGACATCTTAATTCCACATGTATATAGGTCTAAAAATGGCGGAAAATCGAACTTGGCTATGACTATGTAATCTGTTGATTGCCTCAACTAATACATTGCGATCAACATGCTTGCGATACGTCAAATACTTTTCTAGTTTCAACTTATTATTTACTTATTTTCTTGCTTGCATTTATGCTAGAGTGCTGTCAACATATTTCGATACATTAAACCGTACCAATAATTCATGATGGTCAGAAGTACGTAAAGCGAAATACCCCTCAAAAAATAAGATCTTTGAGATCTCCAAAAAAGGTCAGCAGATTTTACAATAAGTCTAATACTCATTGCAATCTTTTATTGACCTTACTACACAATTAGCCATATTTTCATCTTCTAACTCCACTGTAACTGTGAAAGTAGAACACTGAAATCATATCAAGGGGTGAAATGTAATTCTCACTTTTAGAGTAGATGACAAAGAAGTGACGACGTCCGATTTGTTCGAATCCACTTTATAACTAGCATCCCAATATTTGTAAGTTTGTGTCTACGACGCTTCACATTATCTACAACACCCAAATTGTTGACAATAACTCTCCTATGGAGCAACGGTTGGGTAACCAAGTATGTACCACACAATCTATTCCATTTCTAATGCAACTTTTATTGGAAAATCAAAGTCGCAAAAGAAAAACCTTGAAATAGCAGTGGAGCGTTCTATAGATAAACATTTGGCTACTGAAGTCACGGTTTGGTGATGACGGTCTGATAAGGTGAGTCTTATTGTGAAAGTAGACCACATGCATATTCTGAAGTGATAGGTGAAATTTGTGCTTGCCTACATGCTCGCATCGCGTGCTATTCACTACTTGTTAGCATCAACATTCAGCCTGGTTGCTTTCCCAAGTAAACTGAAATTTTGTGGTTGAAAAACTAGACCAGTGAGTAAAGTTCACTAGAGTTTAACACAGTCTGGTCATACTTTTATCTATAAACATATTTTTAGCCTTGGTAATAATGTTGAGCACTGTTTTGGTCCATTTTATAAGTGACGGTACACTTCTAAAATGAAGCCTTTAAAAACTATTCCTCAAAAGCAAAGGATTAGTTAGACTTTGGTGCATTGAGCACGACGAATGCAATATTATGGATATGTAGGAAGAGGATTTGGAAGCATTCGTCTATGTATGACATGCAACGCCTTCTTTCGGCATTGGGGTGATAACACACGGTTTATTTCAGCATATTGCGATAAAATCCCAGCGTAAACAGTGGATCAAACCAAACAAACGCCATTCCGAGAGAAAGCTAAAAAATATGAAACTGGGGTGACTTTTTGGACACTACGAGTGCCCTGGAATTTTGGCAGAAATTCATATGCACGGCTACTAATGGGATGTTTTTTAGGCAGAGATGAAGCAGACACTCAAGGGTGTAGAGTTTGCATGCAAAAGATGGGTGAGATAGCAGCAGCAACCGAAGCAGCATCTGCAGCAGTAACAGTGTGTCACAGGGGGCAACCAGGTAAACTGTCAGAGGCAGACGTACACTTGAACGGTAGAAATTCTAAAAGTTGAAATGTCACTAACCATTACGGGGTCGGTTGAAATTTCATAGTAAATATCGCCATTGTAAGAGTTGCTGGTGCCTAACAGCAGCTATTTTACTTGAATAATTTTCTCGGAAGCAAGCACTTTACACGTCGTTTTAGCATTTAAGATTTACAGGAAGTACACGCTTAGTTAACTTTCCAAAGACGAATTAAGGGCCACACTCTCATTGCTAAGGTGGCTGAACACTTACGATACTTTAATACCCGTCGGAACTTGTCTGGAACACTGAATTGATGCTTACTATTTATATTTCATTCATGAATTATTTGAAAAAAAGGTTCTGACAGATGTAATTAGAGCATTTGGTTACTTGGATGTTACTAAAATTATGTTATCAGTTGTAGTATCACTCATCACAAAAGTAAAATACACCAAATTCTGGATAAAAAGTGACTCCATTGTATTGTTTCAATGCCTTGTTTAACTGTGTTAAACCACACGGAGAAAACTCAGCATCCACAGATTGCACCGTCGTTCTACGGCATAACCTTCGGGGCATGTCAGTAGCATTTTCTATCCTCTATACGCAAGAAATGTATGGTCCTCTACAATTACTCTGTTTTTTTGACTTCAATGAAGACAGAGCACCGCATCAAAACTAGGTATTTCAAGGGATGTTTGCTCTTTCGTCAAAAACCATTCATCATGCATAAAATCAGCTACGGAAATATTTTGGAGTATCTACGATGTATCCACCAGTGGATTGAAGATGATAAATAAATGCGCATTAATCCGACTGGCTTTCAGTTAGCAAAATGCTCGAAACCTTTGGCATTCCAAATTCTTAAAGGTCAGGCGATGATTTATAACGCATTTTACTAAGGAAAGTGATCAATCTCCAGTATGTTAAGAGGCGCATATGATGTTATCAACTAGTTAAGAAAAGTGCTAAAATCCTTTTTCCCATAACAATTCTCAGCACATTTGATAGTTTATTTTCCTACCCATATATTCTTTTTTAGCATAAACCGTACCGTTTTCTATAATATATTAGATACTTCACGAATGGCTCATACAAACTAGGCAACCTTTGAGGAAAAATGACTCGACACTCATATACCTAGATGATTCTATTACAACAATCGACATAAATGCGTAGTTCGAAGAAATTTGTAGTTGTCACGTACATTTTTTTGCCTTCCCATGTGCACTAAAGGCCGTTCCGTGGGAGTATTCTAATGTAGCCTAAAATGCCATAGGGGAAATCGTTCTACCTTCTGGTGAAGGAAATATGACATTCCAACGTAATAAATCTTTTGAAACAAGTTGATTCGGATAAGGAGGCTCCAGAATGTCCAGAAAGATTACAGAAGCGTTACCAATTGATTTGTTTGATAAATCGGTACAATTTGGCGAAATTCCGAGTAAATACCTTCGAGTTACATCTTTGTTAAAAACATACAATTCCTTCTCCTTCATAAAGTGCTGCAACGTTCAAGCGTTCCCCCCAAGTATGTGTCAAGCTTGCTTAGCCACAAATATATGATCACAGTACAGAAGTGGCAATGAATTGCATCAAGATCTACATATGTATATAGACTTGTAAATAGGGTCAGTGCCTCGATGAGAATCAACCTAGAAACAAGAAATAGCGAAATGGATCGTAATTGTCAATGTATGACACAACGAATGCCCAAAAGGTTGTAGAGGCAATGTTTGAAACTGATTAACTAGCTGAAACAGTTGAAAAAATTGCATACTTAAGTAATTTGCAATTACACGTAATTTTTAACCAATTTATTTTACGGGCTGACTTTAACCCTGTCGGTAAAAGGCACTTTTTTTAATAATCTATTTCACTTTCAGTGGATGAACCCATATGTTAAAACTGCGAAGGAAGGTAATTCTGGGTGTTTTTCAATGGGTAAAATCCTGATGACCTCCTTTAATCTCGGGGTATTATGTGGTTTAGGTTCTGTTAGGTAATTTTTAAGCAACTAATGCAAAATTCCGAAGCAGTGGTCTACCGGTTAAATATGAAGCACAGTTGATTTACCTATGTCCTAAAATTAACCGTTTGTGAGTTAATGAAATTTATGCAGTCGAAAATTATGCTTCTAAGTATTTGTGAGAAACTACCACTAATTAATGTCTTTGGTCTAATTTCCTACAAAATGTTCTGCCAAAATTATGGAAGAAGGCCTGGTAACCATCAAGTTACTCCTTGAACCTGCCCAATAGCTGAGAGAATTTTTATTCTGTGTAAGCTCTTGTATATGGGAAACCGCCTTCTTCAGATCCCACACACTGACCACACAAGAATGAAGGCCTCTTGTACTGTTGAAGCGTTATCTTTCCCAGACCACTTATCTCTTCGTTGAACTTGAAAAGCACACTTTATCCTCGGTACTAGTGTTGCGAGACTTATTGTCGAAATACCTAAATATTTCATGGGCATTTTAACACAAGGAATATGCATTTTCTCCGAAATTGTAGAAGTGGATTGCAACAGATGAATCTCAACAAAGACAGTTAAATGGATACGTGTATTTTTTTCCGCCAGAGAAAAAAATAATCACGTGGACCTCACATGATTAGCTCACATATTAAAAACTATTTACGTAGCAACAACAAAAGTATTGTTTCCTTAACCCAGTTCTATAAAGCACATTGCTAGCCGAATTTCCACCATTCTAATCCAATTAGATTCAGAACTTGGTGACACTTGAGAGTAATGAAATTGTTTACTGCAAGAGTTCACTCACAGATAACCGACAAGATGACGATGGGAGTGCTTCAAATGATTTGTTACAGAATCAACACAGATAAACAACTTCAGCACTTTACTTACATCATCAGAGTATCTCCTTCGAGTTTGTGGTGTGTAGAAAGTTGATCTACTTGAAGATGGAGTGGAGAGGGAGCCAGAGGAGTTATTTCCACTGCTGGCGACACCATAGGCCGATGGAGCACGATAACGACCACCTCTAGGACGGATCAATCCACTGCTTGAAGACGGTCCACTTCCAGTGCTCGTGAAACTTGGACTGCCACTTTTTGCGCTCCCTGGAGCGTAGTAACCGCTCAGGTAAGTGCCCAAGGGACCACCGTAGAGCATCCTCCTTTGTCGATAATTTATCTCTTGTCGGTGTTGTCAAGTCGATACCGGTATCGGGTCCGAGAGACCCTGCTGTACTGCTGGTAGGATGGCACACGCCTAAGATGATGTCACCTAATGTACGCGCGTATATGTGCACAAACGCACGCACACACGGATGCAAGCACGCACATGTGCACAATTTCATTGATCTACACCCTTTTGCCCAGTGGGATAGACAGACAAGTGGGGTGTGGTGCATGCGCACATGCACGCAGTATCTGTCATTCCCCCATGCAACGCCGGCGTTGATTGGCTCACACTTGCCGATCAACGCTTGCACAGAATCAATGTGCACACGTGCATACCTGAATTCCGACGATTGCACTGCGGATTCATGTACGTGCATGCATGCGTGCATGTGTGTACACCTTGCCGTCTAGGTCAGATATGAAAGCACGGAAAAAAGCGGCGGACAGGCGTTTTTTGGGCTATTTATGGAGACTCTTCGTGAGGCAAGGTTTTTTTGCTGACGTTAGTGGGAAATGCGAGCTTTAGCCATAACCGAGTCTCTGAGTGATACATCAGTTGAGTGCCATGTGAATTGAAAGTGAGTGAGTCAACGCCGCTTTTTCACAATGGAATGGATCTCTTGTGCCGTCATTAATAAGTGACAAGACGCACCATTAAGTCGCCTGACAATATAGGGCAAGCTGTAGTTTCTGTAGCAGCTAAATTGCGTGGGTACCATTGACTCTAGTTTTAATGAAGTGGTGAACAGAGGTGACTGGGTCAAATGCAATAAGCATTCACATACAAAGATGTTTAGATTTGGAGGCCAATTCATGTATTCTGTTGTGAGGTCTTTTAAATTGGGGTATATGTTACATCATTTACAGTTTAATTCAATTCATGCGAGTTAGCTATTTTTTAACTAGCGGTTTTGTTAAAGAGAGCTTTTTGAATTGAGAGGTGAAATTAAGGCGGTCTGCTTAAACTCGGCAATTAGTGAGACTGTGGGCAAAGTGAGTGGGATCAAACATTATGTCAACATATGAAACATTGGGAAATCTCATGCCTTTGCCCACGAAATAAAGAATGGATTAGCCAGAATGATATAGACCTTCATTTTAAATTTTAAATTTTTAGAAGTTTATTTTCACGGTATTAAAAGGCAATAGGTTACTGTGGGTCAGACACTAAAGCACTTGTCAGTGTCCTGTTCCAAGATACATCAAATACGTCCAACTGCATACGGAAGAAATAACCGCATTTAATTAACCTCTTTGATAAATTAAAGGTAAAAGGTTATAATTATTAACGGATTATAGGATGAATTTACCGTGATTTGTGCCGTCATGTCGTAACAGCCCTTCCAAACAACGTGATATGCATTTTTGTGGCAAGAAAAGAAAGTCTTCTATCATGCAATCCCAAAAGCCTGAAAAGTAAGTTCACTTTACGCTTCCTGCTATATTTGGATAGATAAAAGTGATTTAGCCTACTTTACCTCGATACTTCTTATCCAGAGGGTCATACTAGTCCCATTGGAAATGTCAAATAAGTGCCAGCAAACACATAAAATCATAATGCTAATGGTCTGAATTTGCATGAAAAAGGTCTCGAGTTCCAATTAAAAGCCATTACATCCAATGGAAAAATTGAAAATGCACAGATGTTGGCTTTTGGAGATAGTTATTCATAGCACAGTTTTGCACTTTTTCGGAATTTTCACAAATGCAAGCCTGATTAAGAATGAACGAATCGTGGGCAATGCAAACTCCCCTTTAATAAAGATTACCTAGACGAAAGAAAGTCCACGTAACCAACAGTAGTTCGAAAAAAAAGATCACGTCATTGAAAACGTGCATGATACTTTAATGTCAATCAATCCGTTTGTCGTCTTGTTTTTTTTTTCCCAACGAATTGGACCTCATCTGCATACGTGAAGAAAAATCCGCTGTGCTCGAGCTCACGTTGGATCAGGAGCGCCAACATTGCAGTTGATTTCGTATGTGAGGACTGAGTGCAGTTCAGCCTGTGTGAATCAACTGGTCGTACAAGATAAATCAATAAGATTTCATCGATTTTCCTGGCCAAGTGGAAATCAATTAGTGTGTTGCATCAGTGAGCTCCAATCAAATACCAGTGAATCACCAAATCAGTGCTGAATTCAAAAGAACTCGTAAAGAGGTGAACGAATGACGTAGCTTCGTTGTGTAGTACCAGCAAGTGGGGTATCGACACAGGCGAATAAGTCAAGGTGAGTGAATAACTGCTTAAAGTACGGCATTATTTTCTCTCTTTCTGCCCCCCTCACACCACCTAGGAAGTTGTTTATAGCACGCATCTTTAAAGCTGTGCATGTCGTGCTGTTTATGGTTTATTTTTGCCTATTCCATGGGTGGTCTGGCCCTTAAGTATACCTCGTACATGTATAACTTAATTAGCTTACACAAGACAAGGTTATGGCTGTACGTCGCACTTAAATGGTTCCAGCTCCTGTCCTCAATGGACTTTAATATACTGCAGGCTAACTGAAGGCACTAATACCAGATTCCTTTACACACACACATATATATATATATATAAAGAGTATGCACTTGGGAAATATTTTGCCTCGTTGCATAGACATCAGACGCTCTTAAATTACTGCCATTTAGAGAACCTGAGCAGGCAAAATGCAAGATGACTTTCCTTGTGAGAAAATTAATATGGGAGAGCACAAGCACCACATGATGATTTGCATAACCACATTCCGTAAAGAACGAAAACAAAACACTTCAGCCAAAGTAAGCTACTGTTTTTGTCGTTTTTGCTTCATAAACTAGGAAAAGTGGAATATGACATTCCTGATTGCTGACAGCTTTAACTCAGTTTCCAACTTGATTGTTAATTTTTAGGTTTCCCAGCATATTTTCATGCTGCTATAGAAATATTACAAGTTATGCATTTGTCCTAGAATTTGGTAAGCGACAAATGTGTTTTTTTTTTTCAAAAACAGCCCGCGTTAGCATTGTTACATTCTCAAGTAAAGATGTCTAGTGCTACAAGATGATAAAATATTTTGCATAGTCTATCAGGATAGTTTGTGCCAAACGTGTTCAAGTTTATTTTTTCCTGTTTTTCTAAATTTGATACCCAACCACACTGTCAAAACGATCTACTGAATAGTTATTGGCTGGTATTCGTTTAACTGTATGCTTGAATATGCAGGCACGTCAACCTCCCGCGGGTTGTACTCCTGCTTCACAGCATGGCCTCCGAGCCATGCTAGTAGCCTTCCAGTCCTCCACTACGCTACGCCGTTAAGAATATGTTCTTCCGCACTACTTGGGCTTAGTAAGACATTAGCGAAGACTTGGGACACCGCATAAATGTCAAATCCTACCTGCCCAATTCTAATGGATCATGCTTAATTTGTTTCTATTATAAAGTGGCCTTTCTTAATGAATGATCGGCACCTACCTAGTATGAATTTATCCACTTCTTATGCTAATGATTAATAATTTATTAAGCGAAATCTCCCGTGATTAAAAAAAACGATTATGAGACGATCATTTATCGTCCAAGAAAAGAAACAGTTACGTTTACCGGTCAGTTGACACATGCAAAATGGAAATCACTCACCGAGAGCTAATCAGTAATGCACATCAAAAAGACAGTAATCTATCTGGGGAAAAATAAAGTGGAAATCCACTTATTTTTCAGTGAGTGATAACCAAACTTGTGACTACTTCAAATTCAATCATTTTTATTAAGTGGAACAAAACCTACCAACCTCATTAGGCGAAATTCATTACGCAACACCTCCAACTAAAGCGTCATCCGAAAATCCCAGTTGCTATTATTGAGTGATATGCAAATTACTCCTTTTTTATATTTTTCAAAATACAACTTTAAGGGTGACTTTAAAGAGTGAAGCACTTTGGCTGAAATCTAGTACTAAATTTCTAAAAAGTAAATCTGAAGGGTTAAAAATTGCATAAGTTTCCCAGAAAATCCTTTTTTGGGGATACTTTAGTCCATAAGTGTACCGGCATAACTACGCACTCTGTGAACAAGTGAGGGTATAACTTCCACTTTTTGATGCATGAACTTATCAAGTGGACGTCATTAACCTGGTTGGAAAACCCATCCCTACATTCTTATCGCAATAACCTATCTCAAGTCACATTACGCATTAAAAACGCACTATTTTTCAGGATTGACAATTTCCTTATGATGCACAATCATACCTACTAAAAAAAATCGTTAAACTCTTCCATAATACTTTATTGCCAGCAAAACCGCCTACATTTCCTCGTCGTCTAAAATATTTGAAGACGAGTCCACTAATGACTAGCCAGTTGTACACTCCGAACGGTGCTTTAAATAAGCAAAAGAACAAATCCTATTCAGTGGGACCCGGAACCGATTTGACTAGCATAAATGCTGCGTGGTACAAAATGAAACGCATTTCGGCGCCTAGCAGATGGGAGCTCTAGCCACATGGACCTGTCCCATTACACGGAAATTCAAAAGAGCGTGATATTTCAAAAAACTTCTCATTCTTCGCCATTTGATCCCCATGGTTGCGTAAAAAGAAGAGAAAGAAGGGGATCACACTGTACCTCATCCAAATGCGCACCTCGAAAAGAAAGTGAGCGTAAGACTTGAGGAGAGAGAGGGAAGGGAAATCAGGAGACGTAGACAAAAGTATCGATTTCGCGTGGATCACGCTCGATGTAGCGGCGTTCGATAAGCCACTCAATCACCTCCTTCAACATACGTTTCGAGGGAATGAACTGGTCCTTTAGCAGGCAAATAACTTGTTGATAGACCTCGGAGAAGGTGAGACGTTTGCGACTCTTCATCACCCTCACCACGGCCTCTTGGGCACGCATTTGTCGCAGCTGCACGATGGCTAGGCTCTCCTCCTCACAACCCGCCTGGGTCAGCTGCAGTCGACCAATCATATTTACTCGCCGACGGTTGGGTAAACGGCCGGAGCGGCTTAATGTAAATAACACCAGTACTACTTATTATTCGCCAGTAAAAGCGTTGATAGATGGATTCCTGTGATTGAAAACATTCCTTCCAGTCTCAAGACGATTTTGTAGAGAAGCATCCGCTTTCATAAACACCAAGCAGAACTATAGATGCTACGGTAAACATGGACTAAATGTGATACACAACTTTATCTTTGCAAGGAGGATCAACTGAACTGTGCAAAAACCCTTTTCAACTTCCTAAACACAAAAATCCCAACTTCACTTTTCTACACCCGAACTGACCTAACCAAGACAAAATAAAACCTACAGAAACAAGATCAGTAGTAGGCAACTCTATTAGTTAAAAACTACTCTACCCATTGAACTAATACATGTACAAAACGAAGCGGAATCTGTTCAGGTAAATGATAAAAGGTAAAAAACTAAAATCCTTCTGCATCTTCACTCGTGACAAGTAAGCGGCATTCATTTACCCATTTAGTCAAATTGTGGGGTAACTGAAAGGCTAGTGAGGTTGCAAATGACTGGCTGCAACTTGTAGGGAGTGATAAAGTGCGTGAGATGTGCAGGAATGAATGAAATGCAACAGTCTACCCAACATTACTTGTGCTGTCTACTACTCTAAACCCAAAAGATACACTTCAAGCTTGTCTGTTTCACGAAACGAGTTCACCTTGGTTCCGAGCCTGAAAAAAAACTCAAAGCTCGTGCTGAGCTTAAAGAAGTGTAAAAGTAGAAACGACCACCCGGAAATGCTTTAAAAGCTCTGAATCTGTTAACGAATCACCCGGAGGTAGACGCATCACCTTCAAAGGACCATCTATTATCGGTAACAATGAAGTATCTGATGCTATTTTTACGCTAGTCTGCAGTTAACGTTTTAGTAACTTCAAATGCTAGTCGACACAAAAAGATCTCGAAATCAGAAAGAAAAAGACGATTATCTTAACAACTTACGGGAAACTACACATTCTTCCTTTAGTTTTTGGTTAAAAATTACCAAGCCCACACCAGTGAAATGTACGCTGATTAGAATAGTAAAGGTCGAAACCCCGGAGTTGATCTACCTTCTGATCAATTTACACCGAAAGAATTGGCTTAATGAGTCTTTAGTTCTAAAGAAATGAAAAGCATGTTCGTCTTTGGAAATCTGATTAACTTGCTGATTACTGGTCGGGGTGGGAAATTGAACATAAACTGGGGAATCGAAATTGTCGCATCTACTTCTGTCACTGGGTATCCTCAATGTGGTTATTCAACAGGAAGTACGGAGGTCTTGAATATTAAGAACACGCACCAATTTAACCAATTGTGGGATTTCTAAACCGTTACCGTCGGCAAAAATATACACCCAGATAAGGGCGTTGACTTCTCGTCAGACTTACGTGACACCAAAAGCGGGATTAATCCAAAATTCTGTTTCGTTCGTGAAGTCCTTTTCTGAGGCTGCTTCTGGGGAGTAGATAATTATCTGCTGCTCCATTTTAGGACGTTCTGAGAGTGACTAGGAAGAGATAGAAAATAACTCATGTTACTTTTGTTTGTAAATCAAGACGAGGCCAAAGCCCATTTCTGTTGGACTTCTTTTCTGTAGTAAACATACTCTTCCTGCTTTGAAATTATACTTTAAATTTTGGAGATAGTTTACATTGATTAAAGGCCTGAGTGTGCCAATGTAGAAGATTCAACTGAATAACCCTACCAACTACTGAAATAATTTCAGCTACTAATAGCCATAAGAGTAGACGTAATTATCCACCCTCTCCTCATACCCATAGAGTCCGACGCAACTCCAGGTCTGATAAGCCTGTAGCAGTGAGAAGACCGTCAAGACGCAGTTTTTGGTTAATATCGCGATGCCTCCATGCAAACATCACAACGATCTGGAGGGTGGTCATCTCCAATTCTACCTGGGAGGTTGTTGGAGCAGCATCAGTCATGGGAGTGGTCGATTGGACGGAGGTAGTGGTGGCTGTAGGTGGGTAGTAAGCTACAAGACCGTGGGATAGATGATACTGCCAAATCAGCTGGCGTCCTTGATGCTTCTGTTTATAGAAATCCTCGATCTGGAGAGCAAGAGGAATAAGCAGTGAATTCCCCTTTAGCTGGCTTTTTTACCGATTACATGAGCAAACTACTAACAAATGGAGTGCGTAAAAACGGTAAATTTATAAAATACGATTTCTGAAACACATTAAAGCGAAAGGACGATAGAAACTAATAAAAAATTTCTTGGATTTGAAAAAAATAGGCAAACTTTGTACTTCCGTTTGTAGAAATATTGAACCTTCAAAGCAGGAGGGATGTAAACTTCCGTTGGACGACTTCTAAACCAATCGGATCACTTGAAAATACAGCTTTCAAGGAATAATGAAATTTGGAATTGGAAAAAAAAACATCACAAAACTCCAGGCAATAACATGAGCTGAAGAGCATGAAATCCCATTCGGAGAGGTGAGTTCAATCCTGGCATTGAACGGCAGTAATGAAGAAGAGCAATACAACAAATAATCTTCTAAAGAATTGCCACGCCATTGAGAAAACTTGGTGAGAAGTACAAATACTTTTAAAGAAGCATGATGAGAAGAAAAACAGTGGAAAGAGAGATGAACAAATACGAAGAGACGGTAAAAATAAAATCTTTATTTTTAATATGGACGACTAGTTAAATAGTTACTGGAGGGGGGGAGGGAAGGACGTAGATATTTAAACAAGAGGGTAGATCGGAGATAGACGGTGTCCTAGCCTTAAAGTGCCTGAATTCCATAAGTACTTATCCAACAAAATTCATTCCCTACTCAGACGGAAAAAAAAACTTGATTTCGCGAGGCTACAGGAAGGAAAGGAATGAATGGCAGCCAAAGCATGCGAGAATCAGATACAGCATTATGAAAATGGCTACTCAACAGTATGCGGCGACAATGTGGATAACGGCCACATTCAAATAGGACTGACAAGACTTAATAAGTTATGAAAGGGCAAGAAGGCAGAAGCAGTAAATAGATAAAGACCAGTAAAAGGAAATGCAAACAACTGATTAGAGGAAAAGACAGCATGCTAATTTTCCTTTTCTTGAGGGAGACAGATACTGAGTGGGAATAAGAATAGACGTTGGAAAGCCCACTCACCCAAGGTACGAACATATGCGTGCTTAAATGCATGCATCCAAGTTGAAAAATTGACCGTCCCAAAGAGGTAAAAGTGAAATGCCTTCGTAAGGTCATAAGTGGAAAGAAGGAGGAACAACGAGAAGGTGGATAATCAAGAAAAGTTCAACAGACACCAATCGTGAGTAAATTAGAGCTGAAAAGAAAGCATCATTCACATCTCGCAATTGTGAATGCAGTCAAAGTAGATGGCAAAAAGGGAAACAAATAGGCAGACAGGCATGTAGCTGGAGATTAACTTAGAAGACAGACAGGTCAGGGACAGGCAAAGATGAACACGCATGAAGAGAAAAGGACAGACAGATGTGTAAGGGAAAAAAGACAGATGTAGAGATAGACGATCAGAAGGGAAGAAGAAGCGGGCAGTAGAATAGGTGTACAAGCAGATAAAGTAGACAACACATGAGTTCACTTTCCTGATGGCAGGCATGCAGTCAGCATGGCGAATAAGCAGTGGCTAGAAGACGCGTACCTACCTGAGGGATGAAGTCCTCCAACTCGGGGGGCAGAGCGACGGCGAATTTGGGCTGACTGCGAGGCAGCCAAGTGCCGCTACTGAGGATTTTGATACTCACTAACACTGCTGATGTTTCAGTGCCCCCCGAAGGATTGTTGTTGGCCACCTTCTCCTGGAACTCGCGCGTCAGATCGTGCGACACCTTGATATCCTGAAACATCCGCGCCAGCCGGTTGACCAACTCCGCCGGCATTCCCACCTCCTGAAAAATAATGAGAAAATGAAGACAATGGAACCCTGTCTATGCACAACCAACCCCTTCTAGATAAATGTGGACGAATTTCATCGTTTGAGAACAGCTAACGAGCCATAAATCATCTCCAAAACCACACTCAAATAATAGTTAGACTTCAAAAATTCGATGTAAAAATTGGAAACCAGACCTTGTAGTATGGGCAGCTCAACCTAAAACGTGGCTAAATTCGTCTGTTTTAACGCACGAGTCCACTAAATACAGCATCTGATCGGGTACAAATGAATAGCAAGAAGTATGATCGTCCCCTATCGTCAAAAATGAAAGGTGGATTGCAGAGCTAACAAGAATTAATCAACAAGATCAACCGGCACCTTGATGCACTTAAACTTGCGCTCCTAAAGACTGACAGACTCCGTTCGCATTCCAGCCTTCTGGAAAAGGAAAACAGATAATGGAGGAATCGAAAGAGACCACTTTTCATTCCATTTGATATTACTTGAAGCCGATTTGTGCGAAATGCTACGGTGCCATTGAAAAATGCGAATCAATTCGGCTGTTTGGAGCTCATGAGGAGTCGCCTACTCTCCCTATGAATCTACCGAAGCTGCTGTTGTCAAATCGACGTCCCGAGCATAAGTTAGTGAAACCTAAAGAACGAATAACAGATCGTTTTCAGTCAATTTGGTTGCTCCGAAAAAGGCCATCAGAGTCTTACCAGTTTTAACTCTAAAAAAAACCGAAAATTAGATGTGTTTGAACCTGGTGAAATTCGAATTGTGCACCAGACAACTTTCCATCGATAGGTGATAAATAAGTTAACCCCTTTCGGACACATTTTATTGAATTCGTCCCGTTCAAACTGTCAGTGAATAGGCAACAACTGAATTCGGGGCTTCAAATGCGAGCTAATGCGCGTCACTTTTGATCTATTTAGTTAATTAATTACCTTCACCTCAAAACTCCAAGCAAACAGTCAGATATCCACTCCCTCAACTCCATTTAATTGATTGAGAAAAAAGTCAGGATTTGAAATCCATTAATTCAACAAAATAACAAAGCAGGCGTCCGATTCCCTGACAAATGGTTTGCACTTTAAGTAATTCACCGATAGCTAGAAAATCATAAACAAATTCATGTTCAATTTATCTCTCAATATGAAAATGTTAGAGAAAAACAAGGAGTGGCTCGCCTATTTGTCTGTCAATTTCGAGGCGTTTAACTACGCCTCAAAGGTTAATTGATGAGCAAATTGCCAGATTCAATTGGAGTCCGGGGGAATTTTACCAGTGATTTAATGGTCAGAAAGAGGTTTCATTTGAATGACTAACTTGACAACACAAATTCGTTAGTCGATTGAAACCAGCAAGTTTACATTCTCACAATCACAAGATTGGTCTGTTGAATGTTTTAAATACTACTACAATAATCAAACAATGAATTCTGTCCATATTTTAACGAGTCAATAAAAAGACGGGCAAAAACAATCGCGTTCTCATATTCAAAAAAAAAACCATTGCAAACCCACCCTTAGTTTTTCCACCATGAATTCCTCCAACTCGTTGTCTGCCGACGTCTCCAAAATGAGTCGTCGCATCAGATGAGCCTTGTGGGCCTCCATGAAGAGATCCTTCGAGTTTACATACTTCAACACCAAAAGGATCCTCTTCAATCGCGTCAAGATCTCTTCGGAGGATAGACGACGGCTAGTTGGCGATTTGCGTAGCAGCATATCGCAAAAGGCGGCCAAAAGGTTCGGACAACGCGACTCTGGCCGTTTTACCGTCCCTCTGGAAAAAAAAATGGTGATTTAAGTGGAGGTAAATACACCTGACTGGAGACATTTACAACCACATAAGATGTTTTCATTTCGAGGTTCTAGCAGCTTCTATTTTAAAGATTCTAGAAAAATTTATACTTTGTAATCTCGGTGATTCCCTCCCAAATGGCCAAAATGTCGTAGTACGCACTTTTACGTGTTGACACTCCCCTTGTCCTTAAGGTCACTTTAGAAAACACCAATGCGCAAGAATTGGGACGCCTCGTGTATATCGAGGTCACGGAATGTACTCCAAGTTGGGGTAGCAAAGAAGGCCTCTACTTTGAAATCTTTATTGTATCCGTGTCCACACATTCAAAGAGGTTTGATTCACGGCCCAAAAGGACAACAACTTGAAGGTGAAGAGAATGACGCTTACTTCAATGACGTAATTGATTACATGAGCCCTTTCAATCTCCAGTGATCCAGCTTTCCTATCAATGATGTGAAATTAGGTTTCCATTCTTCGTACTACCAGTCTTCCAGTCCTTTTATACGTTTGTAATGAATCCGCTTCCGGGTCAGCATCCCTCATCCCGCCTGCATAACATGTTACAGTTTACTCCAAAACAACAATTTCGATTTTGATGGCTAAATACTACGTCAAAACGTCACAGAAAGAAGACTCCTGCTGTAGATGGCCGAATTTGTAGACTCTTAACAGAGGAACCAGAATCAAGCAGTAGGACAAGGCTAGATTCGAGTGATTTGGAATCCCATATTTCTGTTTACCGCATCGAATCGACGCAAGAAGCTGAGAATAACTCGGACAGCAAGGAAGTAGCGGGGCATCGAAATACGATCAAGGGGAGCAAATACAGAGCGTAGCTACACAAAAACTGTTTTACTGTGTGCTTTATCATAAAGTTTTCCTTTCAGACGAATATTCTTGTGAAAATCTGACATAGTTCAGCCTTTAGTAAAATGCACCGACTGAATCCTTACAAACACACCTTGCATTCCGGATGTCAAAAGTAAGCCTACTGAAGTCTACATGAATGCAATCTCATATTTGTGAAAAATTATTCTGCAACCTGTATGCTTTGATTACACGAAAAATTTCAGTCTACCGTGAATATGTCTTCGGGATGATGAGAATGGTGGAACTCTGATCATGCTACCGGTCTCACAATGCTTTAGTGTGGTGATAATAAAGTTGCCGTCAGAATCGGACGTACTTTGACCAAACTAACCGTAGCCCTCTCAATAGACAACAAAAATTTAGATCTATAGTGTGGTAATAAAAACAACCTGATAAGTAAATTCACCAACTGAGTTGAGAATTGCTGAAGTGCTGGGTTTGTATAAATCCTAAGTGGCATGTTGCAAACGAGTTGTACAACTACGCTAAAACGATTCTGTATTCATCAAATAGATGCTTTTCATCGGAAAGGTAACGATACTGTTAAATATACCGCATGAATAGTGTTGGTAAAACAATTATTAACCGAAAAAGAGAGAAGACAGATGTATAGTTTACGATCTGTCAAACAGCTTTGACTCGTCTCGCTAATCAAACTACGGATTGCAGCGACCACTGGCGGGAGTCATGAAAATAAATGCAATGCCAAACTTACCAAAGATAAGCGTGAGCCTTGGCAGAGAATATAGCGATGTTATTAGCATTAGCATGTCAAAACGGTTTTAAATAAGCCTATAAATTAATATTCATCAGTGACAAGAGCTACGCAAGTAATACTGACAGCAAGAAGGCCCAACTCACCGAAGAGAGTCGGGCATCTTGACAGAGAATATGGTAGTGTCGTTGACAAGACGTTGATAAGCCTTGTCACGAATGGTAAGGAAGGAGGGATCGTTATGGAAACAATCCTCAATCACAGAGGAGAATCGATTGAACAGGTCTAGTAAGGTGTTGACGTATCGGTCGGCATCCTGAAATTAAAAAGAAATAATTAGTGACTTAGCATATGATTGGTTAGCATTCCGAATAAGACACAGAAAACTTGGTAAATCCGAAGAAGACTCCACCAGATAAATGGGGTCATTTCGTAAAAATAACACAGGCTATGAAAAATAATCGGTATGTTCAGTTCAGGTCATGGTACAGTAGTATTATTCCAAAAAAGTTATTTATTAAGTCAAAATAGCTATTGCTCTTGTGTCAGTGATGATGCAAATCTGCCGACACTGAATAACTCTAATGGTGGTTTAACGCGAATGATTAACACAGACGTAAACTACAGAGATATATAAAGATTAGAAAGGAGAATATGCCACAGATCCAATGCCAGGTAAACAGCTGGAAACAATAGTGAATGATAGGTTTAATCGGTGAGAACTCGGACAATTAACATCGCTACTATAGATAAATAATTAGAACTTTGTTTTATGAGTGAATCTTAAAGAGGCTACTGAATGAGATTATGACGTTTTTTTGAGAGAATGATATTTGCCTTGATTGCATATTGCCACAATAGAGTGAAGGACGGAACACGTTCATTCAGCAGAGTTCGTAATACTCAGGAATGATGGTCACGAGTATTATCATTGCCGAAATGAGTCTTTGCATTGCGACACTAATTTACGAGGAACACCAAGTACGACGGCCCCCCAAAAATGGGGTTACGGGGCGGAAGGATAATAGTTTTGCTAAAGTGTAACGAAGATAGTATTTTCCGAGTCCCGTCATTCATCCCACATGTTGCTGGTATGGAACCTCGTTCACACTACCTAGGATGCTACTCTTCCGCTCTTCTTTACGTAGGCAGTAAAACTTTTCACACGCACATACCATGTGTCGTATCAAGGAGATAATTCAAGCACTACACAAGTGCCATTAATGCAAAACATCAATAGAGGTTGCATTGGCTACATACTACGCCAAAATTCCGTTGAATGAAAACATCAAAAGTGGAGACCTTCAACGGAAGGGCTACCGAATCCATGCCGACTTTTGACTACTATCCGAAACTCCAGTTCCTCAAGGGTGGAACCAGCTCTGGATTCAAAGTGCAAATTATCCACAATAATATTGCTTAAATATCGACAATGAGAAGAGCAAACAATAATCATGATCTGAGGACTGGAAGCACCTCCCTATACTGCAAGAAGTTGATAGTAACTCAGAGGGGCAGTCGAGCAAGATCCAAATGTTAAAACCATGAAACCTAGGAGTAAAATGAGTTTTGGCTTCAGGAAATTGGTTAAAAAGTTGGAATAATGGATCACCGTAGAGCCAATAGTAATTCAAAGCCTTCACAACGAAGTGTTAAACCAGCAACCCAAATAGAATCCCGTTCAAGAAAATTGTTTTATAAGAAGGATAAAAAGCCTCTTTGAGGACATGACGCTAATGACACTTACTTTGAAAATGACCTCTGCATTGTCGCGCAGCTCACAACTGCCTGCGCGCCAAATAAAATCTTCTAGGAGGGGTAAAAGTGGATTCATCTCCCCAGAGGCGTCCTTGACACATCGGATCAGCTCATAGGTCACCTTTAGGGAGTCCTTTTCGTCCTCGGCCAGGAGCTTCGGAAATTCCGCCAGTATCTCTTCCTAAAATGGAAACGGATTGGGGGTTCTTTGCTTGTGCCTCCTAAAATTCATCCTCGATTCCGTGAAGCCTGACTTGATCGTAACTAACTTAGTCACTTTTGGAAGCAAGTATCCCATCCATAAGCGAAGAAATCATGGCGAGATATGCTATTAGATAAGGCCAAGTGATCTACTTAACGATAAGTCTTTCAAGCTCGCCGAAGTTGAGTTGATAGAATCCTGAATTATTAATTGGTACAGAGAAAGTTGCTAATTTACAGGAAGGAAATATCCAATCAGCGAGGAATATGAGTCTTTCAGGAAAATGCTTTGAGACTAAGTCTACTGATTTTTGGAAAAGGTGTGCTAATTTAAAAAATATGATTGGACGTGCTTTGGGATTCGATTAAGTGACGCAACTATTCCCAACGGCAACAAACTTATTAGTCTTTTCCAATCAACAGAAAAGCGTATACACCTGGGAGTTGTTTAGAATCACGGTTAATAGCCCCTCACGAAGTGAAAATCAGCAGATGTTTTGATTTAAGCAATATTGCGGCGATTTCTCGACAGATTCAGAGAATCGCGACTCCTGTCTGTGAGAGAGAGCTGTCAAATTCAACCGCATTTTTCGAGCTCAAAGAGCAAACATCCAAACAGCGTGACGAGGTCACACTAGAACATTATAATGTTATACAGGTCATCTACTGAGAATTCCTAAATTGAAAGGTTATTGTTCGACATAGTTCTAGGTTGAATTTAGCAATCACATGAATCGTCAATTAAAAAAGGTTTTATTTTCTATTTACAACGTAAAGGGGTTTGTTGGATTGTTGAGTTCAATCCATTTGATAAGGCAAAAGCATAAGCACAAGGTAAAGGGTAAAAGATGTAAGTACATATTAGACAGCATAAAGCATCTGATGAGCTTACACAATCACAAATTCCTAGGGAGGTTAAAGTTCTCTAAATATTCACCAGCAGCTTGAAGACACTTAAATAAAGAGGAAACTAATCAACAAAACGGCAAGAGGAGAGTATACAATAGTGATTTTTAACCGATGGATCCATCCAACTCGGAATCAAAAAGCCATCGTCGGATCCGGTGCGACCTGAGTTCTTCCGTGACTGTTTCTTGGCTAATAAAAAGAGAAGCTAATTCTGACCACATTGGGAAATAACTACCACGATCAAGGCTAGATAAAAATCCTGGCAATTTCGACTACTCTACTGTCTCCTAACAAGATTCTAATGGCCTAAAAGTGAGATTAGATCAAGAAAAACTACTCACTCTTGACAGTTTCGGTACTTGTTTCTAGTCCGCTTAAAAGCTCTTTGCTCCACTTAAAAAATTTGGAAAGCAATCTACATATACGTGTAGAGTTTAATAATTTGACAACGGTGTGAATAATGTGGAAGACAATCCAGTCGAATTGAAACATGGATTTTGTAGGTCTAAGGAGGGGTGTTACCGCGACAGTACTACGCGCAGCAGTAAGTGGGAAGTCCGTCGCATGAGTACTTGTGGGCCAGTCAAAACTGTTAATCAAGATGACAGGCAACAGTGGCAGTTCCTGCGTGCAACAGTGAGTAATGATGATGCTTCTGACGAATGAAGGCATAAAAACCAACCCCACAGATATTTATGGAAAACTTCAAACGCAGTACAACGTGGAACACTACGCCTCAGTAGGACATCTAAATGGTGTCAACAACTCAAAGACGGTCATGAGTATGCCTGACTGCCAGCTCACAGTTTCGACCGACAGCCTTGGGAACAGTCGGCACGCGGATCGCCTGATCTCAGAAAAATTTGGAAAAGACCGGTCGTCAATTGCATGAGACGAATCTCCTAACTCAAACAGCGAGCACAACCATTCGCGAATTCAAAAAACTAACGAAACCACTACAACTATCCGCAGGTTATCTTAGGAAAATTTCGAGGTTTCATTCTATGGCAAAGCTTTTCAGATCCAGTCAAATAGTGCAACAAGGTTGCAAATTTAGTTAGGGGCTACGTGAGAGAATAAGAGCAGTTTGCTCCCGTGGGCATCTGTTCTCTTCTCCTTGACAAACACCAAACTCCCAGTTTAACTTGAACGGCCCACATAAATTCCTGATTATTTACTTCTACTAATGAAGAATAACATCCAACATCGGATTGATATCGAAGCAAATAGCCATCAGTAGTGTGTTAATAGACAAGCTTGAAGACTAACAGGACTATTTCATTTCAAAAGGAGACCATTGGATAGGTTTCCGCAATAAACCATTAATCTGTAAATTTTGAAAGTCAGAGCTTTTCTAGCTGAGCGTATTTACGATGTATCGAAGGGCAGGTGCTCAATTAGACCTCGGGGAAATTGAACCGAAATTAGTCTGCGACTTCAAAAATCGCACCTTTTTGTATCATTTTGATTTTCAACTTTGACAAGACTTGCGATTCTTGAATTGAGAGTAAATAACGATAAAGTGCATTCAAAAGGGACACCAAATTACAAGTAACTAGACCCTCCACAGAAGTGTCGAAATTGTACTAAACAATTTAGGATAACTAAAAAAACTTACAAGATTAGTTTATGCACATTATTACAACTAATGCACTCAGGCTTTCTGTTCGGAACTTATAAAGCATCCAAATAAGTTCATGCGGTTTTTCAAGACAAAAAAAGTGAGTGAGGGCAAAAAGCTTCTAAGATAGGTTCCCTGCGTTAGAACAATTCCACAGTTCGGCCTGGAGTATTTCCGAACGAGACGTAAGCTTACCGTGAACTTCACTTTACTCGGATCCTTTGCCTTCATAATTAAAAAAATCGAGCCCATGTCACCGCTTTTTATCTCACTTTTATTTTTAAACTGTCCAATCTACCACCCATTTAGTCATGGTATTATTCGGTACCAAGAAAAGGTAATAGCCATCAGTTGGAGAAAATACCATTAACAAAAAATGGAATATGGGGCAGTGTCCCCTTCTTCCCATCTTAAAGCATAAATCTTCCCACGGATCAGATTTACATTGCAAAGATGGCACTCCCTATCAACCAACTGACTAGTCCTCGCTTTCTGAAGGCGTTTCGCTCGCACATACTCCAGCTACATCATACCATAGCGCATAGTAGCTGTTCGGCCTTCGGCGGGTAAACGGTTTCTAGTGGACAATTCAATTTGCACACAAAACAATCATATTCGTCTGAACTTGAGGTAGTGCGTGACTTAAAAGTGGTCCGAAGTGGACCGTTTGGGACTGTCGAATGATAAATTGGTTTGCTTAAGCTTGGAATACAAAGTCATTTCTCATCATGCCAAGAGGTCCGATGTTGTTTGTTGGTGTTGTTTGTTAGTGACAACCATTTGCCTAGCTCTCTCCACAAAAGTCCCAGTGGGTGTAGTTATAAACGTCAAACAATACGCTACTGCAAGCTCTTGAGACGACTCATGACTAAGTTGCCAACGGCGGCAAAATACCAGTCACTGTGATGAATAAAAGAGGTTAATCTAAAAGTCTTGCGTCTAAATTATAGTGATCTATCACCAAAAAATCGTTTTCAATTCCCTTCTAGGCGACACGTTCTGCTACCGCATCTTCCCCATCCGCTACACGAACAGCTAATAAGAATCTCCAACCACTATGGAATCGATTTGAACCCAGTTTGTGGTAGAAACAAACCTGAATCACACCAGGTTCAGCCAATGCCTCGTGAGAGTTCAAAACGACGGAGCAATGGACTACCGTAGCGACATATTAATCAACATTTCTGCTTTATTGAACTAATATAAACAATTGCACATCTTTCATAAGTCTCCAAAAGTTACTGAAAGCAACGCAAACTTTTGGCCAGTTGATACTTGATGCACCACTCGAATCCCACTTTCTAAAGCCAAATGTTACCGCATAATTCTCGAACACCATGAGAGTAATAACTAATCAGGACTACAAAAACAGATGTTTGATGAAAAATTCGACTTAGGGCTCAATTTCCCTTAAGGTTTTCACCAAAGCTATGATACATGAACACGCCAACTTTTCATTCAATCTGCCTCTGCGGCGAAAAAAGTGATTTAGATTCACTTGACTTTTTTTCCAATTCCTGAGTTTAAACATTCAATATGTGCACAAATTATTGAGAAATTAGGCTGCATAAGTAAAGTTGTAAAACGCTTTTTGATCAAGAGACAAAGGCTTGACTTGGGCCGTTCTATCCACCATACTCGGCGGGACCTAACTAGAACCAAACCTGTTTACCTCAAGACCGGGGCCATTGTAAGGAGGACCTAATTAAATGGAACCCAATTATAAAAAAACTCGCGTCGGGCATTCGCTTTACATTTCCTAGTCCTGCATCACCCAAGAAGCAAAGGAAATCGCAAATGCTTTGCAGACTTCCTTCAATTCCGCTTTAATGACTCATCTATCGCACCATCTACCGACGACGTAATACGTTTCCACTAAAAAGCTAAAGGGTACCGGCAGATACTTATGGCATAAAATTATGGCGTTCTTTACTTTCGCCTGCAATTCAGTTCGGCCTCCACGCTACCGACATGGAGCCAATGCCATCTAAGTTACTAGTCAAAGAGACTCTGTGCACATTTAATAAAACTCCTTTCAGAACGGCACACTTTAGGGAGGCTTCGAAAAAGTCCAGACGCAATATCGACAGCAGCGTTAACAAACCCATAAAAGCACAACAGTCATGAATTCGTTGACTGGATGCTATATCAAAAAGTCCAAGGGAGGCAATAAGCAGTGAGTGGCTGAAATTGTATGTACCCTCAAGAGAAATAATCAAAATCATGTCAGCTTTCAGCATCTACCTCAAACTCAAGTTCTGCAAATAAGTCAGTAGTGAAACAAGACCAGCATGAAACGAACATAAAGTGCCTGAAAAAGGAACGTTCCATAAATTTTCCATGACAATAATAATTTACAAGGACGATTTGAAGACCAAGTATCCCAATTTTGCAAAAAAAACGGATAAATAATCCACATGGGTGGCTAAGCAGCACTGAAATATCAATCCACCAGAAAGAAACGCAAATACAAGATGTCGCTATCTGAATTTATTGAACACTGTTAGGTTTACATAGCGATTTCGACCTAAGGCTGATGTTTCAACAAAAATAGGTCAGTACATGGAATGAGCCCGCATATCCAATGAATGCCTTCTAGATACGGTTCACCCAAGGTAAAATATGATATACTGAAATCACATCCAAATTCATGAGATTTACTACCAGAACTGAAATAATGAACTTCTTGGCTTTACTGGGAAAATACTATATAATCGCTATTCCTGCATCACTATAACATTCAATCCACTCGGTTTTTAATAGCCAAAAAAGAAGAGCAATCACAGATGTTTAAAACAAGGAAAATGGAGCAGAAAGCTTCTAAAGTTAATCATGCCCTTTCGGCCTTCATTTCGATGGCACGAAGTTCTGGTTTCGTAGTCCTTCATCGGTGCGTCTAAGGCTACTTTCACCATCGCATGGTCAACAACGTCTTTAGCGATAGCTCAGACGTTGCTTTATTGAAGAGGTTAAAGAACTAATTTTATAAAGGTAAGATCATTTCCTGATTTCACTGGTTCGATGCCACAAAACGCCATAACACGAAAATACTCCCTTTGAATGACAACCTACAGAGAGAGGTAGAAGAATTAAATGCCACCCGTCTTTATTTGTTCAAATTGTGTGGTCATTCAATGTACCACTTTATGGCCTCCACACCAGTTGAATAAACCTGTTAAGCTCTCTATTAGGAATAAGCTTTCCAAGGTTAATCCAGACAGGTAGGCATAAGCTAGATATTGCGATGTCCAGATCTCAGGTTAATCAGAGGTGCATTTTTAGTAGACAATGGACAAAATCGGAGTGAAAAAGGGGAGGGGCAGCAATTACCTTGAAGTTGACCACGAACACTTGCACACAGGCCTGCATGAGGGTTTCAATAGACTTGAAATTGGGACCACTGTCCAGGTAGAGCTTCGCTCTCGCCTCCTCTTCTGCCAACTTCTTCTGTGCGTACCTTAAGTAGGCCTACAAATCCAAAATAGGCCATTAAATTCTGCAAAAAGGTAAGGATAATACTCTATGAGAAAGTACAAGATCATAAAAGGTACGGAATGTACATTTCTAAGAGCCGAAATCTCCTATAATTACACAGATTAACCGACCCTAGCCTCTATGTTGCACCTGAGTTAGTGGTAATCTTTCCCAGCACCATTTATTCTGGAACAATTTCCGAAAGAAACCCAATATTTATCGGATTCGAGCTTGACACATCGTCGAAAACCGGAGTGAATAACTGCGGAAAAGAATAATCACTAACGGGTTATGAGATGGGTACCGCATGACGGCGGAAGCAAAGAGCAAATTTCGACGAAGTATACTTTTCACGAGACTACGACAAGCCCAGTCCACAAATAATTATCAAGTCATTGAATATGCTAAACTCTACTTCGACGTAAAAACTCCCTTATTAACAGGCTTAGCGAACCTTGGACGAGGATCAGCGCAACGAGCTGAAGCACGCAAAAAATCGGCCTAAATCTCCTGTCCTGCCCATCATCTGGAATTTGACTAAAAACTTGATTATCTTTTCGATTAAGAAAGATACCGTGAAGCTGTGAGTATTACTGTCAAACAAGCAATGAACTATTCCAGAAAGTAGAGTATCCTCGTCTCAGACAACACCAAACAATCCTTTTCAATTTCTCGAGATTCAACGTCTTGTATAATACTATCCGTGTCATTAATCTCCCAACCATCCTGTGCTTTTCTGATACAGCTGCCATATAACGTTTTTGGGTGTAAATTGGACGTCGAATTAATAGGATTAACGAAAAATCCCTCGAAAAAAATTAAAAGGCTAGTCTGAACAAACGACTCAGAGGGGCATTTGGATAATTGAAATTTTAGAAACATTAAGACGTGAGGGTAAGGGGATATCGGATCTTATGCTAAACAACAAAGTGGCTGCGATGCAGCCTTGATCATAAGGTGAACCAATATGAAAATCGCTTTTGCCTGTACGCTGTAATCCTGGAGCTCCAAGTAAGAAAAGGCAATGACGCAATTACATAAGGCCCAGTGGCAATAGTGAGATTTACAACTTAAGAGGTTCTAGTTTACACCTAATTTGTTAGCCATTTAACCTTCAAAAGGGCACAAGACAGAGCAATTACGTACCCGAATACCGTTTTGAGCGATAAATTGACTGGTACGCGGTCGATAAAAGTTTTCCATACTCTTGATATAAGCAGCTTCGAAATGGTCGACGTAGTTCCATGCCTTAGTAGTTGAGGTGGCGGATAAATTTACTAAAGAACAGTCAAATTTAATGCCTTTACATGCAAACCAATTCAAAAAGGGCTCTAAACTGAAGAGATAGACCTACCACACGACTCTCTCACACCAATTACCAGAGCCGAATTAATAATAGCGCCCTCACGTTCGTCCTGAACCAACTTCATTGCACTATCTTCGAGTTTTTGTTTAATACCTTCAAAGATGGTCACATCCCATGTATCTAACATACACTAAGGGTAAGTAACTTCATTGATAAAAGTTAAAATACCTTCCGAACAATACTGTACTTCAGTTTTCTTTTACTAGGTCCACTAAGATTGTGTTTACCTCCAAGACAATTCTCCAAAGGAGCAAAGGGATTGGGTAAATTGTCACTCTTTTCTGAAAACAACACCCATTCGTGGATGTAGGCCTTTAGCAGAGAGGATTCATCCTGACTCTGCATTACACGCTGTTGGGATCGCTTGATGGCGGCTTTAATAGATTCAGTCAGCGACCGAAACATCTCATCATGGGCCGATTCCTCCCATGATATTATCTGGTATACATCCCTGAAGTAAGTGAACACTAAATGAAGGCCGCTTACTCAAAAAGCTTTACCCATTCTGCGGGAGGGACGGGCTCCATATTAAGGAAACGTCGAACAACATCATTTACTGCGGGCCAACGGCGTTGGAAAACGGATTCCTGACTAGAAGACTAGTGATGTGAATATAAACGAACTGGAAGAAGTTACCAAGAGCATTATTTACGAAATGAATAACAACTTGAGGAATGGTGCATAACAGATAAAAACCTGGCCAACTCATGTAATGAGCAACGCAAATAAAGCCAGCGCCTAAATTACATCAATTTTACTCGTCTAATAATTGCTTATAAAAATATTCGATACAGTGAAACAAAATTGAGCTTGTAAAATTTGAAAATATGTTCACTGAAAATTAACGCAACAATTTGTCTTTTTAAAAGTGTGTAAAAAAATTGAGCATGTTTTATTAAATTTGGCAAATCTGATAAACATCGCGGTTTTCTCTACAATGTATTTTAGTGCATATTTCGTGTGATTCAGTATGAAATTAAAATAATACATTAATTTGCAGTGGAATGAATCAGATGTGAGAGCACTAGAATTGTTGCGGGATCGTTGGTCTTGCACTTAAATACTTATTTTTTTCTTTCTATTTGCGATGATCCACAGTTTCCCACATTTTTCATTTGCTCATGTTAAAAAGGGCCATTTAAAATTGATACTGCTATATGAGTCTCTTCGTTAATCGCTGGGCGATGCCTATTTCGGCCTGCGCAGACAGAATAACGTATGTGTAGCCTCCGGAGCCTGCCCTGGAGACGAAAGGCGATACAATACTTGGGCAGAATATATGCATACATTCAGCACAGAGCGCGCCTCTTCGTCTTAATGGTCTCAATTTTTATGCTAAATAGGCCTGTTGTCCTCGACATCTTCAGCAACGCTTCTAAATCATTTGATTTCTAATGTTAACTCTCAACCAGCATGGAAATACAAATAACGAACTTAATTACGTCTGTATCAGCGTGTTAACCGCACAATGAAATAGTAATTTGTAATGTACCTGGTTTTTTGATTTTCCACACGTGTATAATTTCTTAAATGGGTGAAAATTTCGTGGTCTTCCCGCTCCTAATAGTTAATTAGCTCTTCCACTCATTTTTCAGGGATAAGATTATTTCTAGATTATTCTTATTATCATTTTAATCGCTCATGAGTTCTGTGACCATTTGCGGCGGTTGTGAAATAAATATTTTATAAACGGAATGAACGAGGAGTATCCTTTTAATACCATGCGCGACGCTCACAAACCTACCAAAAAACCGTTTGTTGAAACATCCTTCTCCTCCTCCATTGACTTGGCACCGACACTGCAGGTCTGTTAATCGAAGGTGACATTGGACGCGCCTTTGTTTGCACCTTAGCAGGAAGTCTAGGTTCCAAATAAATCATATCTGAGAGGTGCGATTGTGTAAAAGTTCATGCCCTATAGTGTTTTTTTTTCTCAAATTTGAGAAGCTATGTATTTTAGCCTTCTTTAATAATAAATGGAATACGACGTTTTTGACGTTTTTTTCTGTACTTTTCACTTGTGTTAAATAATTACTTCTACAGTCTCTCAAATAACACATTTCTCTGCCGAAACTCCACGCTTGCAATTTTTTATAAGTAGATTTCTATTTAGGCTTAGTTGTAAGAGTGGATTCGTTCAGTAGAGGCCCTTAACACTGGTTGCCTGGTTTACGAGGTCAGTACCAAAGCGAGCTCTTTCTACACAAAGCACAAAAGCATTCAGATTCTGCAGATGCGGCTGTGGAAGACGATAATGTGGTAATGCATATTTTTTGGCTTCTACATATCACGCAGTACAATGGGACAATAGCAACTGTTTTTCAACAGTTTGAGTTGGTGCCTAGGTTGAAGGATATGTGGAGTATTTGCCAAGCGCTTCATCCAGGAAACTTCTTTAGCAGTAGTTTGAGCAGATGCCCACATTTACAAAACAACCAAATGTTTAGCGAATGGATGGTACATTAGACCTCAAGCTTGAAACCATGTAAATTTAATGTTATACCACTTTGTAAGATAAAAGCCAAACAACAGCCAAGTCTTGAACTTCGCATTCAGCTAACAACTCATCGAATATATTCCCTAGAAGACAAAGAAAGAAGTTGGTGTTGATGCAAAATATTTATTTCAGATTAATGAACAGTCTCATCTAAAATCGAGTAAGCAAAATCGTGAATGGCCCAGAATGAATTACTTACCAGTACAAAATTTGTTTAAATTGTTAATTAGTCCGGTCTTTTTTCGTACAACCCAGTGGGAATGTCTTACCATTTTTCACTTTTTTCGTTTTGCTTAATTTTGTAGTCATTTTTAACCCCAATCCAACAAACCCATGTGAACAGTTTTTGTATTGGTCACCCACATTTTAAAAAGAACTTGTAATAACGTGTATTTGTGAGGTGCGAAAGTGGTGTCCGGAGCTAGTCATTTACTACTGAAGATAGCTATATTTCGAATGATTGTAGTATTTTGGAACAAATTTTTAGATTGTTCTTTAAGACGTTTATTGCTTGTTTTATTCATTGTTTTGGCTTCGCGGACGCTTAAAGTTTCGCATTTGCACTTCCGCTGGGCGGCGCGGCCTCCGGGCCGTGCCGGTAGCTTCTCATTCCTTCTGTACTTCGTTAATACATTTCTCACTTTAGGGAAGACTTGAGATACTATGTATTCATTACAAAAAACAACTTCTAAGATTTGACCTTTCGGGAAAGTCACTTGCTTAGAGGCAGCTAAGAATTGCTTTTATATGGTAGCGCTAAATCATGTCATTGGCTAGGATGAAGGGGACTATATGATTGTTTGATTGTACCTTTGAGGTGACAAACGGTCAAAGCACGCCAACCTCATGCCTGGGAGGACTTCACCCATCTCCCAGGGCTGGACAGAGACCACTGGTAAAGTTTCCCACCCCCCACCCCTGCTCGACCCAAAGGTCTGAAACTGGAGGTGGGGGGGGGGGGGGGAATTGACAACGAAAGCATCTTTCAAAACTGCAGGACTACCTCTAGTCGAAAGTGGGCACAATTAGAAAAAGAATTTTTGATTACTCAAAATGTGAAATAGGGGAGTATTTTAAATAGCCCGATTGAAGAACACCTAATTAACTGTGGCTCTGGTGATTGCGACAAAATCAGTAAATCGCGAATGAGCTCAGGGCAAAAATGACCATTTTTGATCCATATTTGTTCCAGGAAATCCTAAAGACCGATCTTCGTTGGTGGACATAGTTCCACATGTACAAGAAGCAAGTTTTACCAGAAAAGACAGATTCCGAGAGGAATCAGGGCTGCCACCTATTCGTTTATAAATCACCCGATTTTTACAAACAATACTTCTTTATTCTACTAGTTTTTTTTAGATTTTTTCATACAAGAAATTCCTCCACGTTTTGTAACTCCGTTAAAATGACTCAACTTCTAGAAATTCCTTGCTAGTTTCAAAATAAGAAGTGGAGACCACTCTTCTTCTCCCATGTACAAAATATTGCCTGAAAATAAGTCAGTAAGCTAATCTTCTCTCTGTAATGTCAAGATCAGATCGTACCCATAACTCAGTCATGCCGCCATAGTAAACAGCATCTGTCAATAATCCCTCTGACTGACAAGGCCTTTGGGATGATTTGTGGTTTCCTAGGCTGTAGCCTCTCAGTTTATTTTACATACATTGTTACGAAAAGTGTGGTGATAATTTATTTCTTCAACACTTTTGAACGCATTTAAGCTTGAAACATGTAAAATTTGCTGATATTTTTTAAGATACACCGTTAAAAAAACGTGTACTTAATAAGGAACTTAATGCATTCTGCTTCAACTGTTCGTCAAATAGAAGTGATTGGGCGTTGGTGCTACTTATCTTTTGCTCTGGAACCGAACCGATCACCTTAAATCTCGAGTGCAATCTTCAGGCTTTATGCAAAGCCTTGCTAATAATTCTTCTTGAGGAAATAAATTGCAAGACAACCGAATAATTTCGGTGTTTTCTCTTTTTGTTAATACCAAAAAGGTCTGTAAGCTAATTACACCTACAATCCATTTCCAATGCGACACAATCTCCTTATTTCTCCATCCCAAACGAATCACTCTTGCAGGCTAAAGTGTCAGATCTTGCATCGCAAGAATAAGACTTTCTTCCTGGCTTTACTGATTGTTTCTAATGCGGTTTTTTTCACACACCCTTAACTTGTACCAGGTTATTTTGAGTAATTTTTTATTCTCAGCAAGTGAGCAATTCATTGTGGCCAATTTCGACTGCAACAAAAGTTTTGGATGGTCTTCTAGAGATGAAGCAATGGGTACCTTAAAAGTGTGGTGTAAAAAGCCGTTTCTCTTCACAAGCCAGACAGTAAGCAGTCTGAAACTAGCGCGTTTTTATGACATACATATAAAAAGGTAGATAACCCCAAGGTAATGGTTACGAAGCCTTCTGTAATCAACTCCAACTTTCCCAATGATCTAGTGCAGTAACTGGATGAAGTAGGTCAAGGCACTGAGGCGATATGCATGCTAGAGGGCCAATTTCTGTCATTTGATGTTTGATTGGCAGTTAATTTTTGTATGGCTATCCGTAGGCTAGATTTCATCGCCTATTTAATCATTAAAGAAGAAATTACCTCCTATACCTCAGTCTATTAAACACTTCAGGGCATTCTACTAGCAATGATAACACGTTCAACAATCTCACGGTCTTCTGTCTTTCCTTCGTCCTGTTAACGTTGTCGTTGTCGACTTGCTCTTACTTAAATGAATCAAGAGTTGTTGTAAATGTCCAGCGTAAAAGTCATTTTCTTTTTGGTCATTCCCGTGCGTACTAAACCCATTGCACATTATCACCTCAAGTGACCGGAAAAGGCTAAAACTCAGTATTTTACGGAACTGAATGACCTTAAACAGATTTGTTAAACCTCGAAAAAAATGGCATATGATTTGGAGGCTTTGAATACGCTCAGGAGATGATATGGCCAAAGAGTATCAGTGTAATGCTTTGACAGTTTGCTTAACTCTGTGCTTAATGCCGCGGGCGCTGAAGTCCCCCTAGATCGCACGTCCTCTCGGTGGCATGCCCTCTGGGGCATGTCAGTGGACTCAGTTCTTCTCTACATTAATAGCATATATTTTGCCATCCTATTACGACTTGTTATGATCTCAGGAAAGGCTGGGGGTGCTGCCTTGGTGACAGCGAAAACGAACTTAGGCTTAAATGGCAACTGTCCTATTTTCTATTGCCAAATGCGAAACCTTAACCTAACATAAGAGGAACATCGGCCGCGGATGGGTAAAACTGGCGAAGCCTCTCAAAGTAACAATT